GTGTATATAGATAGATAGATAGATAGATAGATAGATAGATAGATAGATAGATAGATAGATAGATAGATAGATAGTCATTTGTTCGTCTTCTTTTACAATTGGTAGTAGCGATGGGATAGAAAAATAAGATCCATCCTGCCATGTGACAGGAACAGAGTGGGCCACCAGAGAGCATTGTGATTTGAATTGATGGATCTGGATCACGGCATTCAGGCAGATCATGTCCAACTTTGAATACTGGCGAACCCTGCCTGGGGGAACCACGACGTTGGAAGCTATAGTTCACCTCCAGCCTTACACATTTTTAATGGAGTCCACTACTTCCAAGTAGCATCAACAAAAGACCAAACACTAAAACAGTCAGAACATAATTGAACAATGGACAAGGAGTAGCGAGAGGCACCACAGCATGGTCTTCCCAAACACTCCCCCCTCAGAACACTTAATTCTCAGATTTCAGCAGGTATTCAATCTAAGTAATTACTCACACTCCTACTAATCTCAAGTCTATTTTTGACAAGGTAAAGGCAGCTCCGCCAAAGCAGAGCCTCAAAAAATTGAGTACAAACTCATAAATGTTCCTCTCCACGGAAATCTTTAGTAAAAGGCGAAAGATTTATACGATCTGAAGAGAAACCAGAGTATACTTTCACCCCTCCCGGCGCAGCCACCAGGAATTTGGCCACGACCCATTAGGTGAGGGAGAGCACGCAAAACCGACTCGGGAAAGACAATGTTTGGAAATAAAATATGGCGAACGATATTAAATGATGATAATAATATGAAGAGTCGTGTCTATAAAACCTTAACTCTTATCGACATGCGTGTAGATCGCCGCAATGGATGATGGGTATGCAAATGAAGGGGCTCATTCCTGTCTTTGGGAGAGCTGACCTCATCCTCGCTTCCTCCCGCCTCTGCTCTGGGGTGTTTCATCACCAAAGCCGCCAGGTAGTCATGCGCATGCGCGGAGTTCCTGGCGTAGTTTACGGAGGGGAGGGGGGAGTCATCCAGAGGGACAGGCTTCAAGGCTCCAGCCACAGCTAGTCAGGCGTATATGAATATATGTCTGTGTGATTATTTTAACAATTGGTAATCACAACTAGTACTTGGATGCACGAATAAAAATAGCATTGGCTGGGAAGGAGTAGCTTCCTCTAGAACACGAATACCTATGGCATCATAGTTATGCTACTGAAATAAAAACCCCAAACAATATAATCCATTAAATCACATTGATCATATATACATATAGCTAAATGGTTGCTAGTCATTCCAGTTGTCTGTTATTTTCGGCCTTGGAGGCCATGTGTATATCAGTTAAACTGGGATGCATGAATGAGAGGGTGATGGTGCCTTTACATATTATATGTGTGATTGGGCACATCTACACTGGAGAATGAATGTAGTTTCGCACCAATTTAACTGCTGCAGCTCAATGCTATGGAATACTGGGAGTTGTAGTTTTACAAGGTCTGTAGCCTTCTCTGCAAAAGAGTGTTGGAGCCTCACCAAAGTACAAATCGCTGGTATCCATAGCATTGAGCCATAGCAGTTGACGTGGTGTTAGTTCGCATTAATCCCACAGTGCAGATGCACCGCTAGATAGAACACGAGGATTCAAGTGTGGCTGAGTTACCATTTTGTTTCAGTAAGGACTATCTACCAACAGGAACTGTAACATTGTAAGGCATTCAGTGATAACTGCTTTTATCACTTGTAAATAGTGATTGAGAGGGAAAAGGAAAGGACCTGAGGCTGTTGTTGCAGCATGATAGGAGAGATAATATCAAGAGAGATCCTTTCTGGAGAAAGAAAAGTACGTTTATTTCCAGCTGGGACTCTGGTGAGGAGTTGTGTCCAAACCAGAGTACCCAATATAGGTGTTGTCTGTGCCTTTTATAACTCTACAAATGCAGGCAAACAAAGAAACATGCTTCTACATACATTGACATCATTCACTACATCACTTTAGCATCATAGAAATATCAAATTCTATGATTATTTTAACAATTGGTAATCACAACTAGTTCTTGGATGCACGAATAAAAATAGCATTGGCTGGGAAGGAGTAGCTTCCTCTAGAACACGAATACCTATGGCATCATAGTTATGCTACTGGAATAAAAACCCCAAACAATATAATCCATTAAATCACATTGATCATATATACATATAGCTAAATGGTTGCTAGTCATTCCAGTTCTCTGTTATTTTCGGCCTTGGAGGCCATGTGTATATCAGTTAAAGTGGGATGCATGAATGAGAGGGTGATGGTGCCTTCACGTCTTATTTGTGATTGGGCACATCTACACTGGAGAATTAATGCAGTTTAGCACCACTTGTACTGCTACAGCTCAATGCTATGGAATCCTGGGAGTTGTAGTTTTACAAGGTCTGTAGTTTTCTCTGCCAAAGAGTGTTGCAACTCACCAAAGTACAAATCACTGGATCCCATAGCATTGGGCCGTGGCAGTTGACGTGGTGTCAGGTCGCACTAATCCTACAGCGCAGATGCACCGCTAGATAGAACATGTGGATTCAATCGTGGCTGAGTTACCCTATCTACCAACAGAAATTGTAACACTGTAAAGCATTCAGTGATAGCTGCTCTTGTCACTTGTAAATGAGGTTTGGTTAGGCCAAGAATTGCTACCAGCCCTTTTTTTGAAAAGTTGTGCCATGATAGAAAAGCCAAAACGACTCTTTCAGGGAATGTAATAGAATCACCGAACTCTAGAATTGGAAGGGACCACACAGGCTATCCAGTCCAAAACACAATCAAGGCACTCCAGACAGATGGCCATACAACCTCTGCTTAAAAACCTCAAGAGAAGGAGCATCCCACCTAGTTCAGAGGGAGCAGCATATTCCATTAACGAAGAGCTCTTACTGTCAGGAAGTGCTTCCTCATGTTTAGGTGACATCTTCCCCCCCCCCCCCCCCCCGCTCTCCAAATCCAATTTCTGTGTCCTTAATTCATCAATATCTCTCTTTTCCCTCTGTATGCAACCCAAGGCAACTCACAACTAAAATCTATTTGATAAAAAACTTAAGTAAAATAAACAATTATGTGAAAAGTGTTAAATTACAACAATTGAGAGCATGGTAAACGCATAACACTAGCTGTGCAAAAGCGCCCAGATGGTGCCTGAATGCCTCCTGCAGCCAATGAAGGGCTGAGGAGTGGAGCAATGCCACAATGCCCCTCTTTATTTCCTAGTGTTTCATTGGAGTGATTCAGTAAAGGGATTGTTTTGATTATAAAACTAAAAAAGTTTATCTGGTAATATATATATTTTTCCTGAGATGTATTGGGCTGATCCACTTTTTTGTCCATCAGTTGTTTGCAAGTTTATCTTGTCCACTAAAATTTATTGGAGAACTTATAGCTTGTCCACTTTTCTTGCATTTTGGATAATCATAATTAATATATTGCCAAACTATCGACATTATAATATCTATCTATCTATCTATCTGTCTGTCTGTCTGTCTGTCTGTCTGTCTATCTATCTATCTATCTATCTATCTATCTATCTATCTATCTATCTATCTATCTATCTATCTATCTATCTATCTACCTATCACATCTATCTATCTATCTATCTATCTATCTATCTATCTATCTATCTCATACACATACAAGGGTTATCCTGAAAGCAAGATTACAAGGTACATAGCTCCTTGTAATAGAGAATTTTTGCAGGTGGAAGTTGGTATCACTGCCATGTAGCGGGAAGTCAGTAGAAGTGAATGAGCAGTGCCGGTCGTCAGTAGCTCATCAACTGGCATTGTGGTGAAGGTTAGAGATGAGCGTCCTCATTCAGTTTCCCACCAAGTGCGAAGTTTGTGCTATAATACACTACCTGAATGCTAAGGGCATGAATGCTGTTGCGTTCAGTTTTTTTGGATAGAAAAGGGGTTCTGCTTGTTTATTTTTTTGGAAAGAGGTGAAACAAACAATGCTGCAAGATATTTTGAGACCACAAAGAAACTTTGCAGAGCCATCCAAAACAAATATTGATGCTGACAATGGGAGTCTGTCTCCTTCAAGACAATGCATGTCTGCACACCGCTCATGCAACACAAGAGTTGTTGACTTCATGTGGTTGGGATGTTTAAGCCACCTCTCTCACAGCCCTGATCTCTCACCCAGTGACTATCATCTGATCACTGAATTAAAGGAACACCTTGGTGGAAAAAACTTTTCCGATGACGAGGAGGTGAAAATCGAAGTGGCAAACTGTCTGAAAAAGGTGGTGGAAGACTTCTATGACACAAGCATCAAAAAACCTGTCGCACGGACGATGAAATGTATTGAACTGAATGGTGATTATGTGGAAAAATAATGTAATACGTATGCTACAATAGATATAAGCTTTATTAAAATATGTTCATTATTTGTATTTTTAAAAAATCTTGTAACTTTACTTTCCAGATATCCCTCGTATGTATACATATGCATATCAATATGCATATACATGCCAATAAAATGTTTAAATTCTGATAAAATTAAATGCAGATTTCTGTTTTACTGATTTTTATTTTACTGATTGAAAATTTTGGCTTATTTTTTTCCCCTTCCCTGGCTCTATTTCACTTCCTACTTTTCTATCTCCTTCACAATATTCTCCCAATTTCCATGTAATCACACCATCTTTCAATAAAATTTAAAAATTAAAAAAAAATTGGCTTATTGTGGAAACAAGGATTGGTGATAAAGCTTCAGCAGGAACCCCTTTTTCCCATTATAACTCTTCCAGAATTGAATTTCCCTTCCAAGGGGTAGATTTCTCCCACTTCCTGTTGTCTCAGTCCCACTCTAACTATGAGCCACTTGTAACTTGGGGACTGCCTTTGAAATGTATATATTATTTTAAGGGGGATGGGGTTCATCTTCCTCTCCCGCAGGCCTTCTGAGTTCCCGTTTGCACCAGAAAACAATACAAGGAAACCCTGATGCTTCATTGGGGTTTCCTTTGGACCATGTGGCTCAATGAGGACCATGAAAGGGAGGAAGGAGGATGCAGGTCTGGCATTTCAGCTGCAGAGTGGTTCCAGTACTAGCTCTATAAGGAACAACTGTTCAGGTAAGAGATATTTAGTTCTCAGATGGGTTATGATAAAATTATTGTAAAAAAGAACAAACAGAGAGAAGACAGTGCAGAGAGGAAATTAGCATTTGATTCAGTGAATGTTGTGTGCCTTCAAGTCAGTTGTTGACTCATGGTTACCCCATTAATCTCATAGACAAGGAATATTTCTAGTTTCCTTTCAGATGTAGTTTACAGCACCTAGAATTTGCTGTCAGTCTCCCATCCATGTACTAACCAGGGCTGACCCTGCTTAGCAGCCAAGGTCACACAGGATTTGGTGCGCTCTCTCCAAAACAATCATTTAGCATTATAACAAGCAAGTGGTTTGGGAAAATGGGAGAGGGGTTGTTTGGCAGATTAATAACAGTGGATATGGTTAAAATCAATGTTGCATAGCAGAGTGGATAAGGAGTCTATCCAGATTAAAGTATTTATTAATTTATTAAAAATTCCTATCTTACTAATATCTAAATATATCAGGATTGGACATGATAAAATCAATGTCAACTATTAAACCAGTATCTGAATTGTATGGTCCACTCAAGCAGGAATAAATATCTCTTATCAAATCAGAGCCCTTCTAGACTCATCTTTTAATATGCAGCAATTGGATTACTTATCATTATCTCCATTGTTTCTTAGCAATCATCATGTTGTTTCTAGCAATGCGTTATTTTTGCATCTGGCAGGTATGTGAAACTAGTTTTGCTCAAAATTATTTGATAATTGTGTGTGTGATGGCTATTTTCCCTAAAGATTATGTTATATAAAACAATCAGCTGTGCAATATTAGTCACAAATACTCCACCTGTGCTAAGCCATATTATTACTCTAAAGATTTTTATATTTAGAAGGAGCCTTTCCTTGTGTTTTTATTTCTCATCCTGGTGATGAAGGTGCAAGGAATCCTCAGAGCTCTTTCGAGTATATTGCAAAACATATGATCAATAGTATTGCACTCAAATAGGGGTCGCAGTGGCACAGTGGGTTGAATCGCTAAGCTGCAGAACTTGCTGATCGGAAGGTCAGCGGTCTGAATCAGCGGAGCGGGGTGAGCTCCCATAGTTAGCCTCAGTTTTTGCCAACTTAGCAGTTCGAAAACATGCAAATATGAGTAGACAAATAGGTACTGCTTTGGCAGGAAGGTAACGGGACTCCATGCAGTCATGCTGGCCACATGATCTTGCAGGTGTCTATGGACAATGCCTGCACCACCCCCAGAGTCGGACTTGACTAGACTTAATGTAAAGTGGAAATCTTTACCTTTACCTTTTAATGCACTGAAAGTAATATTTGGACCCTAAGAACAGCACTCTAAAACAATATACATTCACTTGCTATTCATCAGAATTCACCAATTATTTGAATTCAAATATCTTCTCTCTTTTCCTTTTAGTGTAAACTTATGCATGTTAAATAAACCTTGCTGTGTCTCATGAAGCTAGTAGTATCTATACTTAAAGCTTGGATCATATATACTGTTCTCCGCATGGGCAACATAGGTATAGATGGGATTTTGTTTCTAAACATAAGCCAGTGTTTTGTTAACTTTTGTCTGTCCTTTCCCAACATTTAAGTAATTGGAGTCTAACTACAGAGATGCTTCCTCTAACACAGGGTTCCTCAAACTGAAGCCCGGGGGCCGGATGTGGCCCTCCGAGGTCATTTACCCGGCCCTCGCTCAGGGTCAACCTAAGTCTGAAACGACTTGAAATCACACAACAATAACAACAATCCCATTCCATCAGCCAAAAGCAGGCCCACACTTCCCATTGAAATACTAATAAGTTTATATTTGTTAGAATTGTTCTTCATTTTAATTATTGTATTGTTTTAAAGTGTTTTGTGCACTACAAATAAAATATGTGCAATGTGCATAGGAATATATTCATTTTTTTTCCAAATTATAATCCGGCCCTCCAACAGTTTGAGGGACTGTGACCTGACCATCTGTTTAAAAAGTTTGAGGACCCCTGCTCTAACACAATAAAATATGAGAGCAACAGAATAGCAAATTAATGGGAGGGCAACTGAGAAAATGAAATGATAGAATATTAGTGAGACTGTCCCTAATAAACTGGGAAGTTGGATGCTATCATATAATCAAAATGATTGTTCATACACAGGTACAATACATTTTTTTAAAGATTAAAGATGGAGTGGGAGTTGTACACAAGTCGTGGTGTGAGAGCTTCCTCCTTTTGTTCAATCAGTGACAACATTTACAGCTAAAATGTACTGATTCAGCAATCTGTATAAGCAGGAAATGGGGCATAAGACCCTCTTCCTGTTAGTTTCCCTGAGATTTCTTTTACTGGTGTTGAATAGCTGCTTGAAAATACTCTTTCTGCTGTTTAAAAGGTAGTTTGTAACAAATGTCCGTTACAGTACCTGCCAACTGTCTCTTAGTGTCACTCGCTAATTTGTTCTTAATTTTTAACAAACACTTCCCATTATTTTATTTTTTCAGAAAGTGTAGGTTTAATAAGTTATAAGGTTTGGAGGAGGATCGTTTTATGACGTCCAATAAATGCCCTTCAAAGTAACTTTAAATATAATAACTATAAATAATTACTCATGAGTGCTCTATGTTTATTATGCTGCCTTCAAAAAGTGACTTGGGCCTCATCTACACTGATCATTTAATGCAGTTTCAAAATGGTATTGAAGAAAGTGGTTTTACTGTGCAGATGATTGCATAGGAAGTCCTGGAACCAGTTTGAGGCTCAGGTGATAATTACACAAACCACAGAGCACTGAGGCCACATGAAGGACTTTCTTTTGCACACTTTTTGGTAGTTTATTACCTGGCTGCTGCCATAGTTTGACATTCGTTTCGAACTGCATTAAATGATCAGTGTAGATAAGGCCTTTATTTTGCCATTTGAGCAAGATAAACTCATTCCTATGTGACTTGTAATTTATTATGTCCAGTGGCAATTATTACTTTTAGGATAATGTTGCTTCTTCTATCTGCTGTTTTCCACGGTGCGTTTTCCTTTGTGCCTGTCTGTATATTAGGAATTTTTAATAACTTGTTCCAATATTTTTGTCACATGTTTTGTGGATTATTAATATTAACTATTTATTACCTGCCTCTCCCTTTGGCTCGGGGCAGGATACAACATAATTAAAACAAGAGATAAAACATTATTAAAAAGACATACAGCAAAAGACACAGAGCTAAAATCTACTGATTAAATGAAGATTAAAATTAACAAAATTGACTGGGTCAGCTTGCCAGGAGTTATGTGTCTTCAATTGTGTCTTAAATTTTAACAGCCAATCTAGCTGTTGAATCTCTTCCAGCAGGTCATTCCACAGTTGTTTGTTTGGTCCCATGGTGCAAGTTGCTTCTGGTTTGAGAGAATCAGCCGTCTACAAAGACGTTGCTCAGGGAACGCAAGGATGTGTTACTATCCTGCGGGGAGGCTTCTTTCATGTCCTCCAGCTTCTGGTCAAAGGAAATTTTGTACAATGCCAAGCTTTTAACTTTGTTTGTAATTTTTGTATGCATTGTAATTATATTCTCAATTAGCTTCTGATGCGATAAATAAAAATAAATTCCACGGTCATGTGATGACTGATTAAAAAATCCTCTGGATTCTGGCTGGTTGGAGTAGTTGCACACAAGCGGATGCCAATGTCCTAATGGGCAGATTGTGCAGAAGAAGGTGTTTCTGTAGGTAACCCAGACCCAAACCATATTTGGCTTTAAAGGTCAAATCCAACACTTTGTCCTTTGCCTGGAAACTAATTGGCAACCGGTGGAGTGACTTTATAGTATAGGTGTAATATGCTCACTCCTAGATGTTCTTGTGACCAATCTGGGTGCTGCGTTTTGAACTAATTAGAGTTTCTGAGCTTGGTACAAAGGTAGACCAATGTGGGGTTACCAGTGCATACATAACCATCTTTCGGTCCTCAAAACACACCTGTTTTGTCTGGATTCAGTTTTAATTTGTTTTTCTCATCCAGCCCATTACCTCTTTCAGGTATTAATTCCAAATAAATCTCTCTCTACTTTGACTTGGCATCTAGAGTCAGATTTTACAAGCACAAGCTTTTGCTTGTTTTTCAAATGTATTTACCTAACTCTTTCCCCATCTTCTTTGCAGTTCCAGCACAGTGCATTATGGCTCAGTGGTGGAATATGGCCCTGCTACTGCTATGGATGTTGATCTTTGCTCACCTAGAGCTTCTGGATGCTTTTGAGTGCCCCCTGAGTTGTACCTGTTCTTACACAGAGCGGTTCATAGGCTGCTCCAACGCCAGCTTGTCTTCTGTGCCCACTGGCCTCCCACATTTCACCACAGAGCTGGACTTGCGCTTCAATCACTTTGACCGTCTGCCAGCAACTTCATTCCCAGGTTTACCCGAACTCACCAGCCTTTACCTTGGAAGCAGCAGAGTGCACCGAATTGAGCCAGGAACATTTCAGGGCATGACGAATTTGCACCATCTCTATCTGGACAACAATCTCCTGGAAGAGATCCCAGTGGGGACCTTTGAAAATCTGACCAATCTTGTTTTTCTGCATCTGCAACACAACTGTATTACTTCTCTTTCACCAGGTACTGCTATTCAAGCAGCATTGTGACATATCTTTGTTTTCTTCTCCTCTTCATTCTTAAACATCTTAGAGTTTATATAGCATGGAAAGCATATGGGAGACATGGAACAAATCACAGATTAGTGAAACACATACTCGCTTGTATTATGGTCATTAGTCTGAAATTTCTTATCTGCTGTTGGTTATTTCAGGCTTTCTTTCGTCCTGTGTAGAAATGGATCAAATTTCTATATGTTAAGCAGGAGTTATGGTGTCAACACCAGCAAAATATTATATATACGGTGGCGCAGTGGGTTAAAGCACTGAGCTGCTGAACTTGTTGACCGAAAGGTCAGAGGTTTGAATCCGGGGAAAGGTGTGAGCTCCTGCTGTTAGCCTCAGCTTCTGCCAACCTAGCAGTTCGAAAACATGGAAATGTGAGTAGATCAAATGTAGGGGCAAAGAAACCAAAATAATCCCCAAAAAGGCAGAAGCCCCTTTCTAATGGGGAGGGCAAGAATGGACACCATGAAAGTTGAATCTTTTAAACTGCAAAAACTATTTATTGCATGGCCATAGCAATAACAACAAACAAGCATACAGGGATGCAATAAAAGGGTTTGTCGCAACCCCCAATGGGGCTGCAGAGCTTTTGTAGTAAATGAAATATACATTTTAATTGGTTCCCAAAGACAAATCATTTCATTGGTCTAAGTTAGCTATACAGTTGTTCATTAGTTGTTTATGATTTTGATTGACATTATAGCAAATGTGGGATCCTAACAATGGCACAACTATAACATAACTATATAGCCCATTGTTCTTTGACCATGACTGTATCTTATCAGTTAGTCTGTTGCAAACATGGCTTCAGAGTGACTGAGAAACTTGGGGGTTCTAACTAGCCACAAGCTAGCTGGTTTTGTCTGGATATACTGTTATCCTTGAATAGTAACTTCTTCTTTGGAGCACTGATTTCTTAAACAAACAGCATTTTCTGTAAACAGGCCTACTGCAGAAATAGGCCAATATGGAAGTAAATCATGACATATGGACATTGGGAACATCTCTGAAAATTCTCTTTTTAAAACCACATCCCCTCTAAATAGGTACCACTCCAGTGGGAAGGTAACAGTGCTCCATGCAGTCATGCCGGCCACATCACCTTGGAGGCATCTACGGACAATGCTGGCTCTTCAGCTTAGAAATGAAGATGACCTATTCCTCTTGCAGTTTTTCACCCTCCAAAGTTATTTCTATTCTCTAAATCAGTTTGTTAAGGGGGAGAATAAAGCACCTCAGTTTTTGAAATGGCTGCTGATTTAAAAATGACAGTTGCAGCTTTTCAGGAGAGTTACTATTGCTACTACAATGTTCTTCTCCACTTTGGAGGCATCACCTCTGAGCTCCTGTTTTCAAAATGACAGTTGAAGCTTGCTGGGAGAGCTATTGTTGCTATGGCTATGTTCTTCTCCATTTTGAAGGCATCTGAGCTTATTTTCAAAATGACTGTTGCAGCTTGCTGGGAGAGCTGTTATTGCTACTGCTATGTTCTTCTCCCACTCTGGAGACGATCTCGTTTTCAAAATCAAGTTGCAGCTTACCAGGAGACATAACGTATGCTCATCTTTCCTAATTTTCTCCTTGTTATTTATCCTTACTAACATACATACCTTTTAGGTTTGTCAGAGAAGGGCAAACATGGCCAGTTGGTTAGGCAGGATTGAAAAGACTGTTGGAGAAAGGGAGTGGGGCCTGAATGACTCAACTGAAAAGGAACCGTGGGTCCTGCCATTCCAGTTGGAGCACAACAGGCGGGAGTGAGATCCAGTTGTAGTGGATGACTAATCCTGGCCATCCCGAGAAGGAGATTGTTTTCTTTGTGGAATGGGAAAAGAGTAAGAATATTAATATTACTGTTGCACTCCAGGACAGGAAGAACCCTCTGAGTTTAAAAACACCACACGTTGAGTAGGAAAACAATCCTTTTATTGAAGATAATTAAAAAGCAGCAAAATACTTTAAAGAAATAGGTAAATCCAAATAGGTAAGAAGATAAGCAGGAACAAAATAGTCCAGGGTAAAATTCAGCAAAGTCCATGAAAACAAAATCCTCTAATATAATATAGAAAACCAGGAAACATTAATCCAGGGCATGAGTATGCAATCATAAAATCCAAGAGTCAAAACCATGAAACAAATATTTAGCATGAATCTTCCAAGCAAGACTTTCATGAAACAAGGACGAGAACTTGATTCCAAACGATGCTTCATCTGGCTACATTTCCCATACTTGGAACTTTTATCCCCTCGTTAAGCTATCCCAAGCACTCAGAAATTGGTTTCGCTTTAATTGAGTTTCTCTTATCTTTTTCTGTCAAAGCCTGGCAGAACGCCAAAGGCACTGTTCAGCTTGTCTGTTTTGACTAATCTTCTGCTGTCTACCTATTTGCTCATTAACTTCTGCAGGTGCAGAGTTATTTTCAAGCCCCAAATCCTGGGAACTCTCTGGTAGCAATTCAGGGAGTACACCAGCATCCCCACACCCTTCAGGGACATCCTCATGGGAAACTACACTTTGAACAGGGATCTCCTGTTCATTCTCTGCATTAATATCCTTGACCAAACCATTGCCATCTTGAAATTAATTGACATCACTCCCCACATCCAAAGCACCCTGATCCAGAAACACAAACACAGGCTGAGCTCCAACAATTACTTCTCCCAATTTTCCATTTTAAAATTTATGACAAAACATATTTTATCATATATGTCATACCCATGAAGACCCTCACTGTTTACCTTTAGTTAAGCCCTTTTTTAGTTAGAGGGATTAATATTTTATGTACAGTTTCTGGGGGTCAGTCTAGACAGCCTCTTTGCATTTGAAGCCTCCATCACCCTGCCCCTTTAAGAATCCCCTCAGGGGCGGAGCCTCTGACAAGGGACTTCTGATTTTTGGAAGAGTCAACCCTTTTCCTGACTGGAAGGTGAAGAGAGAAAGGCTGGGGGCTGGAGGTGGGCTGCAAATAGCATGTCTAGTCAGAGCTGTATTCAAGTCCAGTCGGATCTTCAGTAGAGTATCGCTTATCCAACTTTGGTTCATCCAACGTTCTGTATTTTCCTGTGCAGTCTGCCTCCCGCTTGGATCCATAGCTGTTTCAAGACATTACAATGTTTTGGTGTTAAATTCATAAACACAGTAATTATGACATAATGTTACCGTGTATTGAACTGCTTTTTCTGTCAATTTGTTGTAAAACCTGATGTTTTGGTGCTTAATTTGCAAAATCATAATGTAATTTGATGTTTGATAGGCATTTCCTTAATCTCTTCTGCTTATCCAACGTTCTGCCGGCCCGTTTATGTTGGATAAGTGAGACTTTACAGTATATTCAAGTCTAGCCAGTGTTACATATTTAGACCACTTTAGTGACAGTTGAACTCTATACAAGAAAGAGACAATAAGAAGAAATAAAGTTTCAAGAGCCTCAGTTCAACCATAACTATGTCTATCTTTTAAATACCGTACTTTACCTCTCCTCGTAAAGACTTTGTAGTGAGACTCAGGAGGAGATCAAGTCTAAAATTCTTGACAGTTAATAAATTGATCCAACTATAAAGTCTCTGATCTGTTCGCTGTGCAGCCAGTTCACCTTCCAAATAGTTAAGATAGCGTGGGGGCAGAACAATATATTAATGTTGAAACATTGCAGAAGGTTGACTGTATTCTTCAAAGATTTAAAACAAATAAACCAGAATACTACCACCCAAACATTCTCCCTTGATGGGAAATCAAGTTAATTTGCAATAAAGATTGTGCTATTTGTTATTTTTCTTGTTTTCTTCCTTTTAAAAAATAGTTTCTTGTGATTTTAAAAAATGTCAGCCTGCCATAATTATAAGACCAGAGATTTCTTAACTGAAGGCAAACACAGGTTAATTTTTGGAACAAATAAAGAGTCCATTATGAATGTGAAAACTTGCAGTAAATGACATTAGCAATACTGAGCACACACCAGTGTTGCTAATGTCATTTACTGCAAGTTTTATTCTATCTTCTAAAAATCCATGAAGGACTATGTGAGTTTTGCCGTATCTTCTGTCACGATAGGAACAAGGGTGGGTTGACTAAAAATAATAGCCTGGCAATAGTGGGTTCACCAATCAACATGTTATTTCTCTTTTATAGGTGCATTTTCTCCTCTGAAACGGCTGAGTGTCCTGTACTTAAGCCACAACCTCTTGACTGAACTTTCAGACGTGGGCTTTAGTGGTCTCCAGCAGCTTTACCAACTTCACCTCAGTGCTAACCTTATTGTCAACTTGTCAGCCAAGGCCCTGCCACGTAATTTGCGCACCCTCTTCCTGGATTGGAACAGGCTGAAGAGCGTGCCAGTTGCAATTGGCAATTCTGCCCGACTCTCTGTCCTTCATCTCAGTGGAAACCCCATCAAGGAGTTCACGTCGCTCTCCTCTGGGAGGAAGCTCGGCTCCTTGAAGGAGCTCTTCTTAGAAAGCCTGGACCTGGAGGATGCTTCCAGCTTAAGCTTCAAAAGGCTGCGCAGGCTTGAAGTTTTGAGTTTAAGGAACAATAGCTTAGAGTCATTGCCCTCTCTCTCATCGCTGAAGTATCTCTCTACGTTGTATCTGACTGGGAACAAGTGGTGTTGTGACTGCAACTTGATCTGGCTTCGTACCTGGCAGAAGAAAGTGAAGAAAGAAGACCGCAGCCCTGTGGAGTGCAGTTCCCCAAGTGCTCTTCATGGACAACAACTGGTGAATGTAGAGGTAAGCAATTGCTGGCACTATAGCAATGGTTCTCAACCTGTGGGTCCCCAGCTTTTTTGGCCTACAACTCCCAGAAATCCTAGCCAGTGCACCAGCTGTTAGGATTTCTGGATGTTGAAAACCAAAACATCTGGGGACCCACAGGTTGGGAACCTCTGTACTAGAGATAGATATATATAAATGCTCTGTGCATGAGTACCTTAAAAACAAAAGAACCAATTAACGAAATCACACCAAATTTGGCAACAAAACGTCTCACAACACAAGGAGTGACCATCACTAAAAAAAATTATGATTTTGTCATTTGGGAGTTGTAGTTGCTGGGATTTATAGTTCACCTACAATCAAAGAGCACTCTGAACTCCATCAATGATGGAATTGAACCAAACTTGGCACACAGAACTCCCATGACCAACAGAAAATTCTGGAAGGGTTTGGTGGGCAGTGTCCTTTGGTTTTGGAGTTGTAGTTCACCTACATCCAGAGAGCATTGTGGACTCAATGATGGATCTGGACCAAACTTGGCACAAGCACTCAAGACGCCAAATATGAACACAGATGGTGTTTGGGGGAAATAGACCTTGACATTTGGGAGTCGTAGTCACTGGGATTCACAGTTCACCTCCAATCAAAGAGCATTCTGAACCCCTTGAACGACAGAATCAGGGCAAACTTCCCACACAGATCCCCCATGAACAACAGAAAATACTTAAGGCCATCCAGTCCAACTCGCTTCTCCAGGCCAAGAAAATGTAATCAAAGTCCTCCTGACAAAGAGCCATCCAGCCATTGAGATAGATAGATAGATAGATAGATAGATATGATTCACACACAGAGAGATATAGTATCATAGATTTGAAAGGGACCCCCTAAAGAAGGATAATGATATGTTGCATGTTCCAGTGTGGGCAACATATCATTGTCCAGACAAAGAAACAGCAAGAAATACTGTTTACCCACAAGCATAAAGACATTACATAGATTAGAAACCAACACTTTCTCATTACTTTATTTTCCAGATCAACAGACTGGGCCACAGCAACGCGTGGCAGGGGACAGCTAGTTTGTCGCTAGAAAGTCTAGAAATCACAGTTCAATTAAAAGGCTCCCCCCCCTTTGTGTCCTGGTTTTTAGCCCTGTTCTTGGGGTTAATTGGGGTGCTGATTCAGACAATTGCATTGGAAAAGACCAAGCATGGGCAAACTTCGGCCCTCCAGGTGTTTTGGACTTCAACTCCCATAATTCCTAACAGCTGGTCCCATGCCTGAGATAGACCACATCAACTCTAGTTTCTTAGATATTGTTATCATGTTTTCTATGGGCGAGCAGACAGCGACTGGTAGATGGCCTATGTTTTGTATCTCAAAAATAAGGTATCATATGGGAAAGCTGGTGCTTTTTTTTGTTTTTGGTCAAATATATCCAGAAATGGTTAACATCTGAGGTAGCAAACTGTGTGTTGGCCAGTGTTATTTGACTTACCAAATTTTAAATTAAGATTATGTTTATTTATATCCCATTTTATCTCTCCATGGAGTCCCTTGCTGGCGCAGCGAGTTAAATCACTGCGCTGCTGAACTCTGACTCTGGGAGTGGTACTCATCTCCATTTTAAAGCCAAAGAGCCGGTGTTGTCCATAGACACCTCCAAGATCATGTGGTCAGCATGACTGCATGGAGCACTGTTACCTTCCTGCAAATGTGATCTACTCACATTTGCATGTTTTCAAACTACTAGGTTGGCAGAAGCTGGGTCTAACAGCAGGAGCCCACCCCACTCCCCGGATTTGAACCCCCAACCTTTTGGTCAGCAAGTTCAGCAACTCAGCGGTTCTTCTCATACCACTTTTTTCCTATCTCTTATTTGTTTTATTTTCCAACCCTCTATTTATTTATATTTCCAACGGCTTCTAATAGTGCTGTCTGACCTTCTAATCTTTTTGTCCATGACCTTTTGGCTAAAAAATATATGAATACTTAAATATACTAAGCAGGCTTTACTTTTTTTGGTATTTACCTAAGAAACAATGTAAATTATTGGCTCTCAGAACACCAATCTGTTTTTCCCTTTTCAATATTGGGGATATTCATATCCAACTGTGAAATATGCAGTCTTCCTTAGCAACTGTAACTAAGGTTTATCACTATTAGTCAAACCTCATTGCTTTTGCAGAGGTTTGAGGCCTAATGTTTTAACCTCATTGTTTTTCAAAATGATATTTCAGAACTTAAAACTAATCGTAGTATACATCCTAGACACATTCATTAATACATTTTACCATTTTTGATAGTGTGCCTTTTTTTTCTTCCATAGCAAAAACCTACCATTAGCAGAGATTAGATAAATATTTGGATTTGAATAAAAAATCACTTGAAGTTGTCTTTATGGTGACAGTGGCAAAGATCTACTGCAAAATACACAGAAAAAGCAAAATTATATTTTGCTACAGGTCTTTAAAACCTTCTCCTTTTTGCCCTAACAATACCTCAAATTCTCTTCCATGTGAAAAAAACCCCACACATCCACACATTTTCATTAGGGAAGGTAATGTATGTGTGAAGATTTTTAAATCAGAAAGATTTACAGCTCGTTCTGTTAGCTAAAATATTCACATCCTACCTTCAGCTCTGATTCCTCTGTCTGGTATTAAATGTTTAATTATTTGTTAATTACATTTTGATTTCCCCCTTCCTCTAATAAGCAAGAAGCGGTTTCTGGTAAAGAAATACTGCTTTGATGGGACTGACAGTGAATAGTAATTTCGTACATTAGTATCTAATATATCTGAACCTTGGAGATGGATAATTTTTAGTGACAACTGAAAGAAGCATGAACATTGAATAATTATTTTGTATATTTTACCCTATTACCAGTCACTAATAATATTTATTTATATTTTATTTATTTATTTTACATATTATATTAACTAATAATATTTATTTATATTTTACTCTATTAACAGTCACTCGTATTTATTTATAGCATTTATATTCCACCCTTCACACCCTGAAAGGGACTCAGGGTGGATCATGGAACACATTCACAGCAAACATTCAATACCGTTAAACAGACAGGACAGACAAGAGATAGAGGTATATGTCGGCATTTTCCCAACTTCTGTGTCCTGGAGGTTGTACTTGATTCCGGCCACAGGGGGGCTCTGTCGCTCCATCCTTTATGATGAAGAGCCCTTGATAACAGACTTCCTCCTTCCTTAAATCACCAGCATTTTCTGGTATTTCCTTTTTATGGTGTCGTAAAATACCTCCCCCTTAAACAGTGCCTCATTTCTCTACTCACAGCTGTTTTCAAACTACTTAGGTAGACAGTGAGCTGCGCTGAAGGTCGGGTGCTCATCCCAACCTGGGCTTCAAACTGTCAACCTTTCGATGGGTGTGATCTTATTGCTGCTGGTGATTTAACCAGCTGTGCTAAAGCTCGGCCCTCTAACAATGACCAGCAATCTCAGATTTGTCAGAAAAACAGAGATTTGCCAGTGCATAAAAACAGCAGAGCTTTACAAGTGTTTATATCATGCCCCCAAAAACTACTCTTCCATAAAGCAACTTGCTTCATATCATGCACTCAAGAGACAAAAATAAAGTAGACTTTGATAGATATAACATATTTGGTTTACTCTTAACTTTTGTGTGTTCAGCATACACAGGTCCAAAAACTTATCAGTCCAGTTTCAAATACCTTTAAGGTGATTCCCTGTGCCAGCTGGTCAGGACATCTCTCTTGTAACAAAACAGCTATCAACAGGTCATAGTCAAAAGGAGAGGAAAAGAGCATGTGGTCTGCAGCCCCTTTTGTAACTTCTCAGAAACCATAGAGTAAAAGAAGCTGCACACCAGAACATACATACAGGAAACAGTAAGCAACAAGATCATAGACAGATTGCTAGAGAAAGCTTGATGAAGGTTGTCATTTCCAACAACAACTGAGCAACACTTTATATATCTGATTCAGTTGTGACATACCAGTCTGGAGCAAGAATCTTCTTTTAAAAACTAACCTTAGAGATATGATTGTACACCACATCAAAAGACAATGTTTATTCTTTTTTTCCCCTTCTGCAGTTACAAAAATTGACTTGTCCACCTTTCCACACTGTGCCTGACTCAGTCACTTCATCTGCAAATATGCTGAAGGCCGAAAGTACAACTAGTGAGGAACTTTCAACCACAATTGCTATCACGTTTCCTATTACAGTTCCTACTACTCCGATTACCAACACAATGACCTCCACAGCAGGACCAACTGCTCACAATGATGCCACCATAAAACCAACCACCTATAATAATCGTAATGGACTGGAGAACCATGATCCTTGCCTCTCTGACCATATTAGTAACATCAGCACAAGGTCAAAAGGGAACACTGTCCTCGAGGTTACATGGTCTTTCTCTGGAGATCACGACCAGTTTGAAATACGATGCACGTCTTCTGTGGATCAGCATATCCTGCGAGTAATTGGTAGATTAACAGAAGTTGAGCTTCACCATCTGCAACCAGGGACAAATTACAGAGTTTGTGTTATTCCCCAAAATGAGAACCTTTTGGAGTGCGAGGCTCCCGCAGCCCAGCAATGCACATCGGGGCACACTGCTACCCACACTCCGTCTCAGCACTTCAACTTAGTCCTGGGAATTAGTGTTAGTTTTACAGTTCTGGTACTGATAGCCCTGGCCGCCTTTGCCTCTTACAGGTGGTGGCTCCGACCGATCCAGTTTCAGCGCTACTACAATGAAGACAGACAGCTTTCTCAGCACCATGGCATTGCACAGTTCAAGGTAACCAAAGAGGAGCCAGTTTACGAGAGCTTAGAGGACGATCAGCATATATATATGACAGCTGCCAGTCAATGGCCTGAAGAGAATATAGACTGCAGACCTATTTCGCCATCCAGATTTCCATCCACACCAACCTATGTGAGCCTCTGATTTAAAAGAAAAGAAAATTTGAAGTCTTTAAGCTCATTTACATAAATGACTAGGAGTTACAATGCACAAAACCTCAAAAGACCAGAGTGAAGAGAGGGGGCCAGGAGGACAGTTCCACCTTGTCTCCTGCACTGTTCTAATAATATAATATATTGTATATACATATAATATTGATAATATTATAATGTAATACAATATCATACTAATAATTATATATTTTATATTACATGTAATATTAATAATATTGCAGTATAATGGTAAAAAAAAGACGTGAACGACGTGTGATTTTATTTCCACCACAATCTATACAGTGCACGCAGCACTATTTGCTTTTACAGGCAATCAGAATAGCCCTAGTTTTCTATATCTTCTTCTTAAAACAGTCCACAAGGAATGTTCCCATGTAAGTGCCTATGAAACATATAGCAATTATATAAATCTGCTCCATTGCAGGGAAATTGCTCCAATGGTGTTTCTAGATATATGCCTTCTCTTTGTCCCATTGCAAGGACAAATTTTAGCGTAATGATGACTGGAAAAAATATGTGAGATAAAAACGCTTCCTTCTCTTATTCTGAAGCAGAATGTAAAAAAAGAAGAAATACAGTGAACTGCAATGAAGTTCAGTCTGAACCGGAAAATAGTTAAATGGCAATAATACTGGGCTCCAACATAGCTAAAATGGCAGTGAAATAGTTACTACTATTTTAGTGATATGAAGGACTCTGCTTATTTCAATTCTACATCTGCTTGATTAACCCTAGTTTCATTTATGGAATCACTGCCCACAAGTTTTACAGAATCTGGCAAATCATAAACAATAAATCTCATCAGTTAAGAAGCAGCAGAAAGAGAAATGATAAATAGAAAAGGATCAGAAGAAGAGTCACAACTGATTATGCTCATTATGAACCAAACCTTTTTTAATTGGGCACATATTTATGTATGTGAAGAAACATCTTATACAGGCCAACCATAATCAGTCCTTCTAGTAAAAAAATTGATAGGGATGAAAGTTTACACATGAAAATCAAGTAGGCAAAGAAATATCCCCAAATTAAGACTATATACAGCATATCCTATACATTTTGAAGGCCCTACAGTGCTAAGAAACAGCCCCCCAAAAGGCAAAATTCTTTTATGACTGGTGCTGGTCTAAGCCTGAAGGAAAAACCTGAATACTGAGAACACAATGCAGCAATTAAGCAATATGCAAAAATTTCGCTATTACCCCAAGGGAGGCTATCTTTTAACAATATATTTTGGGATCTTAGCCAAGTCCTAAGCTTTGACAACAGCAGAAGTTCCAGCAAAACAGCATGTAGAAAAGCTGAGGGAGAATTCCCCTCAGAGAAAGAGAAACCATGCCCCCCTCCCTCCAAAAAGAGAGAGATACTGGGAAATGCAGGGTTCGCTTTGGAAAGAGGGAGCTAAAAAACCAACAACAAAAGAAACACAAAACCATTAAAATATAAACACATGGCAGAGTTCCTCAAATCTTGTTTTCGCAGAAAGCAACCAGGCATCCCGGTGACAATATAAGTTCTTTGCTGCCTTTCCAGGCTAAGGGTGCTCTGATGCACGTCCCACGTGGAGGAAGGAAGGGCAGGGATGCCTCGGCGTTACAGATGGTGGAGGGTCTGTAGCAGCAAGTGGCGCGCGCAAGAGCAGGAATCTAAAGCGTGGTTGGGTCTGGCAAAAGAAAATGGAAATATAAAGGGGATGATAATTTCACTTGCACAAAGATTCAAACAACAGATGCCCTCAAAAGCAATTAAGACCTACAATTCTGAATGAGATGTTCTCTAGCCTTAGGGCCCTTCCACACAGCCATATAACCCAGAATATCAAGGCAGAAAATCCCACAATATTACTATAATAATTTTAATAATAATAGTAATTATTATGATTATGATTATTTTATTTTTATACCCCGCCTCCATCTCTCCAAAGGGACTCGGGGCAGCTTACACGAGGCCAAGCCCAATCTGCTTTGAACTGGGTTATCTGAGTCCACACTGCCATATATTCCAGTTCAAAGCAGAAAATGTGAAATTTTATTCAGCTGTTTGGAAGGGGCCTTAGAATCCTCCAGTTTTTACCCAGTTCGGTACCCCAGATGTTATTGAACTACAACTCTCATCACTTTTAATTATCTGCCATGTGATCTGGGGATAATGGGAATTGTAACCCAACACTGTCCCCAGTGGGGTAGTGGGTTAAAGAACTGAGCTGCTGAACTTGCTGAGCGAAAGGTTGCAGGTTCAAATCCAAGGAGCAGCCTTAGCTCCCGCTGTTAGGGCCAGCTTCTGCCAACTTAGCAGTTTGAAAACATGCAAATGTGAGTAGATCAATGGGTATCGCTCCAGCAGGAAGCTAACGGTGCTCCATGTAGTCATGCCGGCCACATGACCTTGGAGGTGTCTACGGACAACACCAGCTCTTCGACTTAGAAATGGAGATGAGCACCAACCCCCAGAGTCAGATAGGACTGCACTTAATGTCAGAGGAAAACCTTTACCTTTACCTAACCGAACAGCACTTGGGGTTCCGAGGTTGGGTAAAGGTTAAAGGATATCTTAATGTCAGACATCATATTCTTAAGCCTTGTATTTAAATCCTAATCCCAATAATTGACTAAACAGAACAAACTGCAGTCTTCCAATGTCAGTGTGCCACAACCCCTATCAACTCTACTCATAATGTCTAATGAGAAGGAATACAGGAGTTATAGCCCAGTATCTGGAGGGTTGCCTAAAATGACATCTAGGGCTACATTTTGCCCATGGGGCCTGGATGTGACACACATGCTCTATAGGAAATTATGTAACACAACATGCTTAAAAAGGAGGCTGGCATTGGCAAGGCTTGAAAAACAGGATGATTTTCCTTTTTGTGGAGTACAACCAAAGCATTTTCTGCAGAGTCCACTGTAAACACTGCATATTATTCCTACCAGATTTGTGTGAACGGGTGGCATCAAAACCTTTTACTGTTGCCAATTTTTTTATGACCCCAACTTTGAGCTAAACTAAGGGACCCCATTTGGGATCGGGACCCACAGTTTAAGTAGCTGTGAAATAGAGGGAAAGTCTATCTGAGTCTAAATGTCTTTTTAAATACAAATATTTAATACAACAATGCCACCAACTATATTTGCCATGAAACCGTGGTATTAGCAAGCAGTAATGTATATAGTGAATGAATCAGATCTATCTACATGTGCACCGTTTTCCTATGTATGGATGTCCTTTTTTTGGGCCATGAGGGAGCAATCTGAACCACAGAAATGCTTCACTGCATATGTGAAATATGAAATAATGAGATAGCTACTGAGTTCAGCTTGGGTCCTCCAGGGGTTTTTGGCACTAATGTCATAATTCTGCATTTGGCTGTGGGAATGTGGCCAGATGCTCCTGCACTTCTGCTGCCTATGAGCCAGCTTCTTAGTAAATCAGAGGAGCCCTGTGTAGGTCCCCATGTGAATGTTTACATTATGCTGAGGGGATGATGGATTGCAGCCTAACTGTTAGGTTTTCTATTTGGGATCCACAATACTTACTTTGAGACAAAAGCCGTAAGAATTGGGACGAGTGACTTTGGGAAATAATCCTGCTGGACCATATGATTTAATGCCATCAGAGGGCCGTGAAGACTTGGAAAATCCTTTATTTTTTCTTCTCCCTGGAAAGTGGAAGAAGGAGTCAGATAGAAATGAACAACGATACTTGGGACACACCAGAAACATTTGCTCTGACTTGCAAATTGCCTATCTAAAGGCAACAGCTCTCTCCCTCCTTTTGGTCATATTGAATTGCAAATATTCTGCAAACATCCTGAAGTCCCGCCTCAAACATTTCAAAGCACAGGGAGACATCTCATATAATCCTAGTTATGCTTTTACCTAAGCAAGAGAAAGGGAGCACTACAGGGCCTATGCCATTTATTTATTTATTTAATTTATTTATATCCCACTTTTCTCCCTATTGGGATTCAAGGCGGTTAACAACCACACAATCTAATGACAATTTTAAATGATACAATACAAAAAAAAATCAATTAAATAGTTGTGTGTGTGATATAAAATACAAAAGTTAAAATACAATAAACACAATTAAAATGGCATTTAAAACTGAACATCCTCCAAAACTACCACCCAGGGGTTTCTCCTGACCTTACAGAACCGGTGAAGGAGAGAAATGTAACTGCCACATTGGCTTGACTTTACTCCCCCCCCCCCCCCATAAGAGTACATCTATTGGAGACACTGAAGATATACCTTCTTGTTTATTTTTTTGGCACAACCATTGCTTGATCCATGCTTTGTCTATGCAAAGTTGTTAATTTGCATTTGTGCAGTGCATGCTTTCTGTTATGCTATGAAAATAGCTACCTCAATGTAGGATATCCAATAATAATGATTATAATAATGATAATAATAATATGCCAGCAAAGGCTTATTGGATTGGTTGGTAATCATACTTTTCTTACCTGCCTCTCCCCACCTCATGATCCAAGGTGGGGAACAAAAGCAGATTAAAATATACAAGCCATCACATTAGTTGTGTTTTAAGACTAGTTTCACAGTATCTCTCACCACAAGATATACAAAGTAGGTTTGTCTGGACAAGAGGACAAGAATATGTTCCTCAAACAGAGATCATTGATAAATCTGTCCTTTTCACAACAAAGATGCAAAAAAAAATGCATACAGATCGCACAACACAGTCATGATAATTCACCTCCCTCTCTTCTCACCTTGAGCAATCCCATGTGAATCAAGAGGCTGGTAATGAAAGCATTAGAATTGAAGGTAGCTGATGAAAATGCTGCTGACATCACGGCATCTAAAAAGAGAGAGGCAGGTTCCATTTTAAAGGCACGAGAGCCTCCAATCACAACACTGGACAACCAGAATATTGACAAGAAATTAGCAAAACATTCATATGAAATATTAACCCCTGGAGACTGATTCTCCAACTGCAGTTCTTGAGATCACCGAGTGCCCCATGGCCACGCTACTCTCTCAAAATCCCCTTTGCCATTGATAGGGCAGGGCGTAGAGTGGACTGGTGCCTATTATAAGGAGTAATCCTTCCTCTGAGATTGAACCCATGCTGATCCTTTTAATGTTTAAAGCCACTTAAGTAATCTCTCTGATGAGCCACTGCAGTTGAAATTGCTACATGACAGGTGTCATGTAGCAATTTTTTAGTAATATCCATAGGGCAGCCTCTATCAGACAGGGAGGTTATGCAGGCTTGGACTACAACTCCCATTTCTCTTACACTGGATATGTTGGTCAAATCTGATGGGGGCGTTTGTTATTATTCATTTGTTGTTGTTTCTGACTCTTGGACCAGCCCACGCCAGAGCTCCCTGTCAGCAGTCACCTCCCCCAGTTCCTTCAGAGTCAAGCCAGTCACTTCAAGGATGCCATCCATCCATCTTGCCCTTGGTTGGTCCCTCTTCCTTTTTCCTTCAATTTTCCCCAGCACAATTGTCTTCTCTAAGCTTTCCTGTCTCCTCATGATGTGGCCAAAGTACTTCATCTTGGCCTCTACTATCCTTCCCTCCAATGAGCAATCGGGCTTTATTTCTTGAAGTATGGACTGGTTGGATCTTCTCGCAGTCCAAGGCACTCTCAGAACTTTCCTCCAGCACCACAGCTCAAAAGCATCTATCTTCCTTTGCTCAGCCTTCCTTGTGGTCCAGCTCTCACATCCATAGGTGACTATAGGAAATATCATTGCTTTAACTATGCGAATCTTTGTTGTGAGTGTGATGTCTCTACTCTTCACTATTTTATCGAGAGTGGACATTGCTCTCCTCCTCAGAAGTAAGCATCTCCTGATTTCCTGGCTGCAGTCTGCATCTGCAGTAATCCTTGCACCTAGAAATACAAAGTCTGTCACTGCCGCCACGTTTTCTCCCTCTGTTTGCCAGTTATCAATCAGTTTGGCTGCTATAATCTTGGGTTTTTTTTATGTTTAACTGCAACCCAGCTTTTGCATTTGCTTCTTTCACCTTGATTAGAAGGCTACTCTGCTCCTCCTCGCTTTTGGCCATCAAAGTGGTATCATCTGCATATCTAAAGTTGTTAATGTTTCTTCCAGTAATTTTCACCCCAGCCTTGCATTCGTCAAGCCCCGCACATCTCATGATGTGTTCTGCATACAAGTTGAATAGGTTGGGTGAGAGTATACAACCCTTCCTTACGCCTTTTCCAATCTTGAACCAGTCTGTTGTTCCATGGTCAGTTCTTACTGTTGCTACTTGGTCCTTATACAGATTCCTCAGGAGACAGAGAAGGTGATTTGGTATGCCCATACCACCAAGATGGGGAGGTATCTTGCAACAACTTCTGCAAGTTACATATTACCACCAAGGATCACATGAAACATGGACTGGATGAGGGCGAACAAATTGAAATTGAATCCAGACAAGACAGAGGCACTCCTGGTCAGTCGAAAGGCCGAACAGGGTATAGGGTTACAGCCTGTGTTGGACGGGGTTACACTCCCCCTGAAGACGCAGGTTCGCAGCTTGGGTGTGATCCTGGATTCATCGCTGAGCCTGGAGCCCCAGGTCTCGGCGGTGTCCAGGGGAGCATTTGCACAGCTTAGGCTCGTGCGCCAGCTGCGCCCGTACCTCGGGAAGTCTGACTTGGCCACGGTAGTCCACGCTCTGGTCACATCCCGCATAGATTACTGCAACGCGCTCTACGTGGGGCTGCCCTTGAAGACTGCCCGGAAGCTTCAGATGGTCCAGCGTTCGGCAGCCAGGTTGCTAACAGGAGCGGCACTCAGGGAGCATACCACTCCTCTGTTGAGCCAGCTCCACTGGCTGCCAATTTGCTACCGGGCACAATTCAAGGTGCTGGCGTTAGCCTATAAAGCCCTAAACGGTTCCGGCCCCACTTACCTCTCCGAACGCATCTCCACCTATGAACCAACGCGGACATTAAGATCTTCCGGGGAGGCCCTGCTCTCGGTCCCGCCTGCGTCACAGGCACGGTTGGCGGGGACGAGAGACAGGGCCTTCTCGGTGGTGGCCCCTCGGCTATGGAATGCCCTACCCATTGACATCAGACAGGCCCCTTCGCTGCTGGCGTTTCGGAAGAAGGTTAAGACCTGGCTCTACGAGCAAGCGTTTGGCTAATCAGTGCAATTGAACATAGGAAGACGGTAAAATTGAACATAGGAATGGCACAAGGATTACGAGAATGGATTTTGCTCTGCTATCGAGGCGTCATGAATTGATAATAATTGTGTATTTTGTTATTGTGTATGATGTGTTTTAATTGCTATTGTTGTGATAATTTACATTGTGTAAACCGCATTGTGTCGCCTAATTAGGCTGAAAAACGCGGTATAGAAATAAAGCAAATAAATAAATAAATAAACTTGGAACTTGCTAAACACAAGTGTGTGTGTGTGTTGTGCACATTGTGGCTCTTCCAAGTTTATTATGACTTATTGTTGGAAGTCAACCACATCCCGCACAAGTTTATAGTCCTCGTCAAGGAAATAGATAGGCAGATGAGATAGTTGACAGGAAAAACCCTTCCCCCATTCCGCTCTTTGTTTAAATCAGTGGTTTCCAGCCTGTGGTCCATGGACCACCAGTGGTCCACAAGAATTATAAGTTGCTTACCTGTAACTGTAGTTTCCTGAGTAGTCACCTGCGAATGCGTACATTTGGTAATCTCTGCGCCTGCCGAATGGTGCTGCGCACATGCAGAGATTACCAAATGTACGATTCGCAGTGACTACGACAGGAAACAAAAATATAGTCCGCAGCCTCACCGTTACTACACCGTTGACTTGAAACCATATGGCAATGAGAGTGACTGGTCTCGTGAAACCCTCTTATAGTGGGGTCGTTGAGAGAGCAGAGGCTGTCTACCCACTAAAGATTACTACTACCACATTAGCTCTAGATTATTAAATATGGTTTTCTGTGGGCAAGCAGATGGCGACTACTGGATGGCTTATGTTCTGTATCAAAAACTAGAGCGGATGTGTTCTATCCAATGCAATTTTCTGAATCAGTGCCTCAAATAACCAAACCGAATCTAAACTTGACCCCAACCTAATTTGTAACCTTTTTAGTGCTAATATTGGAGAGTGGTCCCTGGGCAAAAAATAGGTTAGGAACTACTGGTCTGTATCTATTTCTTTCTCTCCTGCTGTCTCCTGTTTGTTAGACTGATATTTCTCAGGGACACGCTTCTTTATTCAAAATTTCAAGCCACATGGCAAGCAGGGATTCAAGCCCTGGTCCCCCTCAGGCCCGGTCCAGCATCCCAACTGCTATGCCATGCTGGCTCTCAAAAACAACAGGCCGTCCAACAATTATATACAGAGAGGACGTGTTAAGCCTCAATTTCCATCCTTAGTAAGGATCCCAAAAAGGGAAAGATTATTAAGAACCTGAATGTGATCAGGTTTGGATAAAGGAAATAAATGCTTACCTGTTATTTCATTTACTGCTGTTTTTATTGGTATCTCATCTTTGAAGACAGAGGAGATCTTCAGAAAAACCTTAACAACTTTCTCTGCATCAGATGTATCTGTCTAAAAGAAACAAAACTCCAGCTTTACAATAGTGAGGAAGCTTTTCCACAAAAAAGGGGGAAAAAAGCAACAGATGGATTTCTATGGACAAAGTATATCAAATAATGAAGCAGGGTGATTATTTATTTATTTACAGCATTTATGGGCCTATTTCTATATCTCAAATGAAGCATTTTGATTAAAATTATTTTCAGTGTAATAAAGCAGTGGTTCTCAACCTTCCTAGTGCCATGATCCCTTAATATGGTTCCTCATGTTGTGGTGTTCCCCAACCATAAAATTATTTTTGGTGCTACTTCAGAACTGTAATTGTGCTACTGTTATGAATTGTAATGTAAATATCTGATATGCAGGATGTATTTTCATTCACTGGACCAAATTTGGCACAAATACCTGATATGCCCACATTTGAATATTAATAGGGTTGGGGGTTTTATTTTGTCATTTCGAGTTGTAGTTGCTGAGATTTACAGTTAACCTACAATCAAAGAGCATTCTGAACTCCAGCAACAATAGAATTGAACCGAACTTGTCACACAGAACTCCCATGACCATCAGAAAATACTGGAAGGGTTTGGTGGGCATTGACCTTGAGTTTTGGAGTTGTAGTTCACCTACACCCAGAGAGCACTGTGGACTCAAACAATGATGAATCTGGACCAAACTTGGCATGTATACTCAATATGCCCAAATGTGAATACTGGTGGAGTTTGGGGAAAACAGACCTTGACATTTGGGAGTTGTAGTTTCTGGGATTTATAGTTTACCTATAATCAAAGAGCATTCTGAACCCCACCAATGATAGCATTGGGCCAAACTTTCCCCATGCCTCGCACTCTCTCCCTCACCCGCACATGCGCACCATGCTGCCATGCACTGAGCACACCTGCTCTCCCCTCTCTGCTTGGAGTCTCAGAAACAGCCCTTCTCTGAGAAGCTGGCTGCGAGGCTGGATAATCACAGCGGAGGAGGGATTTTGGTGGGAGGATTTGCTGTGTGTTTCCAAAAAGGAAGAGAAGGACAGGTGGAGAGATCTTCAGCCTTCTCTGCCAAAGGGGTTCCTAAGACCATCAGAAATATATGTTTTCTGATGGTCTTTAGCGACCACTCTGAAACCCCCTCATGACCCCCCCAGGGATCCCAACCCCCAAGTTGAGAAACGCTGTCATAAAGGGACAATTGTGTTTCAATTGTTATTCTACTTTAATACACCTGTACAAGTCCCCAATTTTATAACACACGTGGTTGTGCATTGCTCCTTTACAGCATCTGGAGATTAATGTTTTTCTTTTATATTTACAGGACATTATTCTATATTTATTTGTTTGTTTGTTTACCATACTTGTATACGGCCTTTCTCAGCCTATCGGCAACTTAAGGCTATATAGCAGTGACAGACACAATGAATCCTTGCTATCCGCTAGAGTTTGGTTCCCTAAGTCCCTGTGGATGCCAAAATCCGTGGATGCTCAAATCCCATTATATACAATGGTGTAGTAAAATGGCATCCCTTACATAAAATGCAAAATCAAGGTTTGCTTTTTGGAATTGAAAACAAATTTATCTTCAAGGTGTGGAAGCTTGAATCCATAGATGCATCATTAGCGGACACAGGAAGTTGACTATCCTACAAGATATGCTAGATTCAACTTCAGCTAAAAAGGTGATAGCAATAACCTTGATCAGAGAGAGCATTTACTTACAACTGCGGAAAACTCCAATGGCTTACCTGCTGGGCTATCAATGTTGAGCACTTGGGGCCCAGTCGCAAGAGCTTTTCTGGAGATGGAAAAGCTAAGAAAGTTCCAACATCCACAGAAGGGAGAGGAGGAGAAGACACTGGAGGAGGATCCTGGAAAGAGAGAGCTCTGAAAATCAGCACTTTTCACCAAAAGCTGTTACGGACTAAAAGTGAAAGAAAAAAGCAGATCCAGAACAGAAGTGGCTGCAACAGTTGGATCTAGATGCAACCACAGCTAACTTAAACATCATTGCTTTCAATAAGTATGACTAAATCTAGATCCAAATCAACATAATCAAGGAAAATTCCCACTAATAGTAAAACTAAGGCATGTATAATATTTGTTCCCCAAACTAGTTGTGGAATCAATGCATTAATTTATATATGTGCTGACACCATTCAAAAAATACTTCAGTGGATCTTCTGTAAATGAGATTAACCGATAGGATTCATGACATGAGAGAAGCCTCCCATAGGATGGTAAAACATCTAGGTGTCCCCTGGGCAACATCCTTGCAGACGTCCAATTCTCGCACACCAGAAGTGACTTGCAGTTTCTCAAGTCACTCCTGACACAAAAAAAAAAAATCAAACAAAAAAATTATTTTCCTAAATGTTTATTCCTCTCTTTCATTGAAATGGAAAGAGAAAAATTCTAATCAGGATATTTAAAACAGATGAAGGAGGAAAGTGGTCCTAATGAGAATAACTTTTTTAAAATGGTGGACTGCGGCCTAGTTGGCACACAGAGGGCTTAAACCCAATCTGGTGGATTGTTCCTGCCTGCCACCCTGAGAATGGCAAACAAGGAAGAGCAGGTGAACAAAAGATAGATCTTACTTTCATGGTTTACTATTACTTCTGAATGCTACAATCCAGTTTCTCTCTCCCCACAATGCCAAAGAAATAATCAAGGAATACAACATGGGTTATTTATCTAGCTTGCAGGAATGCAACAAAGGACATGCAGATGGTGAACAAACCAGAAAAGCACATGCCCTGGTTTATTCAGCTGTTCTCACTAGCAGAGAAAGCAAGTGGGCACCAGCATGGCGTCTTGCCCTGACTTGTCACTCCATGCAAACCTATCATCCATGATGTAGCCTTTCAAGAAAAATAAATTAAGTGCCCTAAAGCAAAGGAGGTCTGATGTAGCATGTTAGACATATTTAGCTGACACAACTGGAAAGTTTGTGATGTTATGTATGAACTCTTAACAAAATAACTCAGATGTTATTTGAAAAATCAAAAGTATGTGAATTTACATATTTGACCAGATAAGCACATTATAAAAAGTACACTTGATATGGTTCAAATGCTATTTTGAAGCAAGTTCAAGCTCAGAAATTATTTTTTCTGGTGCACTTCTGACTTTGGCAAGATATAACATCTGAAAAGCATATATTTCTTTATGTAGGTTTTAGGAAGATAAAGAATGAGAAAGAGATAATACACTCAACTTTAGGACACTTAAATAGCTATGCAGTTACATCACTTATAGATGTATGCATGCTACCCAGACACTTATGAAAGTAACTTTGAAAGCTTGAAGTTTGTCTAATGTTGTATTCATTAATCAATTTGATCCACAATGTATTTTTGGAAATGGAAATATTTGCACAGAAAACTGGTTTGAAATTTCAGCAGTTTCCAGCCACACAGCAATGTGCACATGTACAGTATTTTATTCTCTTAATCTAAAAGCAATGTACTTACATGTGTGTCTATGATTTTCTGAGGTGTATGCAATTCCTGCTCTCCTTGGCCCCTTTCCTTAACCCGAGGTTGTTGTTCCTCTTCTTCTTCTTCCTCTTCATCATCATCATCTTCCTCCTCCTCCTCATCTTCTTCTTCCTCCTCCTCTTCATCGTCATCATCATCGTCATCATCATCTTCACCTTCATCATCACTATGTGGAATAATTTGTGTAAAAATAACTGTACACACTGCATACACAGATTTATGATATTTAGCACATAATAGTTTACAGATTTATAGATTCATAATTAAAAAAAAAAGTCCAAACTGATAAAAAATAATCTTGCATGATGTAAAAGCTATTCGGAGGAACAACACTTTAAGAAATGATACAAAAACAAAAGCTATATTCAGCAAAGAATAAGAGGGATCTTCTCTGCAGGAGTCTACCATGTACCATGCAGCTGTGGACAAGTCTACATAGGGACCACCAAATGCAGCATTGCGCAAACATGAATCAAGGAACATGAAAGGCACTGCAGACTACTCCAACCAGAGAAGTCAGCCATAGCAGACCACTTGATGAACCAACCTGATGGTTGATGGACACTTGATGGACACAGCATATTATTGGAGAACACAGAAATGCTGGACCACTCTAACAATGACCATGTCAGGCTACACAGAGAAACTACTGAAATCCACAAGCATGTGGACAATTTCAATAGAAAGGAAGAAACCATGAAAATGAACAAAATCTGGCTACCAGTACTAAAAAAAACTCTAAAATTATAACAGTAAATAAAGAACAAAACTCAAACACAGGGGAACTTAAGATAAGAAACAAACAGGAACAGCTAATCACCTCTCAACAAAGGATTCCCTCCGGCAGTAACAAGCCACATCTAAAAACTGTCAGGCCATCAAATGCTAATCAAGGTGGCCAATTGAAATATACACACCTAGCTCCAACAGACAATAGTTCTTTCTCCCACCCTGGACTTTCCACAAATATTTTCCTAGTTTCCAACAGACCTCACAACCTCTGAGGATGCCTGCCATAGATGCAGGTGAAATGTCAGGAGAGAATGCTTCTAGAATATGGCCATACAGCTCGAAAAACCTACAATAACCCAAAAGCTACCTAGTTAGCAAAATTGCTACGTATTCCAAAGAGTGTTGGTCCTTAAAATTATTCAAGGACAGAAATGTTTGCCACTCAACTCAACCCTAAATAGAATTCAGGGATGGGGTTCAACTCTCAGCACCCATTCCTGATGTTATCCAGTAATATTGTGAAGTCAAGGCCCACTTCTGAGTGCTGGTGTGGTCTCGAGAGTTTGTTGGTAAGGAGGGAATGAACATAGCCAGATCTCACCTATTTCTATTTCCCCCACGTGTCCCCCACTTCTGAATTTGCTGCAGTGGTAAAACTGCTACTTTTTCACATAAAAAAGTTCAAGATGCACTATGTTTTAAGAACACCCCCACTCTCAGATGTTTCCAGGAAACATTATTAACTACAAAACAAATCCTTATGTTCCCATATTGTTTAGACATAGAAAGCAGATTTTTGCCACATCAGCAATGATTCATTAGACCCAATCATGAATGACGGCCGTAACAAACAAGTCGTTCACAGGAAGCATATGTGCAATGCAGATTTTTAAGAGCAAAATGCTGAAGCCAAAAGATGGAGTTGGATAGTATAAAACTAATCTCATTCTTCTGTCACATTCTTGCAATGATGGACATAAGAAACAACAGTAAAATCATTACCACTGCCAGACAAGCAGACTTTTAAGAAATACTACTTATACTCAGTGTCGCACCTCAGGGTAAAATCACTTTTCTTAAGACACCAAAGAACACACCAGCAATAGTCTTTATGGTTTATTAAAATAAAGGATAAAAAGTTCAGAAAGGCAAAAGTATATTTCAAAAGATCAATCCAAGGTAACATAGGCAAACAAGATCCATGAAGACACAGGCAAGGCAAAGTCCCATGAGAACATGACAATGTCCTGAAACATGAACATGAAAGCTGCAAGATAAATCCAAAGTCTCTTGGATGAAGCGGGAAGTTGCTCTGTGAAGCATGTTCAAACAGCGTATTTAATACCCTTTGGACAACATAAAGACGTTTCTATGGCCCCGAGCCTCCCTCTCTTGCCTGTTGGCAATCCTGACACTCCTTCGGACCTTAAATTCCAACCAATCAGCTCTATCTAAGCCTCCGGCTCCATCAAGGTCAATTTCCTCGTTAGTGCTTTTTCCCTCATTATCAGGCTGAGAATTATCTTCCCTTCCTGAATCCACCTGGCTCTCAGTAGTTTCACTTTCCCCAGCGTCATCCCTTGCTGTGGGAAACAACTGAACTTCTTCCCCCTGTTCCTGGTCTTCTTCATCTAACACAGGGACATCATGACTTTGCACCTGACTGTGCATCTGAAACCTATCATCCCCATCAGAGTCATTGACACTATCACTCTGAGATTCCAGCTCAGTCACAACACTAGAAAATCTGAGAGCTATACATGAAGATATAAGAAGAGGCCTGTTGCCTACTGGAATCTCACAAGGAGATTACAAGTACACTAGCACTTTCCTTGTAACATCAACTTATTCTAACTTCTCCTTATTCTTTACCTTAGGGATGCAAGCACTTCTGCCATGTTAAAACCTTCAAGGATCTCCTGAAGTTGTTCACAGCCTTCTTCTCCAAAACAATTACCTATAAAAGGAAAATAGAAACATACGTTGACAGAGCTCTACAGCTGTTAGAAGGTATAAAAGAACTACTGACAAATGCCTTCTGATTTCACCTGGATGCCCAGGTATAGAACTTGCTGGTTTTAACCTTTAAAGCTCTGAATGGTTCTGGCCCAGACTACTTGTCAAAATTTATCTCCTGTTATGAACCATGACAAAGCTTAAGATCATCAGGAGAGGCCCTGCTCTTGATCCCACCACTCATCCACCACGTGGTTGGTGCGGACGAGAGACAGGGCCTTCTCGGCAGTGGCCCCCCATCTGTGGAACTCCCTCCCTAAGGACAACAGGTTGGCCACCTCCCTCCTGAAGACCTGGCTCTGTGGCCAGGTGTTTGATTAGATGGTAGTGACAATAGGAAAGGAATTTGGGTTGCAACACTGGATTTCCCGGTTTGATTTTTAGTTTTACTGGCATTTTAATATTATCTGGTAAATGAATGTATTGGCTGATGTACGAAATAAATAAACAAATAAATAGCTCTCCGAAAGGAATTCAAATGAAGCAGGTTTGCTAGGTCAGGTTTTGTGTGTGTGTGTCTCAGGAGTGACTTAAGAAACTGCCAGTCACTTCTGGTATGAATGAATTGGTTGTCTGCAAGGACGTTGCCCAGGGGACACCCGGATGTTTTTTATCATCCTGTTCGAGGCTTCTCTTATGTCTTTACACGAGAAGCTGGAGCTGACACACAGGAGCTCACCCTGCTCCCCGGATTCAAACTGCTGACTTTTCATTAAAAAAAACATCCATAATATAACTGCATGTGTTGCAATCTTGACACATATCAGTTAAGCTGTTGTGAAAGTACAAAATATTTGCAAAGACTAAAACAGACCTGCACAAGGCCAGGCCCTAAAAACGATGGGAAAATTTGCATAGCTTAGAAGCTCGGAACGAGATCACAGAAACCTCAGAAGGAAAGCTACATGGAGCAGGTAATAAATTCAGAATTTGTCAAGCAAAAGAGGAGCTTGAAGAAGGAACTAGGACAATTTCATGTAACTATCTGAAATAACCAGCTGACAGTTTTGCCGCAAGCTCCTAGTTAATGCTAGAGCACATTGTCACCAACACTCTTCCATACCATTGAGATCTAGCTTCTCCAGCTCTGATTTGTCCTCGGTAGCTTCAGCAATAATCAAAGCAGCATCTCTTTTAATTTCACAGAAGGACAAATTGAGCTCCTGAAAGACAAAGGAATGGTTTTATAGGAATGCTCAAATTACTAAGGCTACAGTTTGACCCAACTAAAATCCAGTAAGAGCACTGCCAACCAGACACATCATTATTTCTCTACTTTACAATCCCTCTCCATACATCAGAAATGACTATGTCTTCCCAAATAAGTAACAGCTAATTTTTATGTTGCCTAATAATAGAGTTGTACAAGACTAAGCTATAATCAATACCTTTAGTTTATGAAGTCCTTCACTAACGGCCTCGGCAATAGCAACAGCTCCTTTTGAACGCACCAGACAGTCACCAAAGTTGATGATTTCTACTTGTCGGAGTTTCTTCAGTGTCTGAGAAGGACAAAGAATGCAGGAAACTGAAAATTCAGTAGATGAAAGACAAAATGCTGACAGAGTGTGATTTCTCCTACATCTTGTTAGGATTTAATAATAATAATAACAATAACAATAATAATTTTATTGATTAGCCTTTAGGCCATATCACAATATCAAACAACCAGGCTTGATAAGACTTGATTGCATTCTATGTAGTAAGTTAAAATAAGACACTTATAACAATACAGTAAATAAATTGAAAAATCTGAGAATGTACATCTTATTTCCTTATCACCCCTACAATCTACCCCAATCGGCCCCACATATGTGGTTCCTAAACGTATTGTTTTGCTTAAATACAGAGCTGTTTTATATGTTATTTTGGGTCTTGGCCACACATAAAATATGTTGTTCTGATGTGAGATTCCCAATACATTTTCCGTGTGATATATGGACCAAGGTAGAAGTCTCTCACCTTCTGATACAATTTACAATCAAATAATATGCGTGCTATATCCTCAATTTCAGGAGCTCAGCAGATACAAATCCGTTCATTATAAGAGATGCTGTTAAATCTCCCATATCTGACCATTGTATCAAGCTGATCGAATCTAGTTTGAGTAAATACCTCCCTAAAATGTTTCGGCATTTGCCTTTTTAGATAGTTGGTAATTTGAAAGGTACATTTATATTGACATAGCCATTTTAGGTTGGCAACCTTATTGAGGGTGGCTATAACTTTTTGGGCTTCTATGTCCAAAATTCTTTGTACAGCACTCTTTCTTACTTAATCTCTCAAGGCGCAGGAGACAGGGGGACCGCAGCTTCTTATCTGTTAGGACTTGTAAATTGCTTTTAATATTTACAAGCAAAGTTGTAACTGAAAGGAACTCACCTCTGCCATGGCCACAGCTCCCTTCTCAGTAAAAGTGTTATCATTCAGATTGATCACTCTCAACAAAGGATTGACTGCAAAGGCCTGAGCTAAGGCTGTAATTCCTGGATGGTTGATTCCATTCTGTGGCATATGAACCTCTTCCAAAGTCCCAATAACCTGAGGGAGCAGGGCAGACATCAAAGATTTTGTTAGAAAGATCTTCTATGTCAGAGGCTTTGTAAATTGAGATAGTTCTGTACACAAATAGTCACTTCCTCTTGCTGTGCTGTTCCTATCGATTGGACCAATACAGTGTCCAATACACTCTCTATGTTACACCAGAATGGAAGAGTAAAAGGACTTGGCTGATGCTCCACTGAAGCAACCATTGTGACATCAGTACTATCAATAGCTAGACATAAAGCAGTATCTGATACTTCAGCTAATTTGCCCACCACCCAAAAGTGTTCAATGAAAGAAAGAGTAGTAGAAATCTTTTTTAAAAGACAAATAGCATTTAATTATGCTAGATTTCAAAGAATATTCATCTGACTATCTTAACATAGGAAAACCTTCCCATTTCACGGAACAAATATCTAGTTAAACAATTTTGTTTCAAGCCCTTGTTCTCTGTACTTACTCTGAATGCTTCAGCAAGAGCAGTTGCACCATCGTTTTCCAAGCGGTTCCTTCCAGCTACAAATACCTTCAAAGCCAAAGACTTGCCTTGAGCGCTTGACTTTCTGTGACACTCTTTCAGAGCTCCTGCCAAGATCTTAAAAAAACAAAACAAAAACAACAACAGAAATTACTAGATTGTTTACGATGATAAAATCTCATTTTGGGCAGAGAGATTCCATTCCTTTAGGTCACATAGAAACTTTACACATCTCTCAAGGCAACTGCAAACTGTAACATCATGAAGGTAGCTTAAGTCAGTAAAAGGCAATCGTTTTGTAACGTGGCCTCAGCTCATACTACTTTGCATGTGAGATACGAAGAGGGCTTATTTTTTAAAATATTTTTTATTATTTTATCATGGTTTAATACATTTGTTATACATGGTTTGTTTTACAGTAGATATATATTATTCAATACAACCTACCATACTTTTGGCATCTAGTGTTATTTTTCTGCTTATACATATTATCTATCCCTCACCACTGTGCTCCCCTCACCCCTCCCAAGCCACAGCTTTTACATATCATCTGTCCAAAATGTCAATTCTTCTTGTGGAGGTAACTTTCCTTCTTTATTTTTTAATCCTTTTTCAATAAATTTTCTCCATATATATCAAAATCACTTTGTTTCCATATACCTCTTTTAACTTTTAATATACACGTCAACTTATCATTTATTGCCAATTTCAATACTTCATTGTACCACTCCTCTATTTGTATATTTATTTCTTTTTTCCGGTTCCCGGCTATAAGCAGTCTTGCTATTGTTAATAAATTTGTTATCGCTTCTTTATCCTTATTATTATTATTTATAATTATCCTCTTTTTTCAATTGTTTATTATTATATAATGATAATAAAGCTATACTAGGACTTCTTTCTATTTTAATGTTCATTATATCTTCTATTTCTTTAAATACTTTCCCAGAAGAGGGCTTCTTTAACCACTTGTGACAAGTGAAATCTTTTGCTACTTCCAAGAATACTCTACAGCAGCGATTCTCAACCTGTGGGTCCCCACGTGCTTTGGTCTACAACTACCAGAAATCCCAGCCAGTTTACCAGCTGTTAGGATTTCTGGGAGATAAAGGCCAAAACATCTGGGGACCCACTGATCTACAGCAAGTAAAAGAATTGAGTCAAGTTTTCTTCTTGAGCAGCCATCACAAGGCAATCTATTTCCCTCCAAACACACTTTTCTGAACAGCTTATGGAAGCTCCATCAGGGTAACAACCTACAACAGTAACACCAGAATGAAAACAAGCCACCAGGGAAATCAGAACCCAAGATTCTACTATGCATTTGAAAGGACCAGGGAAATATGCATTACCTTGCCACCGCCAATGCCCATCCCACAGTTGTTCAGCTTGAGTTCTTGCAACGTGAAACAGGCTGGGCTCTTCAGCAAGGGCTCAAACCCACGCACCCCATCAGGGCCAAAGGCATTGTCACTCAGGTCCAGTTCTGTTAGCTGGCAGCCAGCAGTAATTAGGGCATCTCCAAGAGACATCTGCAAGAGAGCCTTAGGGTCAATTGACTATGTCAACTCTTCTTACAAAGGAGCGTATGACATTCTAGCATAGTAGTTCTCAACTGTGGGTCCCCAGATGTTTTGGCCTTCCTCTCCCAGAAATCCTAACAGTTGGTAAACTGGCTGGGATTTCTGGTAGTTGTAGGCCAAAACACCTGGAGATCCACAGGTTGAGAACCAATGTTCTAGAACTTAACATATAGAAGGTTTCACCTCACTTTCTGTCCCTGTGATAACTGGAATTTGGGGAGAAATTGCTTGTTTTAGAAACAAGGTTTGGTGATAAAGTTTCAGTAGAAACACTTTCCTCCATGATAACTCTTTCAGGAATTAATTTCCTTTCCAATGGGTAGATTTTTCTCACTTCCCGTTGTCTCATTCTCGTTTGTAACTATGAYACGTATGTAGGTCGGATGTTTGTAACTCAGGGACTAGACTGGCTGTAATCTGCTGCCGTTGTTGATCACCTTCCCCCCCCCCCCCCGCGTTTTAAACTCAGAATAATCCCATACTAAAAGATCACACTTAAATATTATGAAGTTGACAAGAGGATCAGATTAAAAGCCAAAGTTGTACTTACCAGAGCAGGAGGAATCTCTGACCGCAGRCTCCCAGTGAACATGTCACTCCAATGACACTTCTACAATAAAAAAAAKCCCCATATTATATACATATTATATGCTTAAACTGTTGGAGGAAGCAACCTTCCCAAGCCTCCTCTATTTGATGTTTGTCTATTTTGTAATATGTCAATTTATATCCTGAAGTATATGTCTATTGGTAGTTTGCAGTTACCTCATCTCTATATACCTAAAGCAGCGGGAGGGGCTGCATGTCATGTGACTGACTCAGTGATTGTTTAGAATGTTCAGTTTTAAATAGGATGACAATTAGAGAAGTCAGTCGAGCCCTGACACTGTTAGAAGTCAGTGTTGAGTGCAGAAGCTAATGTTAGGAAGCTAGAAACTGTTGAGGCTTGTATTCCTTTGAAAGTAAATTGTTATTATAGAGAGAGATATATGAAACAATATAATTTATGAAGAAACAGTTAAAGATTATAAGTTTAAGATAGATACAAACTCTGAAACATTATTGAAGTTTTAACTCTTGACAAGAAATGTTATCAGGAAACAAACTTGTTATCGTTAAAAGAACTCTGCTTGCATCTTTGTCTGTTGAAAGCATCAAATGGAAACAAAATATCTATGTGCCCAGCGATCATCCATTACCAAATAAACTCTGCTACCTCAATTAGGTTGTGACCCAGCTTAAAAATATTTCACACATCTTTTAAAGGTTTTCATCCCCACCCCATCTCCCAAACAAACTTTGATAACAGAAGTTGCATCAGCAAGACTCTTGTTTTATTCATTACTCAAATTAGGGCACAGCAGCAAGCTCAAAATACAATTCACTCATACAGTCATCAGCCTTCCCCTAGAAATAGTTACATTTGTCATGTACAAGTGGTTAGGAGATCTGCAGCAAAAGAGAGGAAACGGCTGTAGAATAATTCCTATAGCAAGAGTTGGCATAGAGTTTACTGCACAATATTCCTAACATTTTGTTGATTCTTTGGAAAAATAACATTTTCTGGAATAATGGATATGGATCAGTATTTACACTACCAGTTTCCCCTTTCTTCAGGTTCCTCCAAATAATGTAGTGATATTTGGCCTTACAATACAGAATGCAATGAAGGAGAAATCTTCATAGGGACTTTGCAACTTCAGGTTCTCACCTGGTTAATAGAGCGGTGCGCATGAAAACTAATTTCTTTGTGATTTGCATTTTTTCAGATTCAATTGTGGACACTGCTAGAATGCTTATACAATTCAACACAGCTAATGCAGCTGTAGTATGCCACCAAATAGTTTGAAGACTCCTTCACCTGCTAACCAGGGAGTAAGTATTAGACATATCTCCACACCAGTACTTTGTTTAACTGAAACTATAAGAGGATAATGGCAGGGGTAATTGCAACTCACACCTATGTGTGTAATTTTTGGGCTGCGGTATCTGGAGAAAATAATTGCTTCCATTCAGTATGATCCAAGCCACTTGCCTCTTCTTTGAACTGATCACTCCTACCTATGACTATTTAGTGGCCGGTAGACAATAAGGGGAACAAGCCAGCTCCATTCTGCCGGAAAGAAAACATCATCCCAGACCTCCTGTGGGATCTACAGAAATCAAGGATAATGTCTTCTTCCTGATGCTAGCTGCAGGAACGAAGCCAATGGGATGCCTGCTTGGTCTTCATCCTGCCCAGCCACTAAATGAAGGGAATCCTTCATTAATTATATATGTGATTTTGTTGGATGTATGTTTGTGTGGCAACAAATTGTTGCCTATATGTGAGCCGCTCTGAGTCCCCCTCGGGGTGAGAAGGGCGAGGTATAAATATGGTAAATAAATACAACTAGAAAACAATGAGGTCTGGTGGCCAGGAAGAGGGAGAATGCTTAACTATACAAGGCAGACCTTATTCCACTATTCTTCATTTATAAGTATTCTCACCTTGAGTAAAGATTTTGTCTCTAGAGCCTTGGCAATGACCTTTGCTGCCTCCACTCCCACGGTGTTGCCTTCTAGGCGCAATGCTTCCAACCCATCAAACTCTTCAATCTCTTTAATCACTTCTTCAGCTGCATGGAGGAAGAAAAGTATTATGTCTTTCTAAAATTAAGACTTCAGTACTTATAGTGACTGTTGAGGTATATGGGTGTTTCGAAAGCTCTGCAGAAACAATGACTAAGTTTGGCCCAATTCCCAACAATCCCTAATAGTGTGTCCAAGAGATTAGAGGAGTTGCAGTTCAGTAACAACTGGAGGGGCAGAGATGCCATGCTCCTTACAAAAGTTTTGTGAAACCTTAGAAAACACCCTCTAAATAATTCACCTTCTCTGCCCTTTTATAATTAGTAATTTTGTCATGGAAGAGCAAACTGGAAAAATTGCTTCTCAATCATCCATCCTAACGATCTGAATACAAAATATGGATCAGAAACCAATGTATGAATGTGGAAATGTGGAACGGTTCACTTTTTAAAATTATTTTGCTCTTTTCTCATTGATGATGACAGGTAATTTTTTTTTACTTTTCACTTTTCATATTTTTGTTGCTAGAAGACAAGGAGAATTATGTGGAAAGACCTGCCTTCATCAATGAGAAGAGAGCAAAGTGAAAGGCTTGCTTAGAATCCAACACTACTTCAGTCGTATCCACCCTTCCTTGAAGTTTCCACTCCATATCCTTATTGCAGCCCCCCCTTCCCACCACCCAATTTCAGCATAATTCTCCTTATCTTCTAGCAACAAAAAAGTGATTTGTGGCAAAATAACCCAGATATTAGAACAATAGAAATTAAACAGAACCATGATAGCTGACTGAACTTTGAAATACATTATTATGTGTTCTATTACCTTCACAAGACATTTGAGACCCTGGAAATAAGATCTGTGAGTCTCTTTTTCAGACACTATGCGATGCTTTCTTCAACTCATTTAAAATATGAGACTGAGGGATTGGATTACTATACTATAGTTATACAAAAACTGACAAATAATCATTTAGGCATCATTATTCTATTTGGTTGTCCTCGGGCCTGATCCAGGTTAGTATATCTCAGCATACACACGCTATTTCCCTGAGCATGAATTCCATTACTTCCAGTGCTAACAGTTTGCAGCAATTAAACCTTGAGGTGTGTAAGTCCTATTTCACCAGAACCCACTATGATTTTAAAGCACAAACTAAAGTCAGTTTAAGTTCTGAAAAGAGAGAACTGGATGTGTGTATATAGGAAGAAGGGTTTAAATGTGGTCCAGTGCTCTTTTATTTATTTATTTATTTACTGCATTTATATATCGCTTTTCTCATCCGGGGGGGAGGGACTCAAAGCGGTGTACAACAAGTAATGATAAAATTCAATGCCAACATATATACAAACCAAAAAATAACTAAAAGGATGACATATACATTAAACCTTACAGTCATATTAAAAATAGAATATAAGCAGACATTTAAAATTAAAATATAGAATTTAAAACATCTTAATATAGCATTAAAATCACAAAATCAAGAATTATAATCCTAAGCCGTTTCTATTGTCAATTGCACTTATGTCCTATTAATTTCTTGCACTGCATTACTTTAGTGCCCGAAGGCTTGGTCCCTTTGTCTTTACATTTTTTCTGAAGGCCAAGAAGGAGGGCACTAATCTGATTTCACTGAGGAGGGAGTTCCAGAGCTGAGGGGCCACCACTGAGAAGGCCCTGTCTCTCGTTCCCGCCAGTTGTGCCTGTGAAGGAGGTGGGTCCAAGAGAAGGGCCTCCCCAGAAGATCATAATCTCCAAGATGGTTCATAGGGGGAGTTGCTGTTCGGAAAGGTAAGCTGTCTTCCTCTACCCATCTGTTCTTATCATTAACATAAAACAATTAACATACAAAAGTATTTGGGATGCTGCAGTTTATCTACTCTTTTTCTAACCAAAATTCATGTTTATAGAAGTGTAATCCAATAATTTTGTTGTTGTCTGCCTTCAAGTTGTTAACAATTTATGGTGACCCAAGGCAACCCTATCATGTGGCTTTCAAAGGAATTTCTTTTCAGAGGTATGTGCCATTGCCTTCCACTAAGGCTGAGACTGTGTGACTTGCCCAAGGTCACCCATTGGGTTTGTGGCTACAAGAAATGAAAATTGTATTCTCCCAGAGGCATTGTCTAGCTCCCAAACCACTCACATATTCTGGGCTGTACTTTTGCAAGATCTATTCTCTTGAGGACAAACAGTGACACCAGCAGCAGTGCTATTTCTCTTACCGTCTTCTGCAGTGTTCAGCTTCAGACTCTTGCCTTTGAAGCTCAGCTGTCCATCACCCACTTGGGTTTTAGCAAGTGACTCTGCCAATTTTGTAATGTCTTCTGAGGCCATTTCTGGATTGTGCCAACCTTTGCTGTCACCAACTGAGAAGTATGCTGGGAGAAGAAAAGGAAAAATATTATCTATCATTTATTTGGAATGTGCAGGACAATTCCTAGGGAGTAGATTTTAGCCATTTTGTGACAAACCATGATGTCAGGCAGCCTAAGATTATGATTAAGTACTCTGAACATGTTGTTTCACAACTAAGGGATTATATAGTTCAAACCCTTGCTCTTTTCTCTTTTTCTCTTTTGGTGTGCACAATAAAAGGAGAGCAAGAGATTGTGCACACCAAGAAGTAAGGCAAGGGGGCAACCAGGATTTGGAAAAATAACTCCCGGAATATACCAGCCAGCATGGTCAATCTGGGCTACATCAGCTGATGGAATCTGTGAGTTTTAGCCCAAATACAATCTTTTCAAACTGTGGGTGAAGTCATTATAAAATTAAAACTTCAACATGATAATAAGTTCTTACTTCCTAACCTCATATACAATGCTGCCAGAAAATAACAGATGCGATTAGAACAATCTAACATCCTTGTGAATACATCTCGTGAAAACAGCAATATTTACATATATAAATCAAAGCAAGCAGACCATGCCACGCATCACTGGAGAAAATAAAAGGATAAAAATATTACCCAACCCAGTTCTAATAGCCATGGATTATAAAACAGCCACTGAAAAGAGGTCAGAGTTTACTAGTGTATCTCGCAAAGATTCTGCTAAATTCCACATAAATAATGCAGCTTGGTTTAGCATTCAGAGTCAGCATGTTTCGACAGAAGACTGGAAGTACAAGACGGGAAGAACTAGAACAAGGGATCAAACACATTGGCTGGAGGAAAAAAAAATCACCATCAAGCAGAATCCAGGAGCTCACATCCACACTTGCTTCACATCTATTCAACACATACCTATTTCCTCTTGTCCAATTCCAGATTGCCACACAACTCACCTTCATAATTAAGTATTCTAATACTTGGAATGTAGTCAGAAAAATTCCGTAATGGGGAAAATACAACATGTTTTTATTTTATTTTCAAAAATGGATTACTTATTTTGATATCTACTTCTGTCAGTGGCATAGGAAATAAATATTTGCCCAACCATATACTATGATCAGGTTCTTTTGCAGGCACTGGCAAACCCAGAATGAGCCTGAACAAGGAACCCTGCTTCAGAAAAGCGTTTTCCCCAAATCTGACATCATGTGACACAACAATACAAATTTAAACTTGAAAAGGAAAAGGAATAAAGTAATAGACATTTCCTAATAACGAAAGTAATTGATTTCCTTTTGCTTTGAGGAAAAGGAAAGTTTTGGTTTGTGTGGCATCAAAACAGAGTTAGAATGACCTATGAAAACAAAGAAGTTCTTGCCTGTGTGTGCATAAGCCTTCAAGTTCTCTGTTGACTTATGACAACCACGTGCATTTCATAGGGTTTATTTAGGCAAAGAATATTTAAATGTAGCTTGCCACTGCCTTCCTATGAAGTATACCCTACAGCACTTGGCATTCTTTGAGAATCTCCCCACCCAAATACTACCCAGGCCTGGTTCTCCTGTGCTTCACATGGGATATGATGCCTTCAGGGTATTTAGACACCATATATCAGAAGAAACACTGCCTACCGTTATGTCTTAGAGATTATAGCAAAGCCTGACTGTATAGATCATGAAAGATTATGGATTGCTATTAAAGGAATTGATGCGTCACAATTGAACTGATGCTTTACAAGTACTCAGGACAGAATATAGAGAAATGGTACAGTTTTAAATTGGCAAGGCAGCATTTTATGTGTTACTTTTGGGCTGAACACACAGGTGCTTTAGCTAGAGATCCTAGACAATCCTTCCCAGGTGCGATTGGTGGGGACGAGGAAGAGGGCCTTCTTGGTGGTGGTCCCCCGACTCTGGAACTCACTTCCCAAGGACATCAGGCATGCCCCAACATTGGCAGTCTTTATGAGGCGCCTGAAAACGTGGCTGGTCCAGTGCACCTTCCCAGAATAAGGAAAATTCCCAGCAATATGTCCTCAGAATGCACTTTACTACAGGTTTAGGATTGGCTGCGCTCCGTCATCTCTTTTAAAACCCTATACCAGATATATCCTACCTCATTCATGCCCAGCATTTATTTTTTAAATTTTAAATTTTTTAATTATTACATTTGGCCCGACCACAGGTTTTTAAATCCTTATGTGTTGTTCTTTATTGGTTATTGTTTATATGTGATTTATATTAATTGTATTGTATTTATTGTTTTGTGTTTATTGCTTTTTGTTTGTGATGTGCTGTTGGGCTTGGCCTCCTGTAAGCCGCTCCGAGTCCCTTGGGGAGATTGTGGCGGGGTATAAAGTTTATTATTATTATTATTATTATTACTATTTTTATTATTATTATCCTGCACTGAGCAGGGGGTTCGACCAGATGACCCGTGAGGCCCCTTATGCAATCTCTGTTCTTATTTCAAAATGTTCTGTATCTATATTATTGCCTAAATATTAAGAAATACTGTTTCTCTCATCATTTCAGAGCATGTCTACAGCAATATCTTTGCTACAGCATTCTGAAAGATCACCTTCACACTATTTTTAGACTTGAGGTATCACATTCCCTTGCAGAACTAATTATACCTTATTGGCATTAATATTATGTGAACTACATCTTAAAGCACCTGTGTTCAGGTCTGAATCATGACCTCATGTGTTGCTTTGACACATGGTTTTTAGCTAAAAGACCCAAATGCAACAGAATCTTCAGGTTGGAACACAATACCCAACTGGGATACTGGTTTCTGGGAAGAGATAACAGGAGACAGCCTTCCTATGAGCATATAATTGCTTGCTGTGTGTAAGATACCAAAAAGCAGGGTCTAATCCAATAAACTGCATTTTATGTTCTTAAACAACATTACTGACAAGTACATTTAGAATTAAAAAATAATCAGCCTACTGCAGGCATATCAAATTCTGCCCTACTACTAATGAGATGCGGCTTTTTCTTATATAAGATCAATAGGGAAGTAAGCAACCTACTTGGCATGTGGCCATCACAACAAACTTGGGGACATATATAGACGCATTTGTCAGCTCACATATTCCTTGCGTCGGTGGACACAATGCCAGAGGCAAGCAGCGCACCTGTGATCAGTGGTAATCCTTTCAAGTATTTATGTTGGTCTTTCAAAAACACATTTATAACCTGCATCTCCACGTGCTCAAGGCAGCTTACTACAGCAAGTTAAGTACATGGCAATGATTCAACCTTGGCACCACCCTTTCCATTGTGGTGGGATTGTGGGCTCCTGGGAAGCAAGAGGTTATGCAGATGCCAGCAGTACTCTGGTATGGCCTCCCACACCAGATAGTTTTTTGCTGAGGAGCCAAACTAAAATGAGCCAAACAGACAGACTAGTAAGATGCGTGAGAGAGACACTGGTGGAGGATCTCTCAAGAGATAATGGCAGTGGCACCATAACTAACACCTGTTAGGAATCTGCAGAAGGAGGCATGATAAACCTGCTTTGAATGACTTTTACCATGAAAACCTTATGATGAAGCAAGCAACAGTGCCAGAAATTGAAAACTTCAGGTCAAAAGACACTCAGCAAGCTACTGGGGTTCAGCAGAGGACAACTACAAGTAGCCACTGATGTCTAATGATGCAACTGGACTCAAGCTGAAAGGACAGTCAGTTGGCGATGTGCTCAGAGCTGAAAGGAAAGCCTGAAGCAGCAAAACACATAGAAATATGGAATATCAGAAGCATGAATCAGGAGAAGCTGGGGTAAAACAAGAAATATTAAGTATAAATGTTGCAATACTTGGGGTGAGTGAGCTGATGTATGTAAGTTGGAACAGATACTTTTTTAAAGTGTAACTCCAGCCATATCATAATAAGAATAAGATTAAGAAGTTTATTTATATTTTGCCCCCTCTCCCCAGGGGACTTGGGGCAGCTTACAACACAAATAAGTACAATAAAATAAAATACATAAAATAGAATAAACAATAACACATCCAATTGATATAAAACACAAAATACAGCACAATCAAGTAACAAAATTAACAATAAAATTATGAACATTAGATTTTGTGTTTTGGAAAGCATAGGGGTTACACACCTCTGAGGAGTTTGTTTTGCTGCCTTTGCCCCTGTTCAGAAGATTTCACCTCACTTTCTGTCCCTGTAATGATTGGATTTTGAAAAATGCGGTTTGTTGTGGAAGCACGGATTGATGATAAAACTTCAGCGGAGACACCTTTTTCCCATGATAACTTTTTCAGGGGTGCATTTCCCTTCCTAGGAATAGATTTCTCTCACTTCCTGTTGTCTCGCTCCCATTCTTAACTATGAGTGGCTTGTAAGTTGGATGTTTGTAACTTGAGGATGGCCTGTAGAAGATTCTAGGGGCAAAAAATAAACCCCCACAGCGTGCTGCAATTGGCCAATTCTGAGCTACAGAGTTCCTCTGCGTTCCACCTTGCCCCTTTCCTCCATATCAGGTATTCACCACTGACATGAAACCACTGAGAAAAAATGTCCTAATTTTCTGATAATTTTCAACACGCAAATAACAGTTGCCGTCTTGTTTTGGGGAAGTTGTAGAGAACTTAAACTTGGACTTGACAAGCTGAGAGTAGTCAAGATAAAAATATTGATGATCATTATGAAAGTTGATTCAATATACCATGGACTCTCAGTTAACCAGACTCTCAAGCAACCAGCAAATAGATGGAAAAAATACTACTTTAAATAAAATAAAATTATTTTTAGCATAAATGTTACATTATGTTTGTTTTTTACTTAATTTGCTTTCAATTAAGGTATTCCAATAACATAAACAAGTCAATAGAAAGCTAATGATATGGTATAGCTCTAGTTAGGCCAGTTGTTAATAGTAATTATCCAGCAACCAGAAACTACATTTATCCAGCATTTGCCAATCCCCATGGATGCCGGTTAACTGAGGCCCCTTCCACGCAGCTGAATAAAATCCCACATTTTATGCTTTGAACCGCCGTGTGGTCACTGATAATCCAGTTCAAAGCAGATATTGTGGGATTTTCTGCCTTGATATTCTAGGTTATATGGCTGTGTGGAACAGCCCCGAGAGTCTACTGTAATGAGTAAAGGCAATTCTGGAGGTGGAGGATGAGGTTCACAGCTAGCATTCCCTCTCAATTCAGCTTTCTCCAGAATCATCAAGTGGCAATGTGCTGTCGAAGGCTTTCATGGCTGGAATCACTGGGTTGCCTCCATACTAGACATCCCACGGATATTTATTTATTTATTTATTTACTGCTCTTATATACCGCAATTCTCAGGCCAAGGGCGACTCATTGCGGTGTAAACCTCACTTTCCTAGTTTCCAACAGACCCTTCAACCTCTGAGGAAGCCTACCATAGATGTGGGCGAAACGTCAGGAGAGAATGCTTCTGGAATATAGCCATATAGCCGGAAAACTCACAGCAACCCAATCAGGTGGCAGCTTTAGGAAATAATAGTTTTGTACCGTACTTTGTGTTTATGTAAGGGATCCCTTTGCAACTGCAGTACAACAGCTTCATGTAGCATTTCTGAGCACAATACAAAAACTGCTAGTAATCTCTTTCAAAGCGCTAAACACACATTATTTCAAAAGGTCCCTTTTCCTCACATGTTTCCGCTGACCCACAGAGTTTGGCTGCATTGTCAGAAATGCAATTTGGAGATGGAGCAACCCATTTGTAGTTGAGAGGACCAGCATTGTGTAGTATTTACTGGCTTTTACTTGCGCTTAATCCACAAGGCCAACTAGGATCAGTGGGTTGTTGTGAGTTTTCCGGGTTATATGCCATGTTCCAGAAGCATTCTCTCTTGACGTTTCAGCTGAATCTATAGCAGGCATCCTCAGAGATTGTGAGATCTGTTGGAAACTAGGAAAATTGGGTTTATATATCTATGGAATGTCCAGGGTGGGAGAAAGAACTCTTGTCTGTTTGAGGTAGGTGTGAATGTTTCAATTGGCCACCTTGATTAGGATTTAATGGTTTAGCAGTTGCCTAGTTTCCAACAGACCTCTTCACAACCTCTGAGGATGCCTGTCATAGATGCAGGCAAAATGTCAGGAGAGAATGCTTCTGGAACATGGCCATACAGCCCAGAAAACTCACAACAACACAGTCATTCCGGCCATGAAAGCCTTCGACAATACATCCAACTAGGATCGTTTCTGAAATTCAAAAAGGACTGCAACTGCATTATTTCTTAATTATTCATGGAAATCACTAATCATATATCAACTTTTTCACTATATGGAGGCAATGAGCTGCTCCTGATTCCTCACTATTCTTACTAGGTAAAGGTTTCCCCCTGACATTAACAATGTCTGACTGGGGGTTGGTGCTCATCTCCATTTCTAAGCCGAAGAGCTGGCATTGCCCATAGACACCTCCAAGGTCATACGACTGGCATGACTGCATGGAGCACCATTACCTTCCTGCCAGGGTGGTACCTATTGATCTACTGCAAACTGCTAGGTTGGAAGAAGCTGGGGCTAGCAGCACGAGCTCACGCTGGTCCCTGGATTCGAACCTGCAACCTTTCGGTTAGCAAGTTCAGCAGCTCAGCGGTTTAACCCACTACACCACGGTGGTTCCTTATTTATTTATTTATTTGCCATATTTACATATTGCCAATCTCAGCCCGAGGGTGACTCAGGGCGGTTTACAAACGGCACAATTTGATGCTCGCAATAACATAAAAACAATTAAAACATTTCGCATAAATAACATTAAATAAAATAATAAAACCCATAAAAGTATAAATCCTCAGCGTCTCATTACTAAAATCATTATCCCATCGCATTGTCCAGTTGTTCCAAAGATCAGTTTGTGTGCTACACTGCATTTAGGAAAGCTTGCTCAAAAAGCCAAGTTTTAATTTTTTTACGAAATATTATGAGGGTGGGGGCTGATCGGACATCCCTACTATTCTTACTACTCACTAGTATTGTGTGTTTTATGAAGGCATTGTTTCTCCCTCAGGGAGAAAGGGTGGAATACAAATAATGTTCAATGTATTGTCGAAGGCTTTCATGGCTGGAATCACTAGGTTCTTGTGGGTTTTTTCGGACTATACGGCCATGTTCTCGAGGCATTTTCTCCTGACATTTCGCCTGCATCTATGGCAAGCATCCTCAGAGGTAATGAGGTCTGTTGGAATTAGGAAAATGGGTTTATATATCTATGGAATGGCTGGGGTGGGGTGGGGCGAAACATCAGGAGAAAATAACTCGAGAACATGGCCGTATAGCCCGAAAAAACCCACAAGAACCTACAAATAATGTTGTTGTTGTTATTGTTATTATTATTATTTGAAACACAACAAGATGAGTCCATAGCAGACAAGATCAGTCTGCTGGCTGTTGTACTGGATCACACATCGGACTCTTCCTAGGTGTCTAGGACTGTGTGATGTATCGGGAAATAATGTGTCCTGATCCCAGTAAGGTGGCCTTCTGCAGCTGTCAGATGGTAATCTTGTCAGTGCCGATTATGTTTAAGTGCAGGCCAAAGTCTTTAGGCACTGCGCCCAGTGTGCCGATCATCATTGGGACCACCTGTGCCAGAGTCTTTGCAGTTCGATCTTTAAATCCTCATATCGTGTCAGCTTTTCCAGTCGTTTCCCTTCAATCCTGCTGTCACCTGGGATTGCAACGTCAACAATCCATACTCAGGAGTATTGTGCTCCAAACCTCTGTCTGAATTCGGAAGTCTCAGAGGAGTTTGACGTGTTCATTCTCTGTAACTTTTCCCGGCTTGTGATCCCACCAGTTCTTTGTCGCGGGCAGGTGGTATTTGTGGCACAAGTTCCAATAAATCATCTGAGCATTATTATTACTACTACTACTATCCCTTTCCTATGCATTTTCCAATTTATTTTTGTCATCATTTATATAATCATCTACACTTTAGAATTAATGTAGTTTGGTCCTGCTTGAACTGCCAAGGCTCGATGGGAGTTGTAGTTTGTTGAGGCACCATCAATATTTGGCAGAGAAGGCGGGAGAGTTTGTACAGCTACAGCTCCCATGATCCCATAGCATTGAGACAGCTAAAGTGGTGTCAAACTTAATTAATTCTACAATATAGACTAGGCCTGGGCAAACTTGGGCCTTTCAGGTGTTTTGGACTTCAACTCCCATCATTCCTCACAGCCTCAGGCCCTTTCCTTTTCCCCTCTCAGCCGCTTAAGGGAAAGGAAGGGGCCTGAGGCTGTTAGGAATTGTGGGAGTTGAAGCCCAAAACACCTGGAAGGCCCAAGTTTGCCCAGGCCTTTGGTCCCACGGGGCGTGACGTCACACACGGAAGAAACTGATCACTTTTGGATAGGCTTTCCAATCCCGGTCTGTAATAGCCCAGGACACGTGTACCGTGACGGCGTGTGGCTGCTCCCACACGTGTAGCCCTGGGGCCAAACGCCAGCGTGTCTTTCCTTCCTCAAACTGCCGGGAAACGCGAGGAAACTTCATTTCAGGCAAAAAATAATAATTAACTCACCCTCCCGCGCTTCTTTCCGCCGTTTAGTCAAACGTGCTCCAATAAATCAAACCCACGAACCTGCGGAGTCCCCCGATCGCAGCCCTTCACGTCGCCGCGCTCTTGCCTCTGGAGAAGAGGGGGAGGAGGATGGCGTTAGCAGGAGGCGGAGGATTTGAAAGCCGGCAGTTTTGTTTCCTGGATGGTGATTCGCTGTCTTAGCGCTTCTGTTTCTGGCGCTTGCGCAGAGCGGATCTTGGTCCTCCTCCTCCTCCTCCCAGAGGCCCTCCTCGTGCAGCCAGGGGTGGCTCAGAGACTGAGGCCGGTGGGCAGCGGGAGGGGGAGGTCACAATTTCGTGCCGCGCGACGCAGCCGCCTTTGTCGCGAGGCATCATGGGAGTTGTAGTTTTTAATAACCAAACGTTTGAAACCGTTTGAGGAAGGCACCAGGAAGCGGCATTCCTTACCAATTGGGTTCTAGACTAGAGAAGGCTCCTGGACCTTGTGTAGAAGACGGAATTTCCTTGTTTCTTTGTGCCCATCTACATTCTAGACTTAATGCAGTTTGACAACTATTTTGACTGCCAGGGCTCAATCCTATGGAATCCTGGGAGTTGTAGTTTAAGATCTTCAGTCTTCTCTGCCAAAGAGTACTGCATTAGTACCTCACCGAACTACAATTCCCATTATTCCATACCATTTAAAGCTGCGTTAATTCTACAGTGTAGATCAGGCCAACTTGGGCCCTCCAGGTGTTTTGGACTACAACTCCCACCATTCCTAACAGCCAGTAAGCCAGGTGTGATCCAATTTGGGCCCTCCAGGTGTTTTGGACTACAACTCCCACCATTCCTAACAGCCTGTAGGCCAGGTATGGGCCAATTTGGGCCCTCCAGGTGTTTTGGACTACAATTCCCACCATTCCTAACAGCCAGTAGGCCAGGTATGGGCCAATTTGGGCCCTCCAGGTGTTTTGGACTTCAACTCCCACCATTCCTAACAGCCTGTAGGCCAGGTATGGGCCAATTTGGGCCCTCCAGGTGTTTTGGACTTCAACTCCCACCATTCCTAACAGCCAGTAAGCCAGGCATGGGCCAATTTGGGTCCTCCAGGTGTTTTGGACTTCAACTCCCACCATTCCTAACACCAGTAGGCCAGGCATGGGCCAACTTGAACTCTCCAGGTGTTTTGGACTTCAACTCCCACCATTCCTAACAGCCAGTAGGCCTGGAACAGGCCAGCTTGGGCCCTCCAGGTGTTTTGTACTACAACTCCCATCATTCCTAACAGCCTGTAAGCCAGGTATGGGCCAACTTGGGCCCTCCAGGTGTTTTGGACTACAACTCCCACCATTCCTAACAGCCTGTAGGCCAGGCACAGGCCAACTTGGGCCCTCCAGGTGTTTTGGGCTTCAACTCCCACCATTCCTAACACCAGTAGGCCAGGCATGGGCCAACTTGAACTCTCCAGGTATTTTTCGACTTAAACTCCCACCATTCCTAACAGCCGCAGGCTCTTTTCTTTTTCCCCTCAGCCTCATCAGAGGGGAAAAAGGAAAGGGCCTGAGGCTGCTACAAATGATGGGAGTTGAAGTCCAAACACCTGGAGGGCCAAATTTTGCCCATGCCTGGTGTACATGCACCCAAAGTCAATAGAATTACTCTGTAAGTATTGCTTTCAAGAAGCAGGCCAACAGAATCATAGAGTTGGAAGATACCTTGTGGGCCATCCAGTCTAACCCTCACCAAGGAGCAGGAAAATCGCATTCAAAGCACCCCTGACAGCCTCTGTTTAATTTATCTATTTATTTAAAACATTTTTATTCCACCCTTCTCATGCTGAAGGGGTCTCAGGGCAGAGCACAACATATACAGCAAATATTAAATGCCAGAACATAAACTATAAACAAACATAATCATTAAAATCCGTTATCCCACGGATTATTTAAAACCGTCTCAAAACATCCATATTGACTGGTTGGCAGGGTAAAGTTTCCTGTTGTTGCCTTATTGCACTGCCCCAAAGGCTTGGTCCCACAGCCAAGCTCTTACCATCTTTCTGAATGACAGGAGGGAGTAGGCTGATATAATTTTGCCAGGTAAGGAGTTCCATAGCCAGGGGGGCAATCACTTAGAAGGCCATGTCTCTCGTCCCCACCAATCGCGCTTGTGATGGTGACAGGACCAAGAACAGGGCCTCCCCAGAAGATCTTAATCTCCGTTTAAAAGCCTCCAAAAAGGAGCCTCCATCACACTCGAAGGCAGTGAGTTCCACTGCTGAGTAGCTCTCATAATCAGGAACTTCTTCCTAATGTTCAGGTGGAATCTCCTTTCTGTAATTTTAACCATTGCTCTGAAAACTAGTCTCCAGGGCAGCAAAAAGCAAACCTTCTCTCTCTTCCTTATGACATCCTTTCACATATTTATACATGGCCATCATGTCTCCTCTCAGTCTTCTCTTCTGCAGTATAAACATACCGTACTCATTTCTTTAAGATGCTCCTCATAGGGATTAATGGTTTCCAGACCTTTGATCATTTCAGTAGCCCACAGTATTCACACACACACACACACACACACGGTGACATACACATTAAAATTAGAATATACACATTAATCAGCTGGTGACTATGAAGAGGGGGAAATCCCATGAATAGAAAGAGGAAGGAATGGAGAGAGCATAGAGTTCATTAGAGAGTGCATAAGCACAGAAAACTGAGACAGCTTTAATTCCAAACACTTCCACTCCTCTCTGTTCTTTTGGCATTACAAGTTATACAATATATATAAATGTATTTTTGTTCTGCATATGAATGTAGCAAGAGATCTGTGAAAAAATACAAAGCACAGTTATTACTTTCATAAGTAAAACAATATTTGTGCATGCATTAAAAAAAAAGAATGATCAGCCGCAAGAAAATTGATGTCAGGTGACAGGATATTCCCGCAGAGACTCTTCAAATGGGTGGGTTTAATATATATGTTATTGTATTATCATTTTTTATTTTTTATGGCCAAATGTTATTTTATCTTTTAATATAGTTAGGTTTTTAATTTATAGTTATATATTATTGTCTAGCTATTGTGTTTTGGTTTTCAGATGAATGTACGGCATTTAATTTTGCCTTTATTATGTTGGAAACCGCTTTGAGTTCCCTCAGGGGGAGAAAAGCGGTATATAAATGTAGTAAATAAAAAATAAATTAATTAATATGTTAATTTGTTTTTGAATTTGTTGTACCTTGCCTCGAGCCATCAGGAGAGACGGGTAAGAAATAAAATATATTATTATTACTACTGCTACTACTATTACTACTATTATTTTACTCACACAAAAACACAGTATGTCACAACAAACAAGATATATATGCTGGATTTCGTATCATAAAACCACAAGTCGGACACTTCCCAAGCATTTAGGACTGTGATGTATTTTCGGTGGCCTTTTGCAGTTGACAGATCGTGATTTTGTCAATGTTTATTGTTTCCAAATGCCGGCTGAGACCTTTTGGCATGGCACCCAGTGCGCCGATTACCACTGGGACCACCTGTACTGGTTTATGCCAGAGCCTTTGCAGTTCGATTTTGAGGTCTTGATAACGGCTGTGTTTTTCCTGTTGTTTTTCGTAAATTCGGTTGCCACATATTTTTATTTTTGTGTGTCAGGAGTGACTTGAGAAACTGCAAGTTGCTTCTGTTGTGAGAGAATTGGCCATCTGCAAGGGTGTTGCCCAGGGGATATTTATTTATCGTGTCATCTGCAACCAGAACATTGTATTACATTTCTAACAGAACAAAACAAACAAACAGATAAAAAATAACAACACAAATTTTGCAAACTTGGTAGCTGATTAAATGTCCTTTGACCAGTATCTGGCCACTTGGAGTGCCTCTGGTGTTGCCGCAAGAAGGTCCTCCATTGTGCATGTGGCAGGGCTCAGGTTGCATTGCAGCAGGTGGTCAGTGGTTTGCTCTTCTCCACACTCGCATGTCGTGGATCCACGACATGCCCAGGGGATGCCCAGATGTTTTGATGTTTTTCCTTGTGGGAGGCTTCTCTCATGTCCCCGCATGGGGAGTCGGAGTTGACAGAGGAAGCTCATCCGCACTCTCCCCGGATTTGAACCTGCGACCTGTCGGTCTTTAGTCCTGCGGTCACAAGGGTTTAAACCATTGCACCACTTGGGGCTTCTTGTCTCCTGGTAAGGCAACATCAATAATCCAAACTTTTTTATTTTCCACAATCGTGATGTCTGGTGTATTGTGTTCCAAAACGTTGTCGGTTTGGATTCCAAAGTCCCACAGTATTTTTGTGTATTAATTTTTGTGCCCCTGGCGGCGCAGTGGGTTAAGCCCTTGTGCCGGCAGAACTGAAGACCAACAGGTCAGAGGTTCAAATCTGGAGAGAACGTGGATGAGCTCCCTCTGTCAGCTCTAGCTCCCGATGAGGGGACATGAGAGAAGCCTCCCACAAGGATGGTAAAACATCAAAACATCTGGGCGTCCCCGTGGCAACGTCCTTGCAGACGGCCAATTCTCCCACACCAGAAGCGACTTGCAGTTAATAATAATAATAAAACTTTATTTATATATTGCTCTATCTCCCCGAGGGGACTCAGAGCGGTTCCCAGATAAAAATCACAGAACATACAAAGTAAAAACAACATAAGCATAAGATTAACAAACCAAAATATGCATCAAAATTGTCGCCATAACACACATATATTAAAAGTAATCCTGCCTGTTCAAGGCAATTTAAAAAATTTAAAAGGCCAGGCCAAGATTTGTGCAAGCCCCAAAATTCTAGGGGGCCCGGGAATTAAATGCAATGCTATGGCAGGCAACAATAATATTAGGTATGGGTCTGTGGCTGTTCATTCCAGGGCCGACTAGAGGAAATGATCTGGGTAATTGGTAGGAAGAATAAGGTCGTATTCGACAATGTTTAGGGCTGAGTTAGAACTGGCCATTTTCAAAGGCTTGTTGAAACCACCAGGTCTTCAAGCTCTTACGAAAGGAGGGGAGGGATGGGGCCTGTCTTATTTCCCTTGGAAGGGTGTTCCAGAGGCAGGGGGCCACCACTGAGAAGGCCCTCTCTCTCGTCCCCACCAACTACGCTTGAGACGGTAGTGGGACCGAGAGGAGTGCCTCCCCAGAAGATCTTAGAGTTCGCGGCGGTTAATAGAAGGAGATGCGATCGCTGAGATAGGCGGGGGCCGAACCGTTTAGGGCTTTATCAGTCATGACCTGCACCTTGAATTTGGCTTGGCAACTTCTTGGCAGCCAATGAAGCTGTTTTAATAGGGGTGTTGTATGTTCCCTATTTTGCTCCAGTAAGGAGCTTGGCTGCCGCCTGTTGTACCAGTTCAAACTTCCGGGTCGTCTTCAAGGGCAGCCCCACATGGAGCGCATTGCAGTAGTCCAGTTTGGATGTAACCAAGGCGTGGACCACCCTGGCCAAGTCAGACTTCACGAGGTATGGTCATAGCTGGCGCACAAGTTTGGCCCTCCCGGCCACCGCTGACACCTGAGCATCAAGCCACAGCGTTGAATCCAGGAGGACCCCCAAGCTACGGACCATCAGTTTCTTAAGTCGACCTGACACACACAAATTTCCACTACCTTTGCAGGTTTATGATCCCACCAGTTCTTTACTACTGGCAGGTAGTACTCCTGGCATAGAATCATAGAATCAAAGAGTTGGAAGAGACCTCATGGGCCATCCAGTCCAACCCCTGCCAAGAAGCAGGAATATTGCATTCAAATCACCCCTGACAGATGGCCATCCAGCCTCTGTTTAAAAGCTTCCAAAGACGGAGCCTCCACCACACTCCGGGGCAGAGAGTTCCACTGCTGAACGGCTCTCACAGTCAGGAAGTTCTTCCTCATGTTCAGATGGAATCTCCTCTCTTGTAGTTTGAAGCCATTGTTCCGCGTCCTAGTCTCCAAGGAAGCAGAAAACAAGCTTGCTCCCTCCTCCCTGTGGCTTCCTCTCACATATTTATACATGTCTATCATATCTCCTCTCAGCCTTCTCTTCTTAAGGCTAAACATGCCCAGCTCCTTAAGCCACTCCTCATAGGGCTTGTTCTCCAGACCCTTGATCATTTTAGTCGCCCTCCTCTGGACACATTCCAGCTTGTCAATATCTCTCTTGAATTGTGGTGCCCAGAATTGGACACAACATTCCAGGTGTAGCATTACTTCCCTAGAGCTAGACCAGGGGTCCACAAACTTTTTAAACAAAGGGCCAGGTCACAGTTCCTCAGACTGTTGGAGGGCCGGATTATAATTTGAAAAAAAAATGAATGAATTCCTATGCATACCACATATCTTATTTGTAGTGCAAAATCACTTAAAAACAATACAATAATTAAAATGAAGAACAATTTAACAAATATAAACTTATTAGTATCTCAATGGGAAGTGTGGGCCTGCTTTTGGCTCATGAGATAGGATTGTTGTCCTTGTTGTTGTGTGTTTTCAAGTTGTTTCAGACTTAGGTTGACCCTGAGCGAGGGCCGGGTAAATGACCTTGGAGGGCCGCATCCGGCCCCTGGGCCTTAGTTTGAGGACCCCTCATCTAGACACTATGCTCCTCTTGATGCAGGCCAAAATCCCATTGGCTTATTTTGCCGCCACATCACATTGTTGGCTCATGTTTAACTTGTTGTCCACGAGGACTCCAAGATCTTTTTCACACGTACTTTCACAAGTTCCAATGAATAATTTGGGCCCTATAGTTGTGCCTCTGTTTGTAGTCTGTGCGATTTTCTTGCAGCAGCTGAGGATACCATAAATGGTTTAATCAGCTTCCTTGCACAGTCTGCATTTTGGGTCATCAGCTGATTTTTCGATTCTGGCCTTAATTAACTATTATTATTGTTGTTGTTGTTATTACTGTGATGATTATTATTATCACCATCAACAACAACAACATTGGAGTCACTAATATGGGAGGGATGGAGGGCAGAGTTGGGTGAGTGAGCGCTAGGACCCAGCGGGGCCGCAAGGAAGCGTTCCGCCTGGCAGGCGAGGCTGAGCCTGGGAAGACCTGGAAATGAAAGTAGGAAAGCGCCCGAGGCACATGGAGCAGGATGCATCCCTCTGTGATCAAGTAGCGGCCGCTCGCTCGGTATCCTTGCTCACCCGAATAATGCTCTAATCATAGTCATAAGACCATATCATTATTTACCAAGGCCAAGTGGAAGGGAAGCCCCAGCAGAGGAAGAGGAGGAGGAGGAGGTGAGTGTGAGGTTTGTGTTGTTTTCATTGGGGAAAGGAAGGAAGGAGAGCAATAGAGGAAAAGCCAAATCCTGCGGAGAATAACAGGAATATATACAATTGGGAGAAAGCAATAAATCCCATCCAGGCATAAACATCAATCAGGGGAGAGTTCTAACCTTAAAAATGCAATTTGGAGCAAATCCTACATCATAATAATAATAATAATAATAATAATAATAATAATAATAATGATGATGATGATGATGTAGGATTTGCTCCCAATTGCATTTTTAAGGTTGGAACTCTCCCCTGATGTTTATGCCTGGATGGGATGGGATTTATTATTATTATTATTATTATTATTATTATTATTATTATTATTATGCCGCCTTTTCTCTCCTAACAAAGACTCAATATATACCCTTTTGGGAACTGAATTAGGAAATAAATCAGGGAAGGAAAAGCCCCAAATTTAGTGGAAATTCCTACTTTTTTGCAGTTTTGTGTTTTTTTAATTAAATTAAAAGCACTCTTTAAATGCATTTGGTACACAGACCTTTGTATAAACTTAAAGGGGAGCTTTTAGTGCAAAAAAGGTGTTGTTTGCCTGACTTGGCCTCCATAATGGGACTTGTAAAAGTTAGAACAGGTGATGGGAACCGAAATATTGATTTAGAAGAAAGTTCTGCGAGACTATTTTAACCTGGAGGTCCTCGAGATGGTTTATTGTAAGTTTGAGGAGTGATAGGCTCAGGCTGTAATGGGATTGTGGCTTCCCAAAGAGACCGGTGCTTTCTTGTCTGCTTCCCCGGTTGAGGTGCCTCCAACGCCGGCCGCCTTTGCTACGCGAGGTCGGGGATTTCGGGCCTTGCGTTAGTGGGAATATATGGTTGGCGTTGCTCCAGTGGAAGCTAAAAACGCAAGTTAAAGTCACTAATTGGAATAATAAGGCCCCTTCCAGACAGGCCCCGTATCCCAGGATGTTATCTACTTTAACCTGGATTATATGAGTCCTCACCGCTAGATAATCTGGGATAAACAGAAAACCTGGGATGGTATCCTGGGAGATAGGGCCTGTTTGGAAGGGTCCAGAGGCAACAAATAACACCGGGAAAGCGGGTATTGAGCACAAACAGGCTGCAATCCTCATAAAAAGGTTAGAAATGTATGTCATGGCCCTTCCAGAGAGGCCCAATCTCCCAGGATCTGATCCCAGATTTTCTGTTTATCCCAGATAATCCATCATATAATCCAGATTAAAGCAGAAAACCTGTGATCAAATCTTGGGATTTAGGGCCTTTCTGGAAGGGCCCTCAGACGCCCCTTGAATGCATGGGGAATGTATAGGGAAGGATAGAGAAATAGTTGTTTTGGAAAAGAAGAAAATCACTGTCTTGCAGGTATCTTTTTGGTGCCTATTTGGCTATTACTGGATTTATACTGACCATCTAATCCAGATTCAAACTGCATTATATGGCAGTATAGATCCAGTCTAGACAAGGATTGCTGCAAAAATGAGATCTTGCATCTCTAGACCAAACGTGTTAAAATATAAGGTCCCTGGTTAATTTACACATCACTCAGAGTGGAAAACAGCACAACACATGAAGTCAACAGATGTGTTGTGTCCTTGTGTAGTTTCTATAGGAAGCCACAATAATAGCCCTGGAATGACTGGTGGAATATTCCCAATCTGAATGGAGAATGAAGGCTTTGTGTTATATTCACAGGTTAAAGTTTTGTTCAGAATATTTTCTCTCACTTTTTGCCCCTATAATAATTGCCCCTATAATAATTGGACTTTGAGAAATTTGGCTTGTTGTAGAAACAAGGATTGGTGATAAAGCTTCAGTGGAGAACCCTTTTCCCCATGATAACTCTCTCAGGAGTGGATTTCCCTTCCTGGCTGGAGATTTATCTCACTTCCTGTTTTCTCATTCCCGTTTGGAACTAAGAGTTGTATGTAGGTCAGATGTTTGTAACTCGGGGATTGGACTGGCTGCAATCTGGTGCCATTGTTGATCACCCCCACCCACCCCAGAATAATACCATGCTAAAAGCCCACACTTAAATATTATGAAGTTGACAGAGAATCAGATTAAAAGCCAGAGTTGCACTTCCCAGAACTGGAGGAATCTCTGACCGCAGTCTCCCAGTGAACATGTAACTCCAATGACACTTCTACAATAAAAAACCCATATTATAAACATATTACATGCTTGTTATACATATACATATTATATGCTCTTTCTTAATTATGAGTCATTGGTAAGTTGGATATTTGTAACTCGGGTATTTCCTGTATACCTGTGATTCTAAGATGCACCCTGTTTTTAGAAATGCTTATAAGGGGACAAAGTGTGTCTTAAAATGGAAGAAATTTGGTAACTGAAATGCATTTGCCACCCCATATAGTTGATACTCCTCTTTCTAAACACACCGTTGGATGGTAGATTTTGTTTGAAGCAGTTGTTTGCAGATACCTTGAGACCATGATTTTGGTAAAGATGGCATGCTTGCAAACTTGAGGTGAGGACCATGCAGAAAATGTATTAGTAGTCTGTGGGCTAAAATACTGTAAATACAGGAATCATGCAGAATAGAGAGAGACAAGAGGTGAGAAATAATATCGTATATGTCCGTATTGGAGCATATAGATTGGAAGTAAATCTTCCCCTTCTGTTTTACATACCCTTCTTCGCTACTGGAGATTGTTTATCTATGTCAAAATGGATGAACTAAAAAAAAATTAAGTGATGACAAAGTAGACTAAAAATGCCATTTTAATACATGTTGGGGTTGAATGTAATATAGCAGATATAGGTGATATATGACCAGAGACCTCATGTACCTGCCAAAACACTTCAGGGTGGCCTGAATGTCATAAGAACTTTGGCAGTGCTTTGCATGATAAAATTAGGCTTTTAGTTCTTATGGATACAAAGAGTTAATAAGTTTGAAAGCATAATAGCAGATACTGCTGATCATAAATAGGAAAGCAATATATGGTCTTTGCCACTAATTGTATGTCTCAAAATTATATATATATATATACAACAACAACAAAGATGTGCACAGTTCAAGAATCCTATCGTCATGAACTGATATGTCAGATTGATGTAAATAGCATGCAAAGTATGTAATTTATTTGCTTATGAAATGACAGGTTTTTGAAAAAAAATTCAAAACACCTTACTGCCAAAAAACAGAAAAAAAGAAATATTGCATTAGGGGCAAAGATATAATATGGTAGAAATGATATGTGTATAAGTGGTAGTAGATATACAAATCCAGGTAGTATTGAAGAAGAAATTCAATGAGTTTATAGTATAGTCTTCAAATGATGCAATTTCTGTGTCTTGATTATACTTCGGTGTATGCATCTTGATAGATATATGAAGACTGTGCTTTAATTATCAAGTTTCCTTGCTGTAATCTGTGGTTCTTCTAAAGTTAGGAGGAAAAATCTTATGGTATTTCTTCCATGCATTGGTGCTACTTGCTGGTTAACTTGTAACCTTTTGGTAAAACTATTGAGTAATTCTCTTGGAAAATGTCCAGGATGGCAAACTTTATATCCAGGGTTCGCATCCTGTCAGTGCAGGAAAAGCCTTAGGTACATACTACCCTAGTGAATTGGAAACTGAGTGCTTGGCCACATAACATAATAATTAAGGCTGCATATGTTAGCAGCATTCTCACTTTACATTTTGGTTTTAGCCAATAAAGTGTTGATGAACATTAAAATATCCTATTTCTCCAAATCTGGATTTCTAATTCTTCTTCAGATACAATGTTGTGCTTCACCTGACCCATTGAATGCTCTTTTAAGTGTGCCAAATGCAGCTATGGTTATTTGAGAACAACTTTTCCAGTGTGAATTATCATATGAAATGTCAGAACACCATGCAGAATCATAACATACTTTTGTGCTCTAAATATTTCTCTGGAATAGAATTTGTTGCTTGGTTTCCTTTCTGTGCTCCTAGAGGTACTACTATAAATCATTCACATTCTTCCTTTTGGCTTACATTTTCCAAATTGTAAGCATCTAACATACACTCAGGCAATCTAAAAGTTTACTCTGACATGAATTGGATCATAGTATATGAAGTTGATAGCTTCTGTGATAGCCTAGAAGTAAAGGGTTGCATTTGAAGTTTCATAAAAGGTGGATCCTTGGGGATGTTTGATAATGGAGTGCATGATGAGCAGGCGGGTACCTGACATCTAAGCAAAGTCTTACCTGTGGCTTTATTTTGTATGCTTTAATTTTATTAGTTATCTTAGTGGTATTAGAAATGGTATTGGAGATTTTGTATAGAGGTAGAAAGAAGAAAGTTGAGTGTCAGTTGCAGACTGATGATCTCTCACAGTTTCTGATGACTTGCTGCTTCATTGCACATCAATCTGTCCTAGATGCATTGGTGCTACTGCAGATGTTTAAAGGTTTTCTTTTCTAGAGAAAAGGAAGAGAAGTACATTATTGGAAAGGGACATGCAACTTGGATAATTTTGTCAACATTGGATAGAAAGTTGGATTATTTGTGTTTCAAAAACTATTAAGATTTGATATATGCATTTTTGTCTCCACTGCAGTGGCTGTAATGGAGAGACAAAAAAGAAAAGAGGAGATAGAGAAAGGACTTCAGTTTATCCAGTAAGTGAACATGTTTGGAGATTGGGATTTCCCTTGAATGGAAGGTCAAAGTAATTTACACAATAAATAAAAGTATGAATACATAACTAACTTTAACAAATCTACAAAATCAACTAAATCCAACCACCGTTCCAATAAACCAAAATGCATTAAATAAGTAATCAAACTGTAATTTAAGAATGACTCTATAAATATCCTGCCATTATAGAACTGTTGGGTCTTGATGCATGAGAAAATATGTTGAATCTAAAGTGAATGTATTTTATTATTTTTTTTTGCATTTTTAACGAGAACTGTTACATGCTGAATGTGTATAACTGTACTTTCAATTTCTCTTTTTGTTTCGGTGAATAAGGCTACTAGTGAAAAGCTACTTGGTTGTTTAATTGATTTTTTAGTGTAGTTTCGACAAATGGTTTGTCCAGGCAGTTGTTTAAAGTTGAGAGCTCCGGATTTGCATTCCATGCTTGATGTTTGTTTCCAGTTTATCCAATTGATGGTAACAGCTACAGAGAGGTCACATTTGACTTGTATCTGTTCTGTGCTATCTACAGACCTAGAAAGATAAATAAAATGATGTTATATAAAATTAATATAAACATGTTAACCTAAAGAATCCTATATATTTTAAAAATCTCTGTCCTTAGCTGGCCATGATAGAAGTAGCTAGTAAGTAATAAAAGTGCCATCTTATGATGCAGATATCTGTATGTGTGTAGAGTGGAATTTCAAATACAACGGACCCTTCTTAACTGCAGGGATTGGTCTCAAGTTCCCCTGTGGATACAAAAAACAAAGATACTTAAGTCCCTTATATAAAGGGATGTAGTCTCAGCTCTCAAATTATTGCACTGTATTGACCCACCAGCTTTCCCATAGCTCCAGAAATGGATGTTCTCCAGTTGTTTTGAGTTATTCCCATCAGCCTCAACCAGGATGACCATGGCTGAGGCTGATGGGAATAGTATTACAATTCATCTGGAGGGTACCAGGGCACTTACTCTTGTGCACCTGGTTGTACCATTAGGCAGAAGACTTTATTTATTTTACTGTGGAAACTACTATTGCTTTGAAAATTAAACATTTTAAATTATTATTTTAAACTCATATTTTTAGTTTTCTCGATGATGTTAACTAAACCCTGGTATTACACATATAGTTGGCACTGAAAGTGGGTTCCTCTGCAAGATATTTTAAGTTAGTGATGTGAAATTTAGTAGAAATGTAATCTTAGTGTTATGCAAATGTAGATACATGCATACATTTTAATGGACAATGCCTCACACAGAATGTTATTGCAAATAAAGACAAAGAGGAAGGCTGCTAGATGCAATCTTATCTTTGAAACCTGACAATATGAGTATGAAACAGCACATGAAAGAGAAGGAGTTGTTCTGTGTTCAAGATTTTGTTAAAGATTTAGAATGACACCGTTAATCACACTAGACATGAATATGTATTTGCATTTCACTTTTGTATTTCACAAGGTCTTTGTCTTCATTTAGGTCTACATTACCCCTAATCCAAGAAGATTATGAGGTATTTATTCAATTTTATTTTGAAGTACGAAATGACATGTTCATCAGATTCATTGCTTTCTTGTCAAAACTGTGACTGTGGAGATGGATTGGATAGGCAGTTTCCTGGTATGGCTGAATTGATATTGTATATGAGGAAAAATCTGTTAATCAGAACAGTATTAAACAATTAAGTTTGGAATTTTATCTTTGTTGGGAGAAAAAAAAAAGAATAGGCTTTATTTAGTATAGATATTTTATGACTGTTCTTTCAGTACTTTCAAGTTAAAAACATTTGCAGACTCAAAAGTGGACAGTAAGGTAATACCTTAAAAACAATACCTTAAAAACAATAGAAAGTAAATCAACAGCATTATCATAAACACATATAGTAACTGGAAATTCCCAATAATAATCAGAACCAAAGTATGAAGAATCAACTCTTTGAATTGCTGAAATTAATCGGTGTGAGACACATCAAATTAGATGATCAGAGAATATATTATTCTATACTTACAAGAAATCTTAAAGGTACCCTGTCATATTCTAGTGTTCAAGACTGGTATCATGAAATATTCCAAAACAAATCAGACAAATCTGAACATTTTATTTGTTTATTTATTATTTATTATTATATTTATTTATACCCCGCCTTTCTCTCTGTGGGGACTCAAGACAGCTAACACCCCACACTAGACAAATTTAAAAGGTGCAATACAAAAGTTAGAAAATATATAGTAACAGTGTGGTAAAAACAGAATTAAAAATACAGTAAATACACTAAATGGTCTTTAAAACTCATATATCTCCCCAATCCCCCTCCCAACCTCCCCAAAGCCTTGCCCGTACTTTTTCCTTAATGCCTGTTCATATAAGAAGGTCTTGGCCTGTTTGCAGAAGGCCAGCAATGATGGGTCCATCCTGGTTTCTCCTTGGAGTGAGTTCCACGGTCTGGGAGAAACCCTGTCCCTTGTTCCCACCAAGCGTGCTTGAGCAGGTGGTGGGAGCAAGAGAAGGCCCTCCCCAGTAAATCGTAGATGTCTCCCAGGTTCATAGAAAGAGATATGGTCCTCCAGATAAACTGGATCAGATCCGTATAGAGCTTTATAGGTCAAAGCCAGCACTTTGGATTGTGCTCAGAAACATGTTGGCCGGTAGTGGAGGTGTCACAGCAGAGGAGTTGTATGGTCCCAGTCGCCAGCCCTAGTTAGCAGTCTGGCTGCTGCTCTTCAGGCTCACAGAAGATTCCAAGCACTTTTCAAAGGCAGCCTCATGTATAGCGCATTACAATAGTCCAACCAGGATGTAACCAAGGCATGTACCACTGTGGCCACTCTTGGGATGGGCATAATTGGCAAACTAGCTTTAACTGTGCAAGGGCACTCCTGGTCACTGCTGATACCTGGGCCTCCAGGTGGGAATACTCCTTCCTGGGAGTATTCGGAGTATTCTGGGGTAAAGTTTCCAAAGTGGAAAGAGTGTTGCTTAGGAGTAGATCTGTGGTACCGGAGGAGGCTGGATGCTTCTCCTTGAAGGCTGTTGTAGAGGTTTTTGGAGGCTTTTCCTAGATGTAATTGTACGAGCCTGGAGCACCAGGGGAACTGAGTCTGTTAGGGATGTGGCTGTCTTACAGATAGCCAACAAGGTTTCTCTTTCGACATCACATCTTTCGATGATATCAGCCTGTTCAGAGGCTGAGAAAATAGTAAAGGAGTTTTCTTCTAAAGGCTCCTAGTCAGAAAGCATTGGTGGGAGTTATGCTATATTACTATCTTTTGTAACTGAGGCGGGTGTGATGACCTTGGAGTCATTGAAAAGCTGATCCAAGTCCTATGCAATGACAAGTCCTCGATCAATGCCAAGACCAAACCAGAACTCCCTTGTCTGGGGGCAGGCATGAGAGGTCTAATGTCCTCTATGCAAATGATTGCATGGGACCTTACAAATCATGTGGATATGCTCCTGAAATTAATACAAATACTATCAAATATGAATAAAATAATAAAACAGTATGTAAATGGGAAAAGGAAAATATGAAATAAGAGTACATTCTGTGATTGAGATACATATGTTCAACCTGCAGAAATCAAAGCATTAATATTTAACTTGAAAACTGAATCCAAATATATTGAATTTCCGTGTTACCCCCTCAAATGCACTTCCACATCTTCCAACTATTTTTTAATTTCTTTGTTCCAGCATTGACTGTTTTTCTAAAAACTGTGTTCGCTGCTCAGGACAGTTTTGACTAATGTCAAAGAGGCTTTTGGGGAAAAATAGCAAGTTTGAAAAAGAAAATAAAAAGGAGTAAAATCTGCAGTATTTGTTAAGATGCTGCATTATTAGATTCTAGCAGTTTTGGGAATCCTATCCAACCAAGGGTTTCCTCTTCCTTGATTCACCTTCATTCTTTCGCACTCACTGCTCCATACTTTTGAAATCGCCACCTTGAACATTTATACATTGTTTTAAAAATTTCCACACAATCACTAGATTTGGCTTACAAAGTTGTAAACAGGAGATTCTTAGGAGTTTCAAAATAATATACTTCTATGTTGTTTTAATGAAGGGCTGCAGATAGTGACTTAGAAGTGATTGGTGCATTGCAGTAAGGACATGCTTCCGATCACATGTTTTGTTGTTCAGGGGGTGAATTAAAAGAATTGTCTTTTAATTCTGTTTCCTGCTTTCCCTCTGTTTCTTCCAACAGGCTTTTTTGCAGAAGCTGGTGCGAAACTTACTTGCAGAAGGCAATGACTTGTTCCGAGAGAAAGATTTTAAGCTAGCGCTGGTCCAGTATGTAGAAGGGCTGAATGTGACTGAATATGCAGCCTCAGATGAGGTGACCATTCCAGTGGATCTCCAATGCAACCTGTACGTCAACCGCGCTGCCTGCTACTATACCATGGCAAGTATTCTGGAGGCTGTTCCGTATCTACATCCATTTTTCTCCTCACTTAATGACTTACAGCTAAGATTCCATGGAAAAGAATTGCTGTAGTGCAACAATTAAAGGAGAAATCAGTTTTTCAATTTGTCATGCCTTGTTTTTATGGGCAGGTTATTATTTGATGCTGCATTTTATATATATATATATATATATATATATATATATATATATATTGTATACAAACAATTCATTATAACATGTTCGTAAAACACAATTCTGTAGTTTGTACTTAGAAAGTTGTATTTCAAAGATTCATCATGTGTATCAGGGCTCCATAAGCTGTTTGAACTCTGATGACAAAACACCTTGGGCCAGTTTGTTGCAAAGTCACTTATAGTATTCATTCATTTTATTTCATGTCAAGTTCCGAAAGGGTTTTTTTGTCAAATGAAATTTCTGTGTCTATACTCATTCATTCTCGAATGCAGAGGTGTCACATTTCAGCTTCAGCTCCCAGAATTCTTGGCTATTGGACAAGCTGATTAGGACTTCTGGGAATTGGAGGTTCAAACATCTGGAGGGCTACAGTCTTGACACCTCTGATCTAATGTTAAGTCCTTTTAGCAATATTTTATTATTTCTAATCTTACAGCCACCAGGAACATTGCAATCAGTTCTTTGTACTTAGGTGTACCATTTTTATCCAGAACCAGTGACAATAGCAATACTGTACCACTTTTAAAAGATATTTTGTTCCTGATATTGCTAATAAGATTAATCACTTTGCCCCACACATAAACAAGAATCCCTGTCTTTTTATAGTTTCTCCAAGATAATGGAGATAAATAATAGTAATAATAATAATCTTTATTTATACCCCGCCACCATCTCCTCGAAGGGGACTCGGGCCGGCTTACATGAGGCCAAGCCCGGTAATACATAACAGCAAAAATACAGAAGAAAAAATATCATCACAGTAAAATAAATAGAATATAAAGTGAATATGCAGTACAAAATAATAAGTTGAAAAATCAATCACAGTGGGCGGGCCAAATGTACATAAAATAATAAAACACTGGATGAGATAGGAATGACTAAGATATAAGAGCTCATAGGGGATGGAACAGTGGAGACAGGCCTTCTGAAAAAATGGGAGGGGGGAGTGCAATATGAGGACATATTATGGGAGAGACAACAGGAAAGAAGTATATGGTCACTCTCCATACAGTTTATTTTTGTAGGATATCAGTGCCATCTATGTGTTGCTTTTAAAAACAATTATTTTAATTTGGCTGAAATATATTGGTCTCTTTCCCCACAGGGTTTATATGAGAAGGCTTTGGAAGATAGTGAGAAGGCTCTGGGATTTGATGCAGAGAACATCCGAGCGCTTTTCCGGAAGGCCCGCTGCTTGAATGAGCTCGGGAGGCACAAAGAAGCCTATGAATGTAACAGCCGCTGTCTCTTGTCCCTTCCACATGTAAGTAGCAACTTTCCAATTTGTAAATGTCCCATATTTTAAGAGAAGAGTAGTATGCAATAATGTTTTACCATTAATCAAATGTATTCAGTGTATTGTCAAAGGCTTTCATGGCCGGAATCACTGGGTTGTTATAGGTTTTTCCGGGCTATATGGCCATGTTCTAGAGGCGTTTTCTCCTGACGTTTCGCCTGCATCTATGGCAAGCATCCTCAGAGGTAGTGAGGTCTGTTGGAAGTAGGAAAATGGATTTATATATCTGTGGAATGACCAGGGTGGGGCAAAGGGCTCTTGTCTGCTGGAGCTAGGTGTGAATGTTTCAACTGACCACCTTAATTAGCATTTGATGGCTTGGCAGTGCCTGGGGGAATCTTTTGTTGAGAGGTGATTAGATGTGCCTGATTGTTTACTCTCTGTTGTTTTGCTGTTGTAATTTTAGAGTTCAATACAAAGTGAAGACTATATTTTCCTTCACAGGATAAATAGACATACTATTAAAGGTGATGGAGAATGTATGTTATAAAGAAGGCTTTGGCATCGAAATAAGTAGTTCTGTTTTAGACAATGAGGAAGACATAGCTGAAAGATGTTCAATGTCAAAAGAGAGTTCTGAAAATACAGCTGAATATCAAATGCTTTTGAAAACTATGCAAATTGATAAGATCATTGAAAGATAGTGTATAAAATAAATATTATTTATTTGATTTATAGATTTTTGTCAAAAATGGGGCCAGGGTGTCTCACAATAAGAATAATTTAAAATTTATATTCATATATGTGTGTGTGTGTGTGTGTATGTATATGTATATGTGTGTGTGTGTGTGTGTGTGTGTGTGTGTATATATATATATATAAAACAGTTTGCTCTTGGAAGAGTTGGCAACATCAGTCAAAGAAAGACATAAAAGTATTCAAAATTTCAGGCAGGAATGGACAGAAGTAACATAATAGGTTCAACAAACATGGTTTCTTTACTTGGTTACAAGATTAATCCCAGTCTATTCAACAAACCATGGTCACTTTGAACAGTAGTTTTCTATGATGTCTCAGTGTGGTCAATATCAATTTGAGTTGCTGTGGGTTTTCCGGGCTGTATGACTATGTTCCAGAAGCATTCTCTCCTGACGTTTCACCCACAACTATGGCAGGCATCCTCAGAGGTTGTGGGGTCTGTTGGAAACTAAGCAAGTGAGGTTTATATATCTGTGGAATGTCCAGGGTGGGAGAAAGAACTCTTTGTCTGCTTGAGACAAGTGTGAATGTTGCAATTGGCCACCTAGTTTCCAACAGACCCCTCAGCCTTTGAGTATGCCTGCCGTAGTTGTGGTCAAACCTCAGGAGAGAATGCTTCTGGAACATGGCCATACAGCCTGGAAAACTCACAGCAACCCAGTAATTCAGGCCATGAAAGCCTTCAACAACACCATGTAAATTTGTCTGAAAATTTGTAAGTGAGAAATCTGAGAAGATTACAGTATATTCTGGCGTATAAGACTACTTTTTAACCCAAGAAAATCTTCTCAAAAGTCAGGGGTCGTCTTATACGCGGGTGTAGTCTTATGCATGGGAGTCGTCTTAACTCTATATTTTAACTGGAAAAGTTGGGGGTCGTCTTATACGCCCAGTCGTCTTATATGCCGGAATATACGGTACTTCTTTCTCAATAACTGAAATTGCTATTTGCATGAAGAATCAAGTAGATTTCTTGGCACACACAAAATGAACCTGACTGTTTTTTTCTGCTGAAGGATGAAAGTGTGGCACAACTTGGTCAAGATCTTGCTCAGACACTGGGATTAAGAGTCCGGAAGGCATATAAAAGACCTCAGGTATTATATTGGTATCCCTTTCATTATTCAGATAGCATACATGGGGTTATTTAGTTTTCATCCCTCCCAACAATCCTTCGTTAGGCGAAGAGATAATAATTTCCCTAAGACCAGCTGGTATATATCTTGACTAAGCAGTTCTCTACCCCAGACCTGGACAAGATGGAATCCATCAAGCTGGATGAAGCCCACTTCCAATATCTAGTGACATGTAAGGGGCTTGATGTCTATCTATTCTATGCAATTTTAAACAAAGAGCAGGATAAGAATGTTATTGGATGTCATGCATTATATTTGAATTTTGCCTAATGTTTTGTTTGAAGTGTGTCACTGAACCTTACTAAGCATCTACTATGTTTTCTCTCTTCCTTGTAGCAGGAATTGGAAACATTTTCTCTACTCAGTAATGGCATATCATCCAATTTACCAAATCAGGTAGGCCATTATTGTTCAAAGAGTACCAAAGAGCATTAAATTGGCTAGTTTTGCGCATTTCCCGCACCCTCCCTCTCAGCATGCTCAATTGTCACTGTGTTGTTTTGTGTGTGTTTTGCCCCTCATTTTCTCCTCAGCCCTTATGTTTTTTTTAATAGATCTTTTGTGGTTCCTTCATGTCAGGTTGTGCCCCTCTCTTGTTTCTCAGTGGTCCCAGTTTGCAGTTTCAGCCTAAAAGCATTATTTGAGGGAGTGATAACACCAGCAAGTGTTTAATTTTACTTTTTTAAATCTTGTGACTTAAAAAGATCTACATGCTTATTTCTCTTCTAGAGTGTTTATGTATGCATGATTGCTACTGATAATTGAACATGTTGGTCTCAGGGAATCTTTTTCCCCGCAAGGGGTAAATAGTTGTGGGATTTGTAGTCTGAACTCTCCAGTAGAAATTATGAACTGTACAAGAGAATTTCAGCCTTGCAGTAAAATGTGCCTACCCACTTTTTGCATGTCTGACCTAAACCAGTCAAATTGGGGATGTACGAATGGGAGTTCTCATGTTCACAAACACCACAGCAGGTATCCAATTCTCACTGCTATCCGATTCTCACCAAATTAACAAGGATGCAATCCCAAAACAATGTTTGTATCAGGGGTGGGCACAGTATGAGGTCCAAAGGGTTGTGTTGCTTGATTTGAATATTTATAATGTACTGTAGTTGTGTCATTGCCATTTTGGCAACTAAAGGGGATATTGTGCCACTTCACCTCTTGAGCAATTCTTTAAGTGCAAGATTGTCTTCTTGTAGCATACAGCATACAGTAGCACTGCAAAGGGATTTTGTTCTGGCATTGGAATATGCTTTTTTGGCAGAAAAGCAACTTTTAAAAAGGTTAAAAATGGGAGGGAAAGAGCCTTTGGGGGTTTGGTTTTGTGCAGCATATGCGCCTCACTCCATCTCCACCACAATTGCAGCTTATTAACCACAGTTACTCTATGGGGGTATGCATTACCTAGATCAGTGGTTGTCAACTTTCCTAATGTCATGACCCTTTAATACAGTTCTTCATATTGTGGTGACCCCCAACCATAACATTATTTTCATTGCTATTTCATAACTTCATCCCTTAGGACTGTCCACACTTTTGTGATGATGTTGTTCTTCAGACTCCAGGCTGTCCCTAAGTTACAAACGACTCCCTGTTGTAAGACAACAGGGAGGGAGAGAAATCTATCCTTCGGAAGGGAAAATCACTCCTGAAAGCGTTATCAAGGGAAAAAGTGTCTCCACTGAAGCTTTATCTCCATTCCTTGTATCCAGGGAGGGAGAGGAAGAAAAAGGAGGAAAGAAAAAAGAAAGGGAAGGGAGAAAGGGGCACAAGAGAGAGAAAAAGGGAAAGAGTGGAAGAAAGATAAAAATCAAGAGAGAAGGAGAGGGGGGAGAGAGAAGGAGAAAATAAAAGGGCAAGAGAGGAAGAAAGAAGGAGAGAGAGAAAAGAAGAAGGGAATGAGAGAGAGAGAAAGAAAGGGGCACATGAGAAAAATGAGAAGGGGAGGGAGAGAGAAAGAAAAAGAGATTATTAGAAAAAAAGGAAAGAGACGTAGAGGGGGAAAGGGAGGGTGACAAATAAAAAGGAAAAAGGACGGATAGAAAGAAAGGGGAGGGAGGAGATCAAGGAGGAAAGAAAAAGAAGAGTAAGAGAATTTTCAATAGAAAAGGGAGGGATAGAGAAGAGGAGACAAGAAGGGTAGGAGAGAAGGGGTAGAAAGAAGGGAACAGAAAGGGGGGAAGGAAGACTGAAAGATAGGAAAGGGATAGAAAAGATAAGGAGAAAGGATGAGAAAGAGGGAGGCAAGAAAAAGGGAAAGGGAGAAGGAAAGAGAAGAAGAAGGGAAGAAGGACGGGAAAAGAAAGGGTTATAAAAAGAATGAGGACGAGAAAGGGAAAGAAAAAAGAGGGAGGAAAGAAGGAGAGGGAAGAAGAGAAAAAAAAGAAAAAGAACAAGAGAGAAGGAGAGGGAAAAAGGGCGAGAAAGAAAAAGAGGGGAAAAAAGGAGAGAAGGAAAGAGGGAGAAAGGGGGGGGGGGCTCCTGCCACGTGCATGCATCTCTGCCTCTGAGTGCCTCCCCATGACTCCTCACCACCCCAACAGAGAAAGGAGGAGCCCCTCTGTGCCGACCTGGAGGAGGAAAGATAGAGAAGGAGGGGTAGCAGCGTAGGCACACGTAGCCAGGTGTTGGCTGGCTGTTTGGTTGGCAGAGGAGGCCCGCCAGCCATTCCAGGGAAGAGGGGCCAAAGGATGATGTGGCGCGACTCCCTATCAAACAGCTGGCCAACCCCCACAAGGGTTGCGATCCCCTGGTTGAAAATTGCTGACCGAGATATTCTGGTGCAAACTTTCAGCTCTGCTTTCATAACTTAGTGGCCTTTAACTTTGAAATTAGAAAGGGAAGCTTCAGAAAATGGAGGTTATATAAGGCATAGATAATGAAATCTCATGCTTCATGCAGTTAGCTCTGATTATATGAGCATGGCAAAAGAATTATTATAAGTGTAGTATTTCCCTTATGGTCACTGTAAATTGGGAATGGCTTGAAGGCAATGATAATAACAAATGTATGGAATATTATTGCTTTGAAACAGTTGTTTCCAAAGTTTAGGCCCCAGTTCCTGCTACAATTCATAATGGCCAATTCTTGTCAGCCCCATTGGAACATATTAGTTGCAACCAACTAGTTCCATTGTTTTCAGTAGTACTTAGTTATGGTTGCTATAGCTGCACTGCAGAGTACAGTGTGAAAATAAATAATACAGCATCCTTATAAAAGCTGAATCAGTTTCTCTGTGGTTAGAATCTATTGTCTGCTTCTGCCAAAGAATGACCAGGATATTAATATAATAGACCAAATTGCTTGATTACTGACATTTGGCCACCTTTTGTGTGATGTGTAGCAGTTTTACACATTTGTTCTGATGCTTAATAAACTGGAAATTGGTTGCTCAGTAACTGAAAGTAGAGTTGCATTTTATACTTTGTGTATGTTGTGCATGTTATTAAAAGGTATGGCTTTGGTTATCTTTTTCCATATTTGGTCCTTCAAAAAATGGGTAGGAACTTTAGATTTCTGAATTATAATGAGATTTAACCTTTGGAAACATGTCCATCTTATGTTCTTAGAGTCATTCCCTGGACTTCAATGTAGAATTCTTTCAGTATTAAAATGTTCTAGCACCTCAATGGTGCGATCAACAGGGTCACTGAACCCATCACATAGAGCTGTGGTGTGTCTGTGACATCTGCCAAAGTGTCCACTAAGTACGCCATAGAAGCCATGTTCTATATGAAATCTGCCGACATTATAAGAATGAATCTGTAGTCTAAGTGAAAAGAAGAGATAAGCTCATCACTCAAACTTTGTGTAATCAGAGATGTATTTGATTGAACGTAGTTTGAGTGACGAGCTTATCATGGATTGACACTGCTTTTTGCCAGCTGTACAATCTTCCCCCTACAAAAACTCAGGGGAAGGTGATTCTTCCTGTTTTCAGAAGAAACGGACAATACAAATTCTGATTGGTTGGTCTCTCTGTCAGTCAAAAAGTTATAAGGTATTAGTGCAAAATACAGCTGATGGTCACAAGAGGCAACTAGTTGCAGTTTCTCTTTCCTCGTTCAGAAATAGAGCCCAAAGCAGTGTTTCAAACTGAGAAAATTGAATGCTAGATTTAAAAAGATAGGGAGTAAATAAAAACTGAACAAAACAAATGTATGGATTTTTTAAAAAAATGAAACATACCTGCAGGATGCAGAGGAACAGCAAAGAAGAAAAAATAGAGCTGGAGACAGCGCCGAGGTGGGGTGTTGGTCACAAAAGGTAAAGAGAAGCAGAGCAGGCTTTAAAGAAAAAAAAAAAGAAATAACTTCAGGGTAGTTATATATCTAGACTATGAATTGTGAAAACTTAAAAGGACTGGTAACGTCTTTTAAAAATGTGAATTGATTGTAGTCTTTCCCTCCCCACTCTTTCTCTGCAGTCTGTTTCCAATGGATTGAGCTCTGTAGATGACATTGAAACAGGTGATTTTTTTTGGTGCTTCTTTGTTGTATAGCTCATATTTTTGTGGTCATTTGAGTAACTTGCTTTCAGGAAGGCTAAGGAGATAACTGCACAATGCCTGGCTATCTATATTGTGAAGGGCCCCTCCAGAAAATTATCGTATCTACTCAAGTATAAGCTGACCTGAATATAAGCCGAGGCACCTGATTTTACCAAAAAAACCTGGGAAAACTTATTGACTTGAGTATAAGCTGAGGATGGGAAATGCAGCAGCTATGGGTCAGTTTCAAAATAAAAATAGATACCAATAAAATTACATTAATTGAGGCATCAGTAGGTTGAATGTTTATTAATATTTACATAAAACTGTAAGATAAGACTTTCCAACTCTGACTAAACCATTATTCTAAGCTTCTTCAGTGTACATGTGTTTACATATCCTTCCAATAATAATAGAGTAAAATAATAAATGCAATATAATAAAAACAATAAAGCTAACCTATAAATGTAATAATAATCATAATCATAATAATAGAGTAAATAATAAATAACCTTGACTCGAGTATAAGCCGAGGGGAGCTTTTTCAGCCTAAAAAAAGGGCGGAAAAACTAGGCTTATACTCGAGTATATACGATACATTTCCTGATACTAATCCTATAGTTGCCCCTATTAAAGCAGAACAATGCAAAATGAAGATCCAAATGTGATGAAATAAATAAATAAATAATCCTTATTTATAACCTGCCCTTTCTCCCCGAGGGGACTCAGGGCAGTTTCCAAATAGAAAATGGCAAATATTCAATGCAATGAGAAAAACAAACCAACCAAATCGAAAGTAGTAAATAAAATGCAACAGTGGAGACAGCTGATTCCCATAAGATACATTGTGTACACATGGTTTAATATTTGGAGATTTTTTTTTATTGTGTCAGAAGCAACTTCGGAAACTGCAAGTTGCTTCTGGTGTGAGAGAATTGGCCGTCTGTAGGTTTAATATTTGGAGAATTTTTTTATTGTGTCAGAAGTGACTTGGGAAACTGCAAGTCGCTTCTGGTGTGAGAGAATTGGCTGTCTGCAGAGACGTCGCCCAAGGGACGCCTGGATATGTTATCATCCTTTGGGAGGCTTCTCTCATGTCCCCACATGGGAAGCTGGAGCTGACAGATGGAGTTCACTCTGTCTCACGGATTCGTAATGCCGACCTCCAGGTCAGCAGGTCAGCCAGCAAAAGGGTTTAACCCATTGCACCACCCTGGCTTCTATATTTGGAGATAAATGTGAGCCATACATGAAGCTAGGAATGTTACTTTAAAAGGTAAGAAAAAACACGCAGCCATCTTTTGAAGAAGAGAAAGATTTTTTTTGTCATTTTCAGTTTTCAAATAAATGGGATAGGATAGTATCTGATACTGCTACTCCACGGCCTCTACCTGTGATCCTAGGTAGTTACTGTTTGAGTAGGCAACCCTGGGCAAGACAGTCTTCTACGCTGATACAAAATAGTTCCAGTACTTTGAAGATTTAGGATCGATTGTGTTTCATTTTTGTCATTTGTCATTTCTGAGATCGAATAACTTGCCTTGTAGATATTTCTGGACAACTTCAGGGCCTGGCTGTCCCCTGTGCCACTTCCATCACTGTGAGTGAGGGCCCTGCCTTTCCATCATCGGACTTGGAGGCAAAGAGCACGCCAACTTTGGTCCCTGCCAGCGCTCTCATCTCTTCTTCGGAGGTGGCACCTGTGCCAGCATCTGAGAATGTGGATGATTTCGCTGAAGGAGGAGTTCTTGGGGATGAATTGGATTCAATCCTGGATTCTCTTGCAGATGGATCTCAACAATACCCTCTAGTAAGAATGGGTTTCCTTGCTCTGTAGCTAGCCATTTTTCTCTGTTCTAGGATCCTTTTATGGCCTCTCCTGGTCTCTCTTCACAAAACAATTCTACATTCAGCCTTCCACATTGACTAGGGTGAGAGACACAGAATCTCTGTGGCCATAGAATTGCCTTGGAGGACCTAGAGATTCCTAGATAACAGTTCCCCTTAGGAAACCTTGAGTCCTTCAGAATGACTGGAGGAAGCTGACTAGAGTGCTGTTGGAGGACCTTAGATAAAACATTTTAATTGAATCCACAAATAATCACATCTGCAGTGTCAAAAGTGCAGATTTAGAGAGACAATTACATACGTTTCTGAATCCCCTTTTTCAAGTTCATGTATTGGAGGGCATCTGCGCTAACGAAAAAGAAGGTTATATTATGTCAGTAGTTCCCAAACTTTTTTGGTCATGGAAGACTTCATAAGACTTCCCCCCCTACAAAACCCTTTCTGTCCCTGATTTTCCCACAAACCCCAAACAATTCTTCCTTTATTCATCTACTCTTACTGTCTGGGTGTTTTGTATAGTGTTGCTTTGGAAATTAAGAGGTTCAAATTTCATTTTTAAAGCAGAGGCACATTGAATTTCAGTAGGATCTTCATACCCTGGCATGGACATTAAAAAGCTTTTTAAAAAGTTTTGAAGATTTTTTTTCACAGATCCCCTATAATGTCTTCGTGGAAGCCTGGGATCCTACAGAACACAGTTTGGGAACCGCTGTACTGTATTATACAGTATACGCTGCAAGTTAGACAACTTTGGCAAAGTGAAATTGGGCTTCCTCTGCTTAAGATCAGTATCTCCAAATCAGTACTTCTGGAGTTGTTTTACTCACAAAAGGACATCTGAGAAATGTTATGTTTCTGTCCATTTTACTTTTAAATGTCCTAGGACAGTTGAACTCACCTGGCTCTGGCTTCCTACCGTCCAGTGTTCAATAAGGTTGCTTTTTAATACTATTCACTCCCAAAATTTTCTGACCTGTGATGTCAGCTTGGAAATCAAGCTGGGAGAAACTCCTAGCAGGATAGTTAATAGCCATACTTTCTTGTTTTCTGAATCTCCACGAAGCTTCTTCTATAACCTACTGTAGCTGACCTATTCCTACTTTGCCTGTTTCACCCATCTAGTTGTGCTGCCTTTGTCCTGGCTCTCCTTGATGCCAGTGCAATAGTGAAATGTACCGAGGGGCCAGATTGGTGTCCCAGAATCTTTGTGAGTCAGTTCCGTCACAGATTGATGTTGCCATTAGGGAAAAATAAAGGTGGTTCTGAACTCTTAACTGTCAAAGTGTTTGACTTGAATTTCTTCCATATTTGATTTCTTTCCCCTAACTATCACATGTTTGATCTTTCCCTGTAAAGTCTCTAGTACAAGGTGCCCTCCCTGCCAGTATGCCTAGTGAAATGCCTCGGCTGATCCCAGTGTTTCCGGGAGGAACTCCGCTGCTCCCTCCGGTGGTAGCAGCCAACATTCCAGTCTCCACGCCACTCCCTCCTGCCTCCTTTGGCCTTATGATGGAAGCCACAAAGCAACTGTCTTCCTCCTCTGTCTTGGATGCCTTCGAACCACCTGTGGGTGGCAGTGGCAGTTCTCCTTTGGATTCATTGGATTCACTAGAACTGCTTCCGTATGCAGAGTCCCGGCTGGATGTGCTGGATGCCTTCGAAACTAGTCGAGGGTCCCTGGATGCACTGGATACTTTTACTGTTGGTAGGCATGGGGCCTAAATGCAGGATCAATTAATGCTATATTATAATGCTGTGCTGTATTATGAGGGCCTCTGTCAGGCATCATCTAGGCCAGTGGTTCTCAACCTGTGGGTCCCCAGGTGTTTTGGCCTACAATTCCCAGAAATCCCAGCCAGTTTACCAGCTGTTAGGATTTCTGGGAATTGAAGGCCAAAACATCTGGGGACCCACAGGTTGATAACAACTGCTGTAGGCTCATGTTATGGAGGAGCTGTCATAGAATAGGAAGGATGAAACTTACAAGTGGCCATATTTTCATGTGACTTCTCTCACTGATCCTTCTGCTTTCCAGATGACATTAGAGATTGTAGCCATATCTTCTGTTAACCCTTAGTAGGTGAGATGTAGGAACTCCTTTAACTGGTGTATACGTAAATAAACATTTTGAACTTTCTGGAGATCACTTAATAATGTTTTCCAAAAAGCCTCCCATAATGAGTTTTCTTTTATCAGCCTTGCCATTGTCATGATTTCCATTTTGTTGAAGTTCTCCACATTTTTAACAAGCTGAGGTGAGCTGGTGAGGCAGGCTTATCTGTACTCCCCTTTTCCATTTGACTTGTTCACACAAGCTCAATAGAAGAACTCCTGTGTATCATGCCTGTTTGTTGCAGGCATTCACATCTGTAATACGACTGGGCTGGAGTGGAATCTTACTCTTCCCCAGCTCAAGCTTTCTTTATTGCATTGCTGCAGGCACACTTCTGCAACATGACACTTGCCGTCTCTCATCATCCTGGAAAATGCCCAATTAGATGAGGAAAAGTGAGAGCTAGGTGGTAATGAAAAAAGGAGCTTTGCTATCGGAGGCTTGGTTAATGGTTGCATGCCTGTAATTTAAAAACAAAGACTGAAGATTCCCATGAGTGTTCTCTTATGCTAGATCTATTGTAATGAATGGAATTTAAAATATTTTCAATTTACAGTGTGTTTTCTTCTTGTTTGAAAATATAGGCTTTGAATGTTAAAAGAAATTGGATCATGGGGATTTCAGAAAATGGAGTACATGTGTGGTAGAGCTCCTAAATATCAGTATTTTACACTGACACATTATTTTAGTTTATCTTGTTTTTTTCCATTTTTTTTAGAGGAAACCAGCACCCAAGAAACACGGCAGCCCACTAATGTAAAGAAAGCACCACCCATGGTGAGTTGTTGGCACTTTTAATTGATAGAATAAAAATAAAATGATCTTTTCTGCTGTGTAGCAATCAGCACTGTGCAAAACTAGAGGTTCCTAAAATTCCCTCTAGCAGCTCCAACAAATTGGCATAATGTGGCACTTTCTCGTAGTTTCCCATTGCAGAGGGATAATAATAATAATAATAATAATAATAATAATAATAAACACTTTATTTATATTCCGCCCTTCTCACCCTGAAGGGGACTCAGGGTGGATCACAGTAGACATACATGGCAAACATTCAATGCCGCTTTGTATAGACAATATACAGACAGAACAGAAAGGAAGTGTGTTGTTTCGCCTTGGTGTCCAGCTGTTTTGGTGTCATGGGAGGTGAGTCTAGCCACAGGGGGTGCTGTCGCTCCATCCTCTATGACGAATAGCCATCAGGACTTCCTCCTTCCTTTTGGTCGCACAGCATTTTCTGATCTTCTTTCTTTATGGCGTCATAAAACACCTCCCCCACCTTTTAGTGGTACCTAATTTCTCCAATTACAGCTAAAGCTGTTTTTGACTGCTTAGGTAAACAGTGAGCAGGGCTCACAGTTGGCGGCTCACACTAACCTGGGGCTTTGAACTTGCAGCCTTTCGGTTGACAGATCTTATAGTTGCTGGTGATTTACCAGCTGTTCTAAACCTCCGGCTCTAACCTATCCTCAGTGTCCTGTACAGGGCAAGGATGAATGAAGGGATGGTAAAGGGACAAGAAAAGAGGTGTCGACTCATCAGCTTTGTGATCTTTCCCCATCCACTATCTGCAGGGTTGAGGAAATGAGACACTTAACATTAAAAAAGATTATTCATTCCTGTGTTAGAGATTGAGCAGCTTCTTGGTTTTATCATTTTGCGCATTTGGGAACTGATGAATCTTCAGAAAAGGGCGCATCCCAATGTTGATGCGTGTTATTTTTCTTGTTCTTTTAGACAAACCATAGTGGGCCAAGTCACACAGTGATACCCAAAGTGGTAGAGTTGCTGATGTCTCAGCCAGAGTCGATGATGCCCAACACAGCCCTACTTGTGAAGAATCCACTGGCATCCACTCACATCTTCAAACAAGCCTGTCATCTCTGCTATCCCAAAACAGGTTATCTGCTAATAACAGAGTTTGTAAAGTTACTTTTTTGGAGTGCAAGTCCCAGAACCCCCCATCCACACAGCCATTTGGCAAAGCAGGGCAGTCTTCAGAACTGTAGTCCATAAAAAGTAACATTTTCAAGTTTTGGCTTATAATGATATAGACCAGATCCTCTTAGCAAAGTTGCGTTCTTCTTAATCTCAGCTTCTACTTGTAGGACCCAAGGCTGGTGATTATACCTATCGAGAAGGCCTGGACCACAAGTGCAAAAAAGATATCCTTTTGGGCAGACGCCGTAACATAGATGATAAAACCTGGAAGAGAATCCGACCACGGCCAACCAAGACCAATTTTGTTGGATCTTATTATCTGTGCAAAGGTGAGTTGAAAGAGGAAAAAGATGAAATAGAGTGACTGTTGTTTCAAAGATGAAAAGCAAAGGGTGCTTTCTATAGTAGGTATGTATATATACAGTAGTAGGCCCACATATTATGTGAGGGATCCTTTCCAGAACCCTTTGTGTAATGCAGTTTTTTGCATATAATCTGGAACGCATATTTTTTCTTACCTGAAATGAATTATGTCTTGGGCTTCTGATCCAAACATAACATAGACTTATGAGGAGGACCTAGCAATGCTTGGGAAATGTTACCTCCAGGCCGACAATGTCATTCTATGCTAAACTTCTGATGGAATTTCTGGTGGAACTTCTGGTAGAAGTTGATCATAGAATCATGCAGGAAATGTAGAGGGAACCCTTCCCTGGGCATTGCTAGATCTTTCTCTATAATTCTATGATATCAAAAGCTCTTTGTGCATTATTAAAACCACTTTAAATGAACTAGTTTAATAAGCAGGCCTACTGTATGGGACTTTAGCATGCTGACTAGTTATATTTAGACTTTTGGGCCATCTAATCCAGTTTTTGTCAATTGTCACTTATAGCAGTTCTCCAGGATTTTTTCCTAGATCTACTTGGAAGTCCTTGGTGTGCTCTTGTTGTCTTCTTCCTAAGGGCCCAACCCTTCTTAGCTTCCTAGCTTCCAAGATCACATGAAATCAGGTTTATTTGGGACGGTATGGTGGCATTCCCCATGCTTTACTCATATTCCCAGACTAAATTTCAAATCATAACAATGCAAGTTAAAAACATACAAAAATATTCAAAGCAATGAGACATTCCCCTCCAAGATGAAACAGCCCAATTAAACTAAAACCTCTTGGCAAATGAAAGAGTTATTTCACTGGTAAATAAGTGACATCAGAATAGGTGTCAGGCAGAAACACCTGGGAAGAATATTCAACTATTGGGCTCTGCCACTAAGCAGGCCTGATAATCTCATATAATTCCTTGAAGTAATGGGGAGACCTGGAGAAAGCCTTCCAATGAAGAGCCTTGTCTGAGAATAGGCACATATTGAGAAAGACAAGCCTTCATTTTCTAGCTAACATCAGGGTACAAATTAAGGCAGAGAACCCCACAACACTGTAGAATTGCCGCTGTTGTACTCACCTAGTTGTTTTAAAATTTTACTCCAGTGATCCATGACTCATTTTGAAAATATTCAGATATATTTTTAAGGTTTTTTTCCCCCAGTTATCTTCCCCTGTGTGTTTGGCAGCTGAATGAGTGTCAGGTACAATGTAGTTGAGTTAGGTTAGATTGAAGAATGTACATCTTAAAATGTCTCAGATGTGTCTATTTAGAAATTCTGAAAACAATTTGCTCAGAGAGAGATGATATTATTTGGGTAGACTAGAACTATTTGGGAAATCAGAGTTTGATTTGTACATATTTGTAATTATTAAATCATTTTGACTGATGATGGGAAATGAATAAGTCTTTGCATACCAATGTACTAATACGGTGTGTTTCAAAAAGATGGACCCATATTTTTTTTAAAAAAAAAGATGGACCCAGTATATAAAAAAAAGATGGACCCAGTATATAAAAAAAAGATGGACTCAGTTTGAAATCACTATATCTCTGCAACCATGAACTGCCTATGAATGAAACCCTATTTAAAGGGTGGCACATAGAGTTTCAAATGATTACCGCTAGATGCCATTCCCAGCGCACAAACAGCCCGTAGCCTCAGTCATTGATCCATCAGTGCCAGAGAGCATTCTGTGCTGGTACTGACAATTTGAGAAAACAGGCTTTTATGTAAGCGGGAAAGCATAGCATGACCACCTCTTCAGAAGAAACTTTGAAAACTCATTAAATCATCTATAACTTTTTGTATAATTGTAACATGTCACCATTGTGAAACATACTGCTTTGAAATTGGGTCCATCATTTTGAAACCTTGTGCTTTCTGCAGTGATACTGACCGTGTGTTCACATTTGCCAGTTTCACGTTCTGTTGTGGTAACTTCACCATGTTGTTATACTTAAACACACATTCTTCCATTGTAGATGTAAATATATTGAAGTAAATACTTGATTTGGAAAAAAAGTGTCATGTGGAACATTAAATGTCAACAAGATTTTTTTTTACTTCAGTTCTTGTGGACAGCAGCCAGCTTCATTAGTATGCCCTTCATATATGAGAAACATTGTGAATATTTCATTGTAATGTAATAGATAGTATATATGAAGGAGATTCCTTAGCACTCAAACCAGGTTCATCTAACTGATCAGATGCAATTAATTACTTTCCAAACTAGCACCTACTGTAGTCATCCTTTAACTATGGTGCCAGTAATCTTTCCAGAAATAATTATTTTGGGCATAACATTTGACCACTGCTAAAATGCAGTCCCTACTGTTAAAGGAATGGGATTGCTTTATCAGTATTACTTTTGGCTGAGTCAGTCCACCAAACTCTCTGGTGGATTCAATGATTGTAGTACTGGAAGTTTTTGTGCTGTGTGTTTCTACATCAAGCTTTTCTACTTGTCCCTCAGAGCCAAGCATATATACTTGTTTTGAAATGTGAAACAGAAAATCTAGCAACTTTCCTCCCTCCTAGGAGAAAAATACAACAATATAATATTAAAAAATCACTAAAATTTACTTCCTTTTGGTGACACTCAAAATTAACCATAACTCTATCTAATGGCAGGGTACTAGGTCTAGTTTTGCATAGACAACAAAGTCTGAATAAATCAATCTCCAAGAAAGATGATGAAGGCCATGTTACAATCATAAAGCATTACACTGGGTAGGCAACTATCAGAGACTGGGAACTTGCATTGCCCATGAAGCAATCTCTCAATAAACATTAATAGCAAAAGAGTGGGGGGATCATGAAGCAATGCACCCCCTCCTTCATGTTCCTACCATATCTCCTTTCCAGGCCATTTTAGGGTCAGGAGAGGCACTTTGTTCAACTGCATTAAACTAATGTGTGGCATTGTGAACTTTTGTGTTTCTTTCTAAATGTTTACAAAGCAAATGGGGTTGTGGGGAGAAAAGGAAGCAGAATGAGAGTAGCAAGAAAGCTTGGTTCTGATCCCAGCCTCCACTCCGTGTGTGGTGGTGTGATGTTTGTTGCTTTGTAGATATGCTTAACAAGCAGGACTGTAAGTACGGGGATAACTGCACCTTCGCGTACCACCAGGAGGAGATCGACGTGTGGACAGAGGAGCGGAAGGGAACCCTTAATCGTGACCTACTGTTTGACCCACTGGGTGGGGTCAAGCGGGGCAGCCTGACCATTGCCAAGATTTTGAAGGAACACCAGGGCATATTCACTTTCCTCTGTGAGGTACGGAGTAGAAGGTCCAAAGGCTGCCATTCCACTGTTTTGTTTTCCTTGGTTTGTTCTAACTGCATGCTGGAACATTGCCCAATTTCACGACGTATACCAGACCATGCTGGTTTTATATCCATTTCTGTTGCTGCAAAACATCAAAAACTCAACTTATGTTTGTCTTCTGTCTTGCATACACACACAAACACACAAATGGTCTTTGGGCCCCTCTCTGTCTTTGATTGCAATTCAGGTTCCCCTTTAAAATTGATAATAACACTTCTCCAGAATCTGCCTGATCATTCAATACACACTTTCATGGGTAGCCCTAATTCAGCCTCCAGAAGTTTCAAGTTGAGAAATATAGAACAAAAAGTGCACTGTCTTTCCCTTGGACAGTGGTGCACAATTAGGATAAGCATCTTGTTTTTGATATGCAGAGAGCTGTTGTTTTCTCATAGATAGAACATTTAGTTCCAACAGATTGAGCTCCTTGACCTGTTGTGTGGTCTTGTGTAAGCTGTAGCTTCCTAGCTTCAGTGCCTCACCTCTTGTTGTAAATTGCATCCACAGGGCAATTGTGAGGATGATGTATTGACCTGCAGAGAAAGTTGCAATGTATTGATAGTGCTATAGAAATTACTGTCTTTGAATTGGCGTTTAGATCAGCATAAGAGCCTGAACTTCATTTCTGTATGTGTGCTTACAGATTTGCTTTGACAGCAAACCCCGGATAATCAGCAAAGGGACCAAGGACTCTCCAGCAGTATGCTCCAATTTAGCTGCACAACATAGCTTTTATGATAATAAGTAAGTGGGTTGGATTTGTTTTCAGCTAGTAATGTGTATCTGTTTTGTTAAAACTAGAGTAAGTTACGGATTATTCTTTTTCCTCTTAATCTGTACTATGGAAATAATATTGGCGTAAATCCAGATTCACGCACGTCCTTTTGGCAGTGTGTTCAGCTTTTTAAACAGACAGCTTTGTGATCATTATTCCATGTGTGAAACAGTTGTTTCATAGTTGTAATTCCAGCAGCTTGTTTGAAAGAGCATTCACAGTGTTGTTGCAAACAAATGTTTAACCGAAGTGAGTGCAGATTCTTAGATATCTATATTTATCTATATTGTTGCCAATTCTTAACCTCTCTGAGTCCCTCTACGATGGAAAGAGGGCAAGATATAAAACAAAGTAAATAAAATAAAATAAAATATTTATTTTGTTAAAAGAGATAGTTATCTCACCCTTCAGGGCTCACGGCTCTCATGTGCTTGTTTACATGCCTCAAAAATGTATACAAGTATTATTATAATTTTATGTTTAAATTCAGAACTTTTTAAAGGTCCATTTTATTTTTCAAATGCAGCAGTACTTAGTGAATATCCAGCAGTGATGAAAGAAAGCCTCTAGCTCTTAAAGTAGATTCAGAAGTGTGGGACCACCATTGAGAAAACCCAACAACCAATTTGTTCTTGCTGTTGGGCAAGAGAGCAGGGACTTGGACGTTCTTCTTGTCAAATCTAGTGATCTCATACAGACTTAGGCCATCCTTCAGAAAAATTAGTCCTAAGCAGTTTGAACTCGGTGGATCCGTGAGAACATTGCTTGTGTACATTCTCTTGGTTCAGTGAGTTTACAGGCCAAACTACCACCTTGAACTGTATTTTAAAACTATCACGGTTGCCAGAGCAGAATGGGGATGATGTGATTTGAGCATGTGATCCTCTCATGGGTGCTAGTTTTCTTGCTTTGCACCAGTTTTCCCCGTTGCTATTTATTTACTTCCTTACAGCATTATTTATCTGTTTGGACTGATTACAGTAACTGCCTGTTTGTTTCTAGGCCCAATTCTGATTGCTAGCTTTGGCCTTTAGAACTTTGAATAGTTTGATATCAGTTTACCTGAAGGATTCCCTACAACCTTATGAGTCTGAGCTATGATCCTTTTCCAGTAGTTAGGTTGAATGGCACTGGTGGGAACTGGTGTCTGACAACTTCTGGCCACAAGTTCTTGGGATCTTCTGTGTTGTTATGAGTGAATATTCCAATCCTTTGCAGGTGTCTGGTTCACATTGTTCGTTCCACCTCTCTAAAATATTCCAAGATTCGTCAGTTCCAGGAGCATTTCCAGTTTGATGTGTGCCGACATGAAGTACGTTATGGCTGTTTGCGTGAAGATAGCTGCCACTTTGCTCACAGCTTCATAGAGCTTAAAATTTGGTTGCTACAACAATATTCAGGTGAGTCTTTAGCTCAGCTTGGCTTAATTAGTGGACAGGAGTGATAAGAGACTATGGCACTACACAGAGACTGGAAGACTTCTCTCGTCATAGTCTTTACCTTTACTATTAAATATTATTTTACCTTTGAACTAGTTTTTTCATCTCTCACCCACACCAGTAAAAACTTTCTTACCTTTTCAGTGTAGTTCTGTTTTGCAAAGTCAATCTGAAAGTGTATTAATGGTCAATATGAAAAGATAGTAGACTTGAAGATTAGTCCCTGTATGAGAAGAAGTTATATCTCAAAATATCTGGGTTTTTTTGTTGTTTGACTTGACTGAGTGATGAAATATACCTAATGGTTCAATAAATATTTTCCATATTGAAGTATGGAAAAGGAAATATTTTGTGCAACCATATTTTAAAGTATGTTCTCTCCATATTCTGAGTTGCATCTGGCAACCAATCTTAAAAATCTTAAAAACTTTTCAACGTGTCTTCTGTAATCTCCAGGAATGACCCATGAAGATATTGTACAAGAATCTAAGAAGTATTGGCAGCAGATGGAGGCACACACCAACAAGGCTAGTAGCAATATGGTAAGGAGCTTCAAAGTGGCAATGCTAAAACACATTACTTTTATGAAGGAAAAATATACAGGGTTCCCGCTGTACCCTCTCTGGATTTTGATTTTCAGTGTATCCCATATTGGCGATTTTGTGTTTTTAACAGACAGGTGCATAGTTTTGTTTGTATAGATTTGCAGCCATAATTTGACACCATTCTACTCAACACTACATGACTTAGAAGATGCTTATAAATAAGAGTGCATTATGTATGGAAGGACTGGGAGCAAAATTTGATTCTGGCACTTAAAACAAATTTGTTTATATGGCTACATATTTCACACATGGCTTCATTTGATGAACTTTGGAAATCTACTAAAATAATATTCTATATCTGTTTATTCTTTGAAGCCTGGAATCTTTTCCTGTGTTGAGAACTTTGTAAAAGTAAGAATAAGCCATATGTGCTATGTCTAACAATGTTTAAGTCCTTCTCTACACTGACCACCTAATGCCATTTCAAACTGATATTGGAGAAAGTGTTTCCACTGTACAGATGATTACATAGGATATTCTGGAACCAGTTCGAGGTCCAGATGATAAATACACAAACCACAGAGTTCTAATGTGCATTAAAGCCTTTTTTTTGCCCACTTCCAAGGGAGTTTGTTGTCTAGCTCCCACAGCTTGAAGCTAGCTTCATACTGAACTAAATGGTCAGTGGAGATGGGGCTTTAGTAAAGGGTTAAGTGCCATGGGACATAGTGGCAAAATATGAGTAGAATTGCACAAAGCACTATACAAAGTCCTAAAATAGTATCATTTTGGCCTTGAGGTAATTTCCAAGAAAGAAAGGAGGAGGATGTTTATGGGCAACGAATACAGATAATTCTTTGTACTGCAGCAGAGATCATGAGGTGCAGGGAAGTATCTTGGGACATGGTTTTTCCGTGGTAGATTACACGTTCTCCCATCAACTGCCAGTGATATCTTCCACTTTACACATAGCATATTGATTATGACTACCTTTCATCCCTTCCTTCTCCTCTCCAGATCTGCTACTTCTTGTTGATCAGGATACCTCATAATTAAGTTTAAAACACAGAGATGCAACATTCTTAATATGTCTGATGTTTTTTTTAAAAAAAAAAATCACAAAATATGTCAAGAGAATCAAACAGGACAAAAACACACCAAGGGATGAAAATATAGAGACCACAGATCTTTGAAAATAGATAAATCATTGTGGAGTGGGATAGTACATCTTCATCTATTTGATGTGGAGGACCTGACTCACTCCTCCCTGCTCCAGTGTGCCCATTTCATGTGGCTTTCTTTCTTTCTTAAACTCACTGCCGAATGGGACTGGCCCACACCATACTCCATCACTTTGAGTAGATCAGTGGTTCCCAATCTTTGGGCCTCCAGATTTTTTTGATTTCAGCTCCCAGAAATCCCAGCCATGGTTTGTTGTAGGTTTTTCAGGCTGTATGGCCATGTTTTAGAAGCATTCTCTCCTAACATTTTGCCTGCATCTATGGCAGGCATCCTCAGAGGTTGTGAGATCTGCTGGAAACTAGCCAAGTGGATTTTATTTATCGGTGGAATGTCCAGGGTGAGAGAAGAAACTCTTGTTTGTTTGAAGCAAGTGCGAATGTTGCAATTGGCTTGCTTGATTAGCATTGAATAGCCTTGCAGCTTCAAAGTTTGCTTCTTCCTGGCTGGGAGAATCCTTCGTTGGAAGGTGGCTTGTTCTTGGTCTTGCAGCTCTTCAAAGCCAGGCTTCTTTCTTCCAATCTGGACATTCCACAGATATATAAACCTCCCTTGCCTAGTTTCTAACAGACCTCACAACCTCTGAGGATGACTGCCATAGATGCAGGCAAAACGTCAGGAGAGAATGCTTCTAGAACATAGCCTACAGCCCGAAAAACTTACAACCCAGTGATTCCGCCCATGAAAGCCTTTGACAATACAAATCCCAGCCATCTTACCAGCTGTTTGGATTTGTGGGAGTTGAAGTCCAAAACACCTGGAGACCAAAGGTTGGGAACCACTGAAGTAGTCCAAGAGTAGAGGATATGCCAATTCTTGGAAGACTAGCTGGTAAGGGAAGGATACTCTTGATTCATAGGTTATTCTACAAATCCAGATTGTATTTTTTCAGTAACCGCTAGATCTGTTGTTGTTATCCTGGTTGGTAGCTTTCTTCTTACAGCACTTTCTGGAATAAAAAAAAAATCTCCCACTAGGTGTCTCTCATTCCTTCCATCAGCCATTCACCCCCCATCCCGCAAGAGGGCATGTTATGGCATGCCCCATGCATATTATATTGGCTTGTTGCAACTATAACAATCACAGGGCAGATATGCAAAGTATGCAGCTGTGAGGCAGGGTTTTTGCTATTTGTTTTTGCAGCTGCATCCTTTTGCTTTTCAGGGAAGAAGAAGCTCAATGTAGTAGAGATAAGATGAGGCCACAGTTGGGGAAAAGTGAGGACAGGAAAGGGAATAGAAAATGATCTAACTAACCCAGATAGATTCATCATAGCCTTAGGACCTCATCACACTAGAGGAGTCTTTCTCAGCCTTCCTAATGCCTTAATACAGTTCCTCATGTTGTGGTGACCCCCAACCATAAAATTATCTTTGTTGCTACTTTGTAACTGTAATTTATGGTTCATAATTACTGTTGTGAACCATAATGTAAATATCTGATATGCAGGATGTATTTTCATTCACTGGACCAAATTTGGCACAAATACCTGATACACCCAAATTTGAATACTGGTGGGGTTGGGAGGTATTGATTTTGTCATTTGGGAGTTGTAGTTGCTGGGATTTACAGTTAACAATCAAAGAGCAGTCTGAATACCAACAATGGAACTGAACCAAACTTGGCACACAGAACTCCCATGACCACAGAAAGCACTGGAAGGGTTTGGTGAGCAATCACTTTGAGTTTGGGAGTTGTAGTTCACCTACATTCAGAGAGCACTGTGGACTCAAACAATGATGGATCTGGTCCAACCTTGCCACAAATACTCAGTATGCCCAAATGTGAACACTGGTGGAGCTTGGGGAGAATAGACCTTGATATTTGGGAGACGTAGTTTTTGGGATTTATAGGTCACCTACAATCAAAGAGCATTCTGAACCCCACTAAGGATGTAATTGGGCCAGACTTCCCACACAGAACCTTCATGACCAACAGAAAATACTGTGTTTTCTTATGGTCTTTGGCACCCCCGCTGACATCCTCTGGTGACCCCTCAGGGGTCCTAACCCCCAGGTTGAGAAACAATGCACTAGAGCATCTATCCACTTTAAATCTTGTTGCTGCTTCCTGCAGAATTCTGGGGTTTGTGGTTTAGGAAAGAACCTTAAACTAATTCTCAAAGAGCTAACAACTCTCCCTTTCAGGTTCAGGGAGGACTGTGCCTGTTGAAACAGACAACAGAAAGTTTTTTTTGACCTTTGTACAATCTAAGCAGATTGATCTGTTTTTGCTCTTGGTTTTGTGAAATCTAAGCAGGTTAACCTGGCATAATGGGGTGCTTTCATCTTAAGTAAGCTGTTGTGGAGAACGGTAAAGGAACTTAGACCAAATTGTGGAGAGAGAGAGAGAGATTGCTGTGTCAGTTCACTTCAAGGGAACAGGTTCTGTCTCCAAGTATCCCTGGACTCTGGTCCCTCCTTAAATCCCTACTCAGGTGCCTAGGTTCTATGAAAACAATGAAATACAACTGCACAGCCCCCTTGTTTCCTTCACAGCTTACAAAACCATCATTCATTTGTTATCACCAGAACTGCCTTATACTAATTTCATAATGCCTGAATGAATGCATTTGTTTTCAGATCTTCCTGAAGCATTAGCCAACTTTCCTCCAAGGGCCTGAGCTGCTGCTTTTTGCAAATATGTGTAAATAATTGTGAGCAGCTGGAGGAGGACTGGCCAAGTCTGCTGTTGTTTACTAAGGCAGAAACAGAAAAACAATTTATGTATAACTACTACATTTGATCCATTTCACCTGTTTTGAAAGTTACTTAACAGAGCTTGGAAAAGTTACTTTTTTGGAAGGCAGATCCTGAAATTCCTTTAGCCCAACATTTCTGTGCTGTTGGTGGGTGCTAGGAGCTCTATTTCCCCAGAAATAACTTTCTCCATTTGTAGCTACAGTATATTCTGGCGTATAAGACTACTTTTTAACCCAAGAAAATCTTCTCAAAAGTCAGGGGTCGTCTTATATGCGGGTGTAGTCTTATGCATGGGAGTCATCTTAACTCTATATTTTAACTGGAAAGGTTGGGGGTCGTCTTATACGCCCAATCGTCTTATATGCCGGAATATACGGTACTTATTCAAAGTCATACCATTGGCCTATCTAGCTTGGTGATGCCAGTAGCAGTAGCTTTTCATTATAGGTCATATTTGTGTGCTGGGTCACTGAGCTGGCAGCCCTTCCCTTTTCTGCTTGAAGTGTGCCTGCTGTTTATGTGATAAATTCAAGCATTACAAACTGTAAAAGCAGGCATTGTTTTGCCAAACCATTCAAATATGTGGTTGCTGTGATTTAGCTTCTAGTTTTATGTGATAATGTTGGCCTCTAGACAATGGTTGTTGCTGTTACCTGGAGCCTGTGGACCTCAACTGGGCAACTGAATGCTTAAAGACCTCTGATTGTGGTGTATCATTGGCTGATTTCTGATCTATCTAGTCAGGTATTTATCTTGTCTTTACAAATACAGTCATGTATAGACTTAATCCCTTCCCATTCTGGCAGTTTGGATTTACCTGGCAAGCTTGTATATGCAAGGTCTTTGGATTGCTGAATTCAGAAAACCTGTTTGGTTTATGTGTCCTTCATCCTCTTGGAAGAAGCACTTGTGGTTACCAGTGTTAGCTTTAATAGGTTTTTCAAGGCCTTGCCTGGTGGGATCTTTTAAATACCTGTACTTACACCCTAAATTAAGAGGGAAACCACAGGCCCCGAAGCTGAATCTAACAACCTTGTGATCCCAGTCTGTCCCTTTAGACTTTCTAAGATTGTCACACTTCCTTCCTCTCCCATTGCTTTATGCCAGTGGTTCTCAACCTGTGGGTCCCCAGATGTTTGGGCCTTCAACTCCCAAAAACCCTAACAGCTGGTAAACTGGCTGGGATTCTTGGAGTTGTAAGCCAAAACACCCAGGGACCCATAGTTTGAGAACCTCTGCTTTATACTAACCAATAAATTATATGGATTGGAGCACCCGGTGGTGCAGTAGGTTAAAGCGTTGAGCTGCTGAACTTGCTGACCGAAAGATCACAGATTCAAATCCAGGGAGCGGGGTGAGCTCCTGCTGTTAACCCCAGCTTCTGCCAACCTAGCAGTTCGAAAACCTGTAAATGTGAGTAGATCAATAGGTACCACTGAGGTGAAGTGTGAATTTTAACCTACAGTCATGTATAATTATAAGTAGGTGTTAAAAAGGGGAAGTATTTAAAATAGCATAACTGGGGGGATGTTAGCTACCTCAGCTCACTCTGAAATGGGTTGCCGTGGTAAAAGGGGAGGAGCCAACTGCCACTTGGCAAGAGCAGGCATTTTAAATAGGCAGTCTGTGGTCAGAGAACCGCAGGGAAGGCTGGTTCTACTGTGTTGAGAATCAGGAAGGTTCAAGCTTTTAGCCTGCGTGGTTTAGATAGGCCAAGTTGACTTATTTAGATTAGAAGTTAAAGTTTGAGTGGGGGAAAAGGAAGAAAACCCCAGTAAGAATCTTTACTGTTAACAGAGATAACAGAGGTAAAGAACAGGCTAGTACTTGGAGTGATCGGTTAAGGAAAGAAACACATTTTGAAGGAAATAAGTTTAAAACCTGTCTAGCGGAAAGAACAGTCCTCTTAAGAGTTGTTTTATGAGAGATTATAAATGTAACCACTAAAGGAATGTATCTCTAGGAGTTAAGAAACATTGAAACCATTAAGCTTCCATACCTCAATAAACTTATTACAGTTTCTCTTAAATCCAAACCTCTGCTTCGTATACGTTCGAGTCAAGCCGCTCTACACATCAAAGGAAGATAAACAAAATATTACAGGCTAGTGGCTGTGTTGTCGAATTTGTAGATTCATTACAAATTGTAGGAGACTCTGACAAAGCAGTAACATCCCTACAACTGGTGGCGTCGTTACACCACTCTGGCACTTCATGAAGTCATAGTGGCCACATGACATTGGAGGTGTCTACGGACAACGCTGGCTCTTTGGCTTAGGAATAGAGATGAACACCAACCCACAGACACGACTGGACTTAATGTCAGGGGAAAACCTTTACCTTTAACATTCTACAACACAGAAATGATGCTTACGAAAAGGCAGTAGCTAGGCAAGTGGTGACCCAGTACAAAATATCTTGTTTGCTTTTTCCCCTTATTAGGGCTGTACATTCTAATTGATCTCATTAGAGATTCTAAGATGATACAAGGTTGCAGTTGACATTGAAGGTTCACAAGAGAGTGTAGAAGAATAGATCATTAAAGAGCAGCATTCTGCGAGGGTTGCAGGCAGAAGTAGGAATGGCCAGTGTTACTCAGCCTGTCCCAGATGCCTGCTACTTGTGTATTTTGATTTTAATTTTATTTGAAAGTTACCATGACCTTTGTTTATAAAGAATGCTGAGATATTTTAAATATTGCTCTCAAAGGACTGAGGACTGAAATTCATTACTTCAATCACCATTCCTCTTCCTATAAAAGTATCAAAGATTGCCGTAGCAAACGGAGCCTCCCTTTTACATTTTCCCTTCCTTTCATCACCTGTTTTGCCATCATTAGTGCACCTAAACATATTAGACAAGTGCTACTCAAAGTGATAGTCCCTGACAAGTTTCAAGGAAAGAAAAAAATTCAATCGTATCCAGTAGACACTAATACAGTGTCCATTGTGGGGGAAAATAACTCTCCCCGCATAATGTATTCCATTTCCTACTGCTATTTTTCTTTCACAAATTCAAAATTGACACAAATTCTCCTGCATTTAATCAGCTGTGCTTTGCTCATGCTGTTATTCATCTAAAACAGTGTAAGTAATGTTTCTTACTCTGGGAAAGGATTCATGTGTTATGGTGATGTGCCTTCAAGACACTTCAAATTTATGATAACCCTAAGACAGTGGTTCCCACCCTTTTTTTTTTTTTTACCAGAGACCACTTCACCACTCTTCAACATTAGTACCAAAAGGGTTACAAATCAGTTTTTGGTCAAGTTGAGATTCGGTTTGGTTATTTGGGGTGCTGATACAGAAAATTGCATTGGATAGACCACATCAGCTCTAGTTTCTGATGCAGAACATATGCCATCCAGTAGTCGCCATCTGCTCGCCCGCAGAAAACCATATTTAATAATCTGGAGCTGATGTGGTAGTAGTAATCTTTTGTAGGTAGTTAGCCTCTCCCCTCCTGACATGCCCGTCACGTCGGCACTATAAGAGGGTTTTGCAAGACCAGTTGCTCTCGTTGCCACGTGGTTTCAGGGCAACAATGTAGTAATGGTGAGGCTGCAGACCATATTTCCGTCCTTGTGGACCACTGGTGGTCCATGGACCACAGATTGGGAACCACTGCCATGAGAAAAGACAATTATGGGAATTTCTGATAAGACTTGAGGAGTTTCTGATGCTGAGCTGGAATTTGAACCATGGCCTCCAGAGTTGTAGTCCAACCCACAAACCACTTCACCATCCTGACTGACTCTCTGATGTTTTATACATACATTTATTTCACTTTATTTAATGTATTTGCTTATTGCTTCCCAAATCACCAGTGACCCTAAGGTGATGCATTGTAGGTTAAAAGATTCTAGAATGTTAAGGACTAAAGACCAAATAAAATATTCAAGGTTTCTCTTTTAAAATGATTCAACACTGGAAAACACTGGAAAAACTTTAGTGATAACAATTGTAAATTCAGACACAGAATTTGAATTGTTTTTATTGTGAGTTCTGTGTGGTGGCATTTCAACCTGTCTTTTCCTTCACATCCCACATTAGTAGAAAATAGAAGTAGATGCTTTATTAGTTCTTAAGGAGCGTTTAGCAGTGTGTGTGTACATGTAGGTGTGTATTGATCCTTTATGTACGATTGATTTCAGCTTTTCAACATGGAGGTGGTAGCTGCGAGGAGGAAAAATACTGTATATTAAAATTTGCAGCAACTATTGTATGTTTATGTAGCACTGTATATTTCATCATCCTGTCTTGCTTATCTGACCTTCTGACTTTTTTCATTATTAGAATGCAGTCTCCTTGGTCAACTTTGTTCCTCTGTCTTTCATAATTCCAGGCTTCTTCTAGGAGTTCCACCTCAAACACTTTTGACCTCCAAATGAAGTTTGTTTGTGGCCAGTGTTGGAGAAATGGGCAAGTGGTAGAACCAGATAAAGACCTCAAATACTGTAGTGCCAAAGCACGTCACTGGTAAGTACTCTTGCATATTCTCCCATTCTCCCTTAACACCATGTATAATTTTCTCCTACCATATCTTTCTGTTGAATTAACTACTAGGAATCCCTTGTTTTTTGTTTGCTTGTTTGTTTTGGGGTGGTTTTTTTTGTTTGTTTTTGGTGTACTGTAGAAATATCTCTGGGTTTTTAACTGAGTTTTTCCATCTTGTAACACAGTTGGACCAAGGAACGCCGTGTCTTGCTAGTAATGTCCAAGGCAAAGAGAAAGTGGGTGTCTGTCCGGCCACTGCCTTCCATTCGCAATTTCCCTCAGCAATATGATGTGAGTAGTCTGTTGCTTTTTCAGATGCTACCTGTCTTTCTTTTCATGATGAAGCTCTGGACAACTAGGGCATTAGGAGGCACTCCGCAGAGGAGGATAATTTTGGAAAATTGCATTTATAATCTTTTGGAAAACACCTTTGGAGATCATAACTTTTTAGAAAAGCATGACCTTTCACAGAAAAGCCAAAAATCCTTTCGAGTAGAATCTTCTCTTATGGTATACAACCAGATATAGTTATGCTAGGGATTGGTTTCAGTTGTTAGACTGAATAACTTGTTATCTCTGATCTGATAGGAAAACATAGATTTTGCCAGTGCAAAGAAAACAGCAATGCTTCAGTCATGTTATCCAGTGCCCTATACACACACACACATACAATCTCACATAAAACAACTTTTTTATCATGCACTCGAGACAAAAACAAAGCAGACTTTGATAAAAAATAACATATTTGGTTTATTCACAACCTTCATGTGTTCTGTATACACAGATACAAAACTTATCAGTCCAGTTTCAGATATATTTGAGATAATTCTCTGTGCCATCCAGCCAGAACATCTCTTACAGCAAAACAGCAAACAAGTGTGTGATCTGAGGTCTGAAGTAGTCTGCAGTCTGTATGTCATCTTAAGTGATCATGTGGCCTGCAGCCCCTTTTATAACTTCTCATGAACCATAGAGTAAAGAAACCTGCATACTAGAACATACATACAGGAAACAGTAAGCAACAGGATCATAGATAAACATTACTAGAGAAGGCTTGAAGAAGATTGCCATTTCCAGCAGATTATAGCAAACAAGGTCTGGTTGAAGGCCACAACTAGTTGGTTGCAAAGTACTGAAATAAAAGTGAAATCACTCATGCCTGATGTGGTCTTTGATTTATATCCTTATCTCATAAAAGATTGGTTGGGTCTAGAATTGGGAATCAGATGTAACATTTTGTCTTGAATTGCTTGTTTTACACATAGGCAAAAAGTAGAGAAATGTGTGTAAAAGCAGCTTGCAATAATTTTGGATTTGTTTACTACCAGAAAAAATGCATTGTCAATTTCTAAGGCATGAAAATTTGGCTTCAAGTGTATATTTTAAACAGATGTTGCAGAGGAGCATGTGTTAATATGCCCTCCAGACTTCTTCCTTTAAAGGGAAGTCAGTTTCCTCCATATAAGAAACATACAATACTTCAACATCTGTTAAAAGACAGGAATTCTGTTACGAAAAGGTATGTTGCCCACTGATCTGCACTTGATTTTAGCAGTGGAAGCAGTGAGGTGGGGACTTTACCAGCATTTCTGTTGATTGCTAACAAGGTGGTCCTTGTTCTTTTTCCTGAAAAAAAGAAAAAATTAAATCTGTTTCTAATCTGAATGTCTGACTGTTTCCTTCTTGAAAGCATGTGAAATCTATGACTAATAACACTATGTAACAAAATTTGAAAAAAAATGTTCCTGGTTTGAAAGTGTTATTTCCTGTTTAATTGTGCGGTACTTACTTTGAAAATAGTTGTTATGCTCTAGAAACTTTATTTTTGTGGCTGTCACAAACTATGTTGAATTAGTTGAGACTCTGTGAGATATTAATTGAAAAACTATAGAAAAATGTGTTGCAGGATGTTCCGCAAAAGCAACGTTTTTGCAGTTTTAATAAACTTTCTCCATGTTATTGTTATAGAACTAATTAGGAAGTGACATTTATAATCCAGAAATAGAAATTGAGTTGTGTAGTGTAATTAAAGGAAAGAGAAATTATGAATGGTTGCTTTGAATTGTATTTTGTTGTTACACATCTTGTGAATGGGCATGGGTGGTCATTCTCTAGTCCTAAGGTGAGGTCTTTTCAGAACTGAAGAAAATGAAGAATATTTTTAATCCCCAAATCCTAGAATGTAAGCAGGGAGGAAGGAAATGAAAAGTGACAACACCGAATCTTGGGGAAAGTATGTCCTCTCCAATTCCTTTCCTCTATTTCAGTATTTGTGATCAGGTTTACAGTCTAGAAGTTTCTCAAAATAGCTTAAGGCCTTGATGATAAAACCAAAAACACTGAAACAGAATGAGATGCATAAGACAGCAAACAGCATATCTGGCAAATAAAAGAGTTAAAACTCAATAAATCAGTAAGACTTAAGAAAATCAAAATGGTTTCACTGGGAACCAAAAAGATGTCCCAACTTGATCTCAGGCATACCTCCTTGGCCAGAGAATCTCAAAGCCACAATGCTGCCATCGAAAAGGCCCTGTTTCCATTCTTTGCTCATCTCATTTTAAATGGCAGTGGGACCTGAAAAAGGCCACCTAGCGATCATAATTCATAACTAGCTCATGTAGCAGAATCAAACCTTGCTCTTGAATGAAAGAGAGTATCTGGGTTGCAATAATTTGTAAGGTTGTAGATTCCAAGCTATTTAGGATCTCACAGCTAAATTGTACTTAGAAACGGCCCAAAGTTTTCTCTGCTGTTTTAAATTTGATGAAATATGTTCCCTTCATCCATTGACAGACAACCAGCAGTATCTGAGCAGTCATCAAAGGTAGCCCCACACAAAGTATCTTGTGGTAATATTTTGATCGTACTTTTCCTGCAAGGCAAGCGGTTGGACTAGACCAAGCAAGGGCAAACTTTTTAACTTGGGGGCCATATGCTAGCACTGCCTGCTAGGAGGACTGGCTGCCCGGTGATGGAAGGAAGGAATGAGGAAGGAAAGAGAGAAGGAAGGAAGGACAAAAGGGAGGAAGGGAAAGATAGAATGAAAGAAGAGGGAGAGGGGAAGGAAGAAGAAAAGAGGGAAGGAAAGACAAAAGGAAGGGAAGGAGGAAGGAAAAAGAGAAGGAAGGGAAAAAAAAGATGGAGCAAAGGGAAGGATAAATGAAAGAAGAAAGAAAAGACAAAAGGGAAGGAAGGAGGGAGAAAGGAAGAGAGGGAGAATCATAGAATCATAGAATCAAAGAGTTGGAAGAGACCTCATGGGCCATCCAGTCCAACCCCCTGCCAAGAAGCAGGAATATTGCATTCAAATCACCCCTGCCATCCATCCTTTGTTTAAAAACTTCCAAAGAAGGAGCCTCCACCACACACTGCTGAACGGCTCTCACAGTCAGGAAGTTCTTCTTCATGTTCAGATGGAATCTCCTCTCTTGTAGTTTGAAGCCATTGTTCCGTGTCCTAGTCTCCAGGGAAGCAGAAAACAAGCTTGCTCCCTCCTCCCTGTGGCTTCCTCTCACATATTTACACATGGCTATCATATCTCCTCTCAGCTTTCTCTTCTTCAGGCTAAACATGCCCAGAAAAGAGGGAAGGAAGGAATAACAAAAGGGTGGAAGGGAAGGATGGAAGGAGAAAGAGGGAGGGAAGGAAGAAGGAAAGAGAGAAAGAAGGAAGGATAGGATAAATAGGATAGGATGGTGCGAGAGAGGAAGGCCTGAGAAAAGAGCCCAAAGGACTGCATCTGGCCTGGGTTTGTCCATACTTGGACTAAATGGCCCATGTGGTCTCTTCCAACTCTAGGATTCTATTATTCTAATACAAGCAAAATATAACCAGAGCATTGATGATTGTGACAGCTTCATCTATTCAGAAAGTTCCAGATTTTGGAATAGTTACATTTCTACTGCAATTCTCAGACACCCCCAACCATGAGAGTCACAATTGAGAATAATAAAATGGTCTGGAGGGGGATTGTAGCTAGCCAACCAACTACAGCTAGTAACAGCTAGGTATGCCACACGTGCCATTTTGGCTTCCAAAGCCATGTCTGGGTCTTTAGAAATTTCAAATCTAATCCGGTCTAGATCAGGCTGAACAACTTCCCAGATCATATAAAGCACACACTAACAGATTCTCAGCCTTATCTGAATTGAGCTTCATACTTTCATTGAGTCAATTGCTGATATGTAGCATCTTTGCAGGAGCATCTGAACTTAATGAAACAAAGTCGTGAAGTTACATGTCTTCTGCTGACTATATGATGGATGGGCTTGAAACAGAACTGCTGTGCTAATGAGATATTTAGTCACATCAGTGCATCTAAGTGATTGTTAAATATGTCCAAATATCCACATTAAGACATGTTAAAACAGCTATACAAGATTTCTAATGCTATTTTTAGGATTGGCCAAATTTGATACCCCAATAAGAATAATGTATTTATTCTTTTCCTCATCCAAAAGTATAAATAATTTGTTTGCATGCTTCTACAAATGATTGAGGGAGCCCACATATAAATGAGAAACAAGCTGTGTTAGTGTGTTCCAGGTGTGTACTAATCCACTATAGGTCAAGTGATGACTGGCTTGAAATGGCAGCTTTACCAAGCAGCTTTTGTGTGGTAAAACTGAAGGTCACTAGTGCACTGGATTCAAGCCATTGGCTTAGTCAAAGCTGGCTTTGCTGCAGCCTAAGCTGCTTATGAAATGACGGAACTGGGCCTGGTTTTGACTTCATTTCTCAAACAGCATTGGTTTCCAGATTTGATCTCTCAGCTTTGTCATGACTTAATGTTCTCTGTTCTTTTACTTCAAACCTTAACAATAACATACTGAAGTTGATTATTCACTTCTCAGTTTACTGGGTCAGCCTATATTTTAAGAGTATATCTCAATATAGCTGTGGGTGCTAGAACGCGCTTTCAGTTCATAGGCATTCTTCCTCGCTTGAGTTTTTCTGTAGGGTTCCAGTCAGGGCCCTGAAACAAAAATAAAAGCCCAGAAAATTAGAACAGCGAATATCTATGGACCTGGATGAGATGAGATGAAATGAGATGGGGAAAAGAAGATAATACTTGGCTATGAGTGTTGACTTAGTGTTGTAAGAAGAATCAGTGAGGAAAATGTAATTGGGGAGAAGAAATAGACATTGTTTGGTCTTCTGAGAAAAAAAAATCAGAAGAATCATGGTGGGCCAAACTATAAAGGTAGACAACTGGAGAAGGAGAAGCAAATTCTGGAGGAAGACAGCCTTGTGAAGCACGTCACTTGTAGCAATATGCAAAGAAAATCAAGTCTCTTGAATTATTTGTGGGGCAAACATCTTGATGTCGTTGACAAAAGGGAGTCCGGCAGGAATGAGTCCAAGAGCAATGATCGGAGTAAAAAGACATAGATGTGGCTCACAGATACACTGATATGTCATACCTTATAGTCAAAACTTCCTTCATTTGGAAGCCCTGTCACAGTTCCCAGCCTGAAGGGAATACTGGATTTTGGCAGAAAACACAGGAAGGAGTACATTGACTGACAATGAGAATGACCAGTACTGGCATTCTGTGTGCTCCCTTCTCTCATGCACTTTCTCACTGCTATCACTTCCTCAGTGACTCTCTCCTCAAACATCTTAGAGGGTAAGGAGGTTTAAACTTTCTTTCCCTGTGTGCTGATTGGCCTTCTCTATCCTCAGCACCAATTAGCTAGATGTGGACTAAGAATGCGATTTAATAGAAAGTATAGTATGACTCCTTCTATGTGCTGTCTTCCTCATTTGAACTTCCTTTGACCAGCCCACTAAACAGCTGCTTTGTATTTTTTTATTGCATGTGCTATCTTTCTCCTGAAGTGGGATCCAAGGCAGCTTCGAAAATCAGTAAATTAGGAAAAAATTACATTTAATAGCAAGGGTTGGCTAGTGTAATACGATGGTTCTCAACCTGTGGGTTCCCAGGTGTTTTGTCTTACAACTCCCAGAAATCTCAGCTAGTTTACTAACTGTTAGGATTTCTGGGAGCTGAAGGCCAAAACATCTGGGGACCCACAGACTGAGAACCACTGGTGTAACAGAATTACTCTTCCCCATGTCTAGTAAAATTGGATAATGATGGTTTTGCTATGTTTCTTAGTCTCCCTGAAAATTCTCCGTTTACTGTGTGTGGCTCATGTACTGGGGTCATTCTCCACTCTGGGATTCCTGACAATGTATTAAATTTGGCAAGTTTGCTTATACAATTTGAAACTCTGCTGGCTGCTTTCCAACCCTCACTCCTTATTTCTCATAAGAACTCATGTGTGTTTCACTCTCTCCTCGCAGCTTTGTATTCATGCCCAAAATGGAAGAAAGTGTCAATATGTTGGAAACTGTTCCTTTGCCCATAGCCCTGAAGAGAGAGAGATGTGGACTTTCATGAAAGAAAATAAGAGTGAGTGGAAGATATGTGAGGGAGCTGGGACCTCTACACCTTCCTCTTCTGATTTCTGTCTCCCTACCCTATGCTTCATTTCTAGTGAAACCAGCATAATGAAAATAGATATACTATGATGCAATGATGATGGGATGCCATTTCCCTGCAAGACATAGTTTGGAAACTGAGTGCCGATCTTGTTAAATACATTTCTTTCTCCACTGCCTACTTTCCTGCTGCTTCAGCTGCTTTCCCACAACCTGTGCTATTATAGCTTTGTGTCTACAGTTTTAATAACACAGTAAAATCTCATCAAACACATTTACATCGTAATAAAATTAATCCATCATATCGTTTTGGCATTGTTATTTTTTGTAATTCAGGTAGTCATTTTGTGTCAGAAGGGACTAGGTGTGACAGAGAGTGGGCTAAATGCTGTTTAAAGGAGACTGAATTCCTTTTGCTTCTTCATTGGATGAAAATAAGTTAGATTTGTTGAACAGGTGGGCTTATTATCAAAAGATCCTCTTCATAAATGTACAGCAGAGTAACATTATTAGCAGCAGCGTGACCCAGCAACAGTAGCCCAATGTGAAAGAAAGAACAAAAACGCACAGACCAATGTTATATCTTCCTTAGGAGGCTTTTCTTTATAGCAAAATAATATGGTTACACTCTTTACAGGAACAAGGTTTCCATGACACAAATGAAGTTCAGCCTTCACACTTGAGCTTCACACACGAGGCCTTCAACCTGGGGCTTCTTTCACAGGAGCTTCTCACATCAGGCCTTCCTCATACTCGGCATAGACTAAGGCCTACGTCACAGACTAAGGCCTACCTCACACTGTAAGGCCTTCTTTCAGTCTGAGGCATTTCTCTCACTGAGGTTTACCTCAGACTGACGGGGTTACTAAGCAACAGGCACACCTGCTTATATTGAACTACAGCTTTTGCTGGGTCATTGCATCCATTTAACCCTTTCAGTGCTGGACTCAATTTTTTGTAATTAAAAATACCTAGTTCAATTTTAATATTTCTGACAAGATTGCCATCTGTGTGTCATGTCAGTCTTGCCTATACTTTGAATCCTTCTTCCTCTTTTTAGTACTTTCTGAAAATGTATATTACTGACATTAAAAATTCTGAGTTATTATTTGGAGGGAAGGGAGAAGGGCTTCAAAAATCTACTTAGTACTGTTTTTGATCTGTGAACAGCTTCTTTAAAACATAAGTTCCTTCTACAGTTTTTTCAGGTGGGATAGCCTACATTTAAATACTAGAGCTTTCTTTCTTTCATAAAACCCAAGGTCCTATCTATGGCCTCTCTGGGTAAGGTCTGGAATGGGGGGTGAGCCATTGCCAGTCAGCAAAAACAGAACCAAATCATAAAGTTTCCTCTTTGGGGCAGATGCATTTGGTGAAGGAGGAAAAAAAGCTTTAGCTAATCAAAGTGCTCTTTCCTTGCAGTTTTGGACATGCAGCAGACATATGACATGTGGCTGAAAAAGCACAACCCTGGGAAACCTGGTGAGGGGACACCTCTAACATCACGGGAGGCAGAGAAGCAAATCCAGATGCCTACTGATTACGCTGATATGGTAAGACCCATTTTTCCATCTTTCTCTTGTTAGGCTTTGCCCCTAATGTGCTCTGGAATTTCTAAAGATGCCTACCACTAAATCAAATATATGTGGGCAGCCGACAGCCCTCGGAGATCTTCCTTGCAGCTTGTCCCACACGTACAGGCCATTACTCAATTCCACTGCCAGATATTGCCAGTATTGCCTCAGTTGTGCTTGAGATGAGTTAAATGGAGAAAGGCAAGAGCCTAGTCTGTCCTGAGTGAACCTAAAAGAAGCACTGACCCTGGTGTGTTCTCTCTTCCATGGTGCCACTTCTGCCTTTTTTGAATGTTTGTGTAGGGAAATGGTGATGGCAGTTTTCCCTTCTCTGAGAAATATCTAATTATCTATCTATCGCTTCACTATCATAGACTCTGTGATCTGAGGTTCATCTGTGTATTTACCTCTTCTCTGATGAATAGATGGGTTATCACTGTTGGCTTTGTGGAAAGAACAGCAACAGCAAGAAGCAATGGCAGCAGCACATCCAGTCGGAGAAGCATAAAGAAAAAGTCTTCACATCTGACAATGATTCCAGTTGCTGGAACTACCGTTTCCCAATGGGGGAATTTCGGCTATGTGACAGGTACAGGGCACAAAGTAACCCCCCCCCCCCCCCCCCCCGTTTTCACATCCTGATTGCATGTTTGAAGAGAGAACATGTGTGATAAATATATCGATCTGAACAAGTTAAAATGATTATTGGTAGTAGTCTTTAATAAGTGAAGGATTCAAGCTCGGATGTCTTCACTTGCAACCTGACATGCCCCTACAAGTGTATGTCTAAAAATTTAAGTATGTTTTACAAAGGAGGAGGCTTCAGGGCAGGGAGGTGTGAAATGGTGGTGTCATAGTTCTGCCAGCTAAGAAAAATCACTGTCTGTCCAGTATTGCTATTGGTGCCTAACTAGCACCAGTAGCCTTTTAGTCATAATGGTTTATTCTTACAAAACTCTTTCGGCTTATTAATCTGTTTTTTTTAATTGTTTGAGTGTTTGTTTAAAAATTGCTAGCTTTCTGAGTTTACTCTCAGGGAAATAAAGAATAGATGCCATTGCCATCGTCCAATGGTCACCACCAATTTTACTCCTGCAATCGATGGCAGAAGTTCTCTTTTGCCCGTGAGGGATAGTATGCCCTCCTACTCCATAGAGCTGCCACTGTGCATCGTCGTTTTCGACCACAAAGGAGAAAGATGGGACTGCTGTGTTTCTTTTCTGTTATGATAGTGAAGCACTCTGGATTTTCAGTGAAGTAGTTTGTAAATGGTAACAATAGGGCCAGCTTTAGCACAGCAGGTTAAACACCAGCTGTAGTCAACCTTGTCAGTCAAAAGGCTGCCAGTTCGAAGCCGGATCAGGGTGAGCTCCTGCCTTTAGCCCAGCTTCCACACACCTAGTGGTTCAAAAGCAAAAATGTTATTAGATAAATAGGTACTGCTCATAAGAAATCGAGGGAGGTATTCTGAGGCACCCAGAAGGAATGCTGGCGATTCAATCCATTAGGAGGAAGTTACAAACTAGCTCTTTGGCAGCAAGATGGAGTGACAGCCCCACCCACCCTCCATGGCCAGAATTGAGCACAACACCTTCCAAGAAGCCAGAAAGATGGGGAAAGCCAATATAAATACCTCTTATCTTTGTATAATTGTCTGCCCAGTTGTGTATAAAACAGTATTGAATGTTTGCTGCATATGTATTTTCTGTGATCCGCACTGAGTCCCCTTTAGGGTGAGAAGGGCCGAAGATAAATACTGTAAATAAATAATAAAAAAATAAACAGCTCAGCTCGTGCTGCTTCTGCAGGAGCTGCCGCCAGAGGAGACTTGGTTGAAATGCAGCAGCTCCTGCAGAAGCAGTACGAGCCAAGCGAGAGGGAGAAGAGAAGGGAAAGCGTAGGAGGAAATTTATTCCTCCTCTGCATTCCTTCCTTTTCTCCCTCTCGCTCGACTCGTACTGCTTCTGCAGGAGCTGCCGCCAGAGGAGACCTGGCTGAAGGGGCAGTGGCTCCAGCAGCTCCCTCCATTTCCTCCCCAGCATCTTCCTCCTCCTCCTCTTTCTCCCACAGCTTCAGGAGGGAAAGCAGTGGAGGAAGAAAGGCAAGGAGGGAGGGAGGGAAGGAAGGAGAGGAGGAGGAGGAGGACCACGCAGGCGAAAGTGTCCCTCTTGCCAGGGGAGGGTGGCATGAGTGCCCGAGGAAGGGAGGGGAAAGAGGAGAGGAAAGTGTGTGTGTGTGAGAGAGAGGGAAGGCGAGGCGGGTCGTGCAGGGAAAACCACGAAACAGCGAGTCCGAGGTAAGCGAACTGCAAAGGAGCGAGAGAACACTGTATTGCCACCATAAATTGAGTTGCCTTTGTGGCAATGAAGAGCAACATTGTTCCTATGCTATTCCTTTAGATCTGCTTTCTATAGGACCAATAAGGGCCATCTCATCACCTCCCAACAAAGGATTCCCCCAGGCAGGATGCAGCCAAGCACTGAAGCTGCAAGGCTATTCAATGGTAATTAAGGTGATCAATTACAGCATTCACACTTGCCTTAAACAGACAAGAGGTCTTTCTCTCACCCTGGGCATTCCACAGATATATAAATCCAATTTTCCTAGTTTCCAACAGACCTCACAACCTGTGAGGATGCCTGCCATAGATGTGGGCAAAATGTCAGGAGAGAATGCTTCTGGAACATGGCCAGACAGCATGGAAAACTCACAGCAACCTAGTGATTCTGGCCATGAAAGCCTTTGACAACACAGTGGTTGCTACATTTTGTAGGGTATTGTTCATCTCCACAATTGTCCAGATTGTTCAGTAGAGATTGTTGCACCCCTTGTTCTGGCTTTATAGACAGATTTCAGAAACAAATGAAGGCAATAGAAAGATGATGTGTTAGATCTTCTTGTTAAAAAACACTTCTGTATCTTGAGCCATGTGTTGTTGTTCTGCAGATTCCAGAAGACAAAATCCTGCCCTGAAGGGGAGAAATGTTGCTTTGCTCATGGCCAGGACGAGTTGACAGAGTGGTTGGATCGGAGGGAAGTCATGAAACACAAACTGGCCAAGGCCCGCAAGGATATGCTGCTGTGCCCCAGGGACGATGACTTTGGCAAATACAACTTCCTATTACGAGAAAACATTTAGTATCAAAGGGAGGTTGGGCTGGAAACTGGCGCATTTTCAGAACTGGAAATGGAATGGGGAGGATCTGGGCAGTGGCAAAGAGACCAGTATTTGTTCCATGAAGCTGTCATTGAGTGTTAGATAATCAAGATGATTTACTGATGCTGGATGCAATTACGAATTGAATCATCACAGCCAATGAAAATAATGTTTCTAGAATTTTGTTTTCTAACTCTTTTCTCTTTCTAAAACCAATGTTTTTCATTTTATCACCAACCTTTTTTTTTCTTTGAAAAAAGGCAAGAGTTTTCAGTTGAGACGTAAGAAAGAACCTTGTGTTTTTATTCCCTACGATTTTATTTTATTTTTACTTTGAGCTGCCTTGTTTTGTTGAGATATTGCTGGGTCATGGGAAGCAAATATAGAAGAAGAGTAGAAAAGGGAGACTTTGTGAGGCTTTGTTTAACATTGGTATCATACAGAAATCCCTACCAGTGGCTCTAAATCAGGTATGGGCAAGCTTGGGCCCTCCAAGTGTTTTGAACTTCAACTCCCACCATTCCTAACAGCCTCAAGCCCCTTCCTTTTCGCCCTCAGCCGCTTAAGTGGCTGAGGGGGGAAAGGAAAGGGCCTGAAGCTGTTAGGAATGGTGGGAGTTGAAGTCCAAAACACCTGGAGGACTGAAGCTTGCCCGTGCCTGCTCAAGATGATCTCTGTGAAGAATAACAAAAAAAGTTATTTAAAATATAAATGAGAAGATGTTCCCAGTTCAACCTGTTTGAAAGTACTGAGATAATTCCAGTAGTTTCTGTTGCTGGTAGTAAAGGATTTCCTCTTATTCGAACACAATATCTTATCTGCTGCTTGGATTATCCAAGAATCCATATCTGGTGAGGAGACCAGTGTGAATTCCTATTCTGCTTTATGCTGGAGGAAATAATCAGTCTGTTTGTTTTGGGGAACAGGAGATTTTTATTTTCATAATAGAAGTTATCTCAAAAGGAAATTGGGTGCATACTGTTATTCTGGACTTTATACTTGCATGCTAAGCATAGCTCAGCAGTTGGATTTTGCTTTTCCATAGAGACAATTTAAAACTGAAAAGCTCTTAACATTTAGGTTCTTTGCAACATCTGGGGTTGGAATAGAAAGTCTATTCAGTTGTGACAAAAGTTTGTCAGTACCGTCCCTATGGTGCCCCTTTGTATTGGATGCAGATGTTTACCAGCAGAGGCTAAGAACCAAAAATGAGTGTGGAAATGGGCAGAAATCATTTAAATAAATTAATCTGAATTTAGGTTTGAAAGTGTCCTTTTAGAAAATAGTATATTATAAGTCTGACGAGATCAGTTACTATGATTTAAGACCTTATTTTGCCATGTAATGATTTGGTACTAGTTGAGGAGGGAAAACATTTTAAAAACCTGTCTCACTAAACCATCGGTTCTCAACCTGTGAGTCCCCAGATGTTTTGGCCTTCAACTCCCTGAAATTTTAACATCTGGTAAACTGACTGGGCTTTCTGGGAGCTGTAGGCCAAAATACTTGGGGACCCACAGGTTGAGAACCATTGCGCTAAGAGATTGCAAAGAAGGTAGTAAGGAATCTTTCTTACATCTAAATGCTTTCCAAAATTTTTTTAAAAATTATCCAAGAATAGTCTTCAGCAGAATGTCTATTTTTTTGTTCACTGTCTTAACAGAAAGAAGAAGATAAGATATTTTAGATATCAATAATATTTAATATTCCTCTGAAATGAACTTCTAGAGGCTATAATTCCAGAGGCTAGATGTTTAGGCCTTCAACTCCCAGCAATCCCAACAGCTGGTAAACTAGCTAAGATTTCTGGGAGTTGTAGGCCAAAGCGCCTGGTGACTTTGAGAACCACTGTCCAGAGCATATTTCCTTGGACTTAAGTTCTGTTGGACTGACTTCTGTGTAAGCAGAATCAGTCTGTAAAGTATACAACCTTTAAAACTTAACAAAAATGGGAATATCCACCCATTAAATGATTCTAAGAAGAAAGAAAAGTACTCTCATGCTGTGACACTTGAGAAAATATGATTAATGGCCACATCTTAAGCTTTAATAAGGAAGAAGGTTATTCATTATGTGCAGGACTTTTTTATATATATTTCATTCATAGTTGGCTAAATCGATGTTCTCCTTGAGGTCTTGGGCTGTATACATGTATTTTGCATGGATGAATATGCAGTATTGCAATATCTCTGTGCTTCCCAAGGTGGAGAGTGGCAATATGTGATCTAAATGCAAAGGTTTAATAGGAAGGTGAGATTTATCTGTGCAGAATCGGCAGTCTCCACTATACTATCCACTTTCCTATCTTTTCCAGCCAAGTATTCTTTTGAATTTTATACTGAATTGATTTTGAATCAAGATGAAATGACATATACTAAAGAAACATAAGTAATGATAATAAAGGAATATGTTGTTATATAGGAGCATATCAGTAGGTTAAAGATCTCTGAAGTTCCTTTTTCTGTTCTTGCTTCCTGATGATCAGATATTATTTCACTGTACCTATTAACTCATTCTTGTCTATCATATAAGAAGAAACTACTTTAGGTTTATTTTTGAGATAAATATTTTTGAGCCCTATTTTTTTTCTCTATAGAGCAGATACAGATGCTTTTTGCCATATTTGGAAGGAAGGGCATAACAAGATGTTGTGTACGGGGTGCCTGTGAACAGTGGTCATATATGTATCTCGCTCACTAATGGAATACACCCATTTTGGTGCACGATATTACTATATATTCCTCTCATTATTTGATTGTTTAGGAATTTAATATGAAACCTTTCAAATAATGTTATATCCTTTCCATTGACCTAGATTTTTATATTTTAAGGGAGTAGATATATTGTCTCCTGTCTTGGCAGTTAAATAGTCTTAATTTATGTGGGACTGGATTAAGTGAAGCAATTTAATGAGCTGAATGACCCCTTCTTCCCCATGCACAGACCCTTTTGAGTTGTAGTTTCTTGCCTGCTTGACTGTTATGATCAATAATGTTCTCAACTTGCTGGTGCTATTTCTCTCAATATTTGTAAGAGTCGATTGACCAGCTTTCCGTGGTTGAAGTGATGGCAGACTGTGGCAGGTAGAAGATGAAAAACAAAGAAATCGATACTTAAATCTGTTACATTACCTGCTGAATCTAGAAATATAACTACAAGTGCTTGCTCTGCCGTAATTATGAGATATGATTTAGATTTATTTAGATTATACGGTAGGGCAGTTTTTCCTTACCTCTTTAATTCAGTAATAAAGAAATTGCTTTGCAGCCTCTTTTGAACCAAGTCAGTGCTACTTGGATTAAGAGAGAAAAGAGGATGTGATTTAAAGAGGCAGAGCAGGGGGTTGTGGGTCACCTATTCCTGGATATTGCAGTGAAAATCATTTTTTTTTGTTTCTTCCTTGATATGATAACCTGATACGTGGTGTTGCAGTATTTTGTCACCAGATTTGTTCTAGTGTGTATATATGTAACCCCCTCATAAAACATATATACACAGGTATTAAATATATAGCTCTATATAATATTATATATGTATGTGGTATTAAAGGCATCTTTTATTGAGGGTTAAGGAAAAGGACACTTGCTTTGAAATGAAGCATCTCTTGTTTGAATAAAGCCAATGTTAGAGGAGAACTATTTCTTTTGGATTTAAAAAATGTTTTATCGATGGATATATAAACTTGAGCTGAAGTCACCCTTTTGTGAAGGATTTGGAGTACATTCCGTGGAAGCGAATGTGCGAAAGAAAATCTTCCCTGTAAGGAAAGAGGCCTTGCCAAGAAGTGAAGAATGCCTGGAATTTAATGTTCTGCCGTATCCATAGCACCCACAGATTTGCAGTAATAAAGGAGGAAGCCCAATGCTCTCGGACCAGCATGTGGTTGGCTACAATAACCCATTTTGCAAAACAAAGAGTTTTAGAAAGCAGGCACATCTGAAAATGATATGTAAAATTAGGTCACTGGTTGCATTTGTTAACAAATGCAAAGCGTGCTTCAAAAATATTAGCAATGCCTTTTTTTCTTCTTTACTGAAGATATTTGGAAAACAAAGGAAAGGGGACTTCACAAATGGGAAGAATATGATTGAATGGAATACTGCATTAACCAAGTTCCTTCAATCATGGTATCTTAGGAAATACAGTCATGAAGTATAGGCAGTGAAGGGAGATGCTCCATTTCAAGCTAGACTTGTAATAAGTTGAAGAGTCCTTCGAAATGTCTTTGTATTAATATATATTAAGAATACCACGCTTTACTATTACTATTACAAAGAAATTAATAATGCCTTTCACAAGGTCTAATAACCAAGATAATAACATAGATGTTCTAACAACTTTACTGTTCTTAATAAGACAGATATGCTTCTTTTAGCCTTTGTAATAGAAAATAAAAGTGTGCACTTTAAACCCTCACCATGTGCTTTGTGTATCTGTTATTCTTTCGGCAAATAGTATTAAAGTAGTGCTCCTCTCTGTCACACACATCAAGGGAGTCATGGAATTGGTATGAAACACAAACAACAAAACAGAGAAATGTCTGGATCTGCCACTTTGAATTACCTTGAATGTACTGTATATACTCGAGTGTAAGCCGACCCGAATATAAGCCAAGGCACCTGTTTTACCACAAAAAACTGGGAAACGTATTGACTCGAGTATAAGCCGAGGGTGGGAAATGCATCAGCAACTGGTAAATTTCTAAATAAAAATAGATAACCAATAAAATTACATTAATAGAGACATCAGTAGGTTAAATGTTTTTGAATATTTACATAAAATTGCAATTTAAGGTAAGACTGTCCAACTCTGACTAAACCATTATTCTAATTTTCAATGTAAATGTGCTTATGTATCCTTCCAATAATAATAATAGAGTAAAATAATATACAGTTAAACACAATCGGCACTGACAAAATTACCATCTGCCAGCTGCAAAAGACCACCTTACTGGGATTTGCATGCATTATTCGCTGATTACTCCAGCAAAGGGTCACCGCCTTGTCAGGGCGCTGGAGCTTGAGCACCTCAATGATGTCATGAGCGAAACCGTGAAGGGCCACCCAAGACGGGACGGTCGTGGCAGAGAGGTCAGACCAAGCGTGATCCCTGGGAAAGGCAACGGCAAACCACCCCAGTATCCTTGCCAAGAAAACTAAATGGACCAGTACAACCAGAGATATGTCGGTATGCCATTGGAAGATGGGACTCCCAGGTCGGAAGATGGCCAAAATGCTACTGGGGAGGAGCAGAGGATAAGTTCACTAGCCCCAGATGTGATGACGCAGCTAGCTCAAAGCCGAAAGGAAGGCTAGCGGCCGACGGTACTGGAGGTGAACGACGAATCCGATGCTCTAAAGATCAACACACCACAGGAACCTGGAATGTAAGATCTATGAGCCAGGGCAAATTGGATGTTGTTATTGGTGAGATGTCAAGACTAAAGATAGACATTCTGGGGGTCAGCGAACTGAAGTGGACTGGAATGGGCCACTTCACATCAGATGACCACCAGATCTA